ACTACTTCTCATACTACTACTCTACTTTACTACTATACTACTACTACTACTTTTCCTATACTACTACTCTATACTTTACTACTCTACTTTAATTACTACTACTACTACTACTACTACTACTAGTATTAAATACTACTACTACTACTACTACTACTACATGTACTACTAAAAATACTACTAGTCTACTACTTCTAATACAACTTCTTCATGTACTTCTATTTCTATACTGGTTTTAATTTTTATAAATTTTATTGAGAATATTCTATTAATCTTTACCGTCTTTTTTTGCAGTCATGATATACTGTATACATTATAACGCGTAGATGTTCATGCAGAAAATACCGGAAATAAACTGCAGATGTCAAAATATATTCAATTTCTTGAACCACTTTCAGTATTTTTGTTTAAAGTAAAAGGAACAAGAGAATAAAATCGACAGTTTCGACACGTTTGACAGGGCTTCAACTATATAAGGTCGATACTTATTATTGGCAGATAGCCATACACAGGACTGCAGTCAATGAATGAATATTGACGCAGGCGCAATAGTAGACCTGCATAAACGTTTCAACGAGCTAAAGGGCATATACGCCAAGGTCTTTGTGATCTACTTATCCGGGCATCTCTTTCTCTCTCTCTCTCTCTCTCGTGCAGCATCTATATACAACAGGCCTATACAAGACGATGTGATACAGTTATGGACGAAACAAGGTCACATGATGTAAGGCATCAAATGAATCTCATGTCAAAATTATATAGTTAATAAAACATTAATTATAACATTGAGGTCGCTGAAGAAAATGATAATTTTGGAGCTATGATGAAGGACCATTATACTTAGTGGTCGGTGAATTATGTATGTTACGATAAACTCAGTATCAGCTCGGTAGGTCCATGGTATCAGCAACATAAATCACGACCTCAAAAAGATATAGGTCGTCCTCTCCCTCTCACTCCCTCGGTCATCTCTCTCTCTCTCTCTCTCTCTCTCCATCTCACTTGTTATCTCTTCGTATTAACAATCTCTCTCTCTCTCTCTTTAAAAAAAGAGTAATTAATTAAGCTTTAAAAGCAACTAAGCCTGTAATAGGAAGTTATTTATCTGTTCAGAAAAATGTGTTTTCCCCTTGGAATACACTGACCTTCAATACTGTCAAGTCAGTTTTGTTATTTTGAAATTAACCTGACGGTAAAAACATACATTACAGTATCATTAGCTACATGCAGTATACATTTGATAGTAATGACGGAAACCAAAGTTTCAAAAAAGGAAATCATGTGATTTCTCAAAATCAGGCAGTGTTCTAATTAACCTTTCAATCGATTGCGACAAACTTTGACGTGCTCGTGAAACTTCAAATCAACTTTGATATAAACAAGTATCGTTTTATATGACTTGTATATAATTTGATTACCTTCGAATTATTTAGCATTTACCTGTAAACATGGTAAATTTACAATTCATATTTTTTTTTACAAATTCGCCCCCCCCCCTTTGACACACGGAGGTATATGTCCCAATTCTCACCGTCCAACGGCCAAAGATAAATTTGAGGGTCTACTTTTCTTTTTGCATAAAAAACTAGCATATAATGAAGGCTACAAATAACCTATTATGTCACATAATAGGCCTAACATTAAAGGCGCTATGTCTCAATGCAGGCCAAAAATTGAAAAGGTTAAATTCCAACGGCATTTGAAAGATAATACTAATTTAGAACTTCCATCAAAACGAAAGGGCTGGAAATGTCTTTTATAATAGTGGGAAATGACAAGCATTAGCTGTCGAATCGACTTAAGTGATTGCAATCATTTTAGTAATAGTCTGATTTTCAGACCCTTTTCCTAATCAGTGGCGTAATGAGCAAAAACTTTTTTTTGGTCAGAACCGTCCTTATCACCACCAAGTAGCATAATGCAGGGGCGGCGGAGCGTCTTCCAAAATAGGGAGGGGGCACCAACAAAAAGGGCACTTTCTGGAAAAAAGGGGCACCTACAAAGGGAAACATCAACGAAACCTACATCATTTTTAGACATTGGTATGTACCCCCACATCTTTATGATTGTGATTACACTACCAGGGATGATATCAATATTTGTTTCTTTCTTTACGTGGTACAAGATACTGCTTATTTAAGAAGCATACATTGCAGTTGGGTGTGATGGTCTGAATATTAATTTTTGAGCAAGCGAAGCAAGCGAGCGAAAATTCTAAGATTTGTGAGGTCCCAGTGCGGAAAATAACATCTTATAAAGAAGATAAAAAAAAAAACCTGATGAGTATTAAGCACAATCTAATGAAGAAAGACTAAAAAGTTCTTTTATAAGTAACATAATTATAACATCTATAAATGCGAGCGAGCTCTAGGGAAAATTAAAGAAAAGGGGGCTCTAAGTCATCTTGAATTAGGGGTACATGGTATGGAGAAAGGAAAAATAGGCACTTATCAAAGGGTAAAAGGGACATTTATTAGAAAAGAAAAGGTGCTCGTGTCAAAGTAAAAAGGGCAATTAACAGAACCTTCAGAGGTGAAAATGTCACTTCTTGCACCGGGAAAGGGACACTCAACAGAAATGAAAAAAGGCACTTGTGAGAATGGAAATGGGGAATCTGTTGAAGGAGAATGGCACCTATCAGATTTTAATAGGGGCATTTATCAGATGTTGAAAGGGGCATTTTGAAAAGGGGGAGGGGCTTATAATAACAAGGGAAAAGGGGCACTTATCTGAAAGAAATATGGTACTTATTAGAAAGGAAAAGGGGCCGTCTCGAAATAAAAGGGGGCAGTTCTCAGAGGTGCCAGTGAAAAGTGGCATTTAAGAGAAAGTGAAGGGGGTTCTTATCAATACAAAAATTTCACTTATTATGTGGGGAAAAGGACGGGTCAAAGTGAAAAAAGGGCAAAAGTATCAGAGGTGTAAACTAAGGGGAATTTCTCGCAAGTGAAAAGACGTACTCACCAGAGATGAAAAGAGAGGAAAAGGACAGATATTAGAAAAGAAAAGGAACAATTGTCCTCTGTAAAAGTTTTTTTTTTTTTTTTTTAGGGGGGGGGGGGGGGTGGGGGTAACTAAACAAGTGGGGGGAACAAAATCCTATGGACGGCCATGCATTATGGCTCAAGGCATGGACACACAGAGGATTTTTTTTATGTTAGGAACCGGGGTAAAATGCAATACATTATTGAAAATTTATTTCATTTTCTGTTTTTTTTTTAATTTATGGAAATTGCCCCCTACCCTAGCCCCCGCTGCGTACAGTCATGGTTCAGTGAAAAAGCAATGGCCTCGTAACTGTGAGGCCCCAGGATCAAAACCGTGTCGATGTGCTATGTTAGTGCCCTTTTGTGGGGCATTAATCCTCATTACTGTCATTTATGACTTAAGGGCGTAGGTCCCCTATTTCATAAGCATAGTAGCATACACATGCTTTAGCAGTCACGCAAAACACACATTGTCAAATTATTATTCAATAAAATCTGAGAATGTATACTATTATCTAGATCTATTATTTTTTAATTATTTTTAAAATAATTCCATAAATTGGGGTAAAACAAAAATATTCCAACTGAGCGACAGTGTATGTTATTACCAGCGAGGTGTTTTAACTCTCATTTCCCTGTTATTACCAAAGGAAGAAAAACAAACGGTCAGTCAGTCACTCAATAGTGTCTGACATGAGAGTCCAGAAAGTAAACGGGTTTCCTAACTTTCCTTGCATAATTTGAATAATATGACACTGCTAACGTTTGAATTTCACATATAGGACATACGTGACATAATTCCTACAAAGTCTACAGAATTCGATGTTGGTTGAATATAGGACGTAGTACCTTTAATGGGCTCTGGTATATTATTTACGGAGGGGGAGGGGCACACCGTGTATCCACTCTTCCACAGTCCGGATCTATGAAGGAGGGGGGGGGGGGGGGGTCAAGTCGATCAATCTCACTCCATAATAAATATAATTAAAAGAATCAGATGTCTTGTAATCCTTAGTGTAAACAATACACAAGTAAGAATAACAGAAAAATGAGGAAAATGACCCCCCCCCCCAAAAAAAAAAGAGGAAAGATTTAGTTTGAAGGTGGCTTTATTGTTTTGTCCAAAATATATGTCAGGATGAGAAACACAATTCCATGTTATTTCTTTGATGTTACAGAACTGTTGTGTAAAATTTGGTTCCCCGCTTGCCATATCGAATATCATAGCATTTATAATAATAATAATAATCATAACAATAAAAATAAAAATAATGATGATAATAACAATAGTGCTTATAATAAAATAAAGGGTATCAGTTCTCTTGGATATTATTTCAGAAATAAGCTTAGTTTTTAATTTCATGTCAAGTGAAGTTCTGTTTCATGAACGTATTTAATGCTGGTAATCTTGGATACTAATCAATATAATACCTAGGAATCAGACTAAAATGTTCAAGGCTGATCTACCACACATACTGGGCTGGAAATTTATGCTAGCTTCGTGAGATGAGCGAAAATAGATAAATTCGAGTTATCGTCCCGACACACCCGAACGACACACACAATATATATTATGAATAAAGGGAGCTGACTTCGTTTAGTCTGATTGCATTATTGCTAGTTCATGTTATTCCCCGTCTTATTTGTGGTATAAAATCTAGAATCAAGAATAGTCAGTGTCTCCCATAACTCATAACTAGCTTTGACACAATTTACTTTCAAATACACAATACAAAATCAGTGCAAATTTCGTCAATACGGATATCTCCTTGGCTGTTGTCCTGCAAGTAGGTACAGGCTTGCACATTTTGCTTGCACGCACGTTGGGTTTGTTGATGTTTTGAGTAAAACTGGGCGTGGTGTACCCACGTGTGTTACACATGGACTTTTGCCATAGCAAACTGCGAGCTCGTGATTGGCTGGCTAAAAATATCTTTCGTAACCTGGGTTGATTTGACCAATGAAAGAATGCAGAGCAGCACGTGACTGGTTTGTTTGCATTCTAGTCCTGTCATGTCAAAACGATCGCTGCGCTCGCTTTCCACGTATCTAGCTAGCGTATTTACAGCGCTCGCGATCTTCGCTATTCGCATGAAATGTACACAAACCTGTGGAGGCATTGACGAGAACTGAAACATCCTACAAATTTGTGACTGGAAAGGGCATTTGTACTGGTTTGTAGTGAATACAGCATCAGAATTATGGAAGATGTATCAATACTCAACATTGAGCAGTTACTTCAAGCTGCAGAATTTTTGGAAAGAAGAGAAAGAGGTAAGATTTCGTTTCTACATCAACTTTCAAGTTTCAGTGAAGTGATGAGTCAGAGTCAGTGCAGCTGCAAAATGCTACACTGCAAATGCCCTGCAAATGTAATGAGTTGGTCGTGCGGGGTTGGGTATTTTGACAGTTATGTGTCGTTTGTTGTGTTCAGTAGAGACTCCTCGTCCTACGTGGATGTTATTTTGATCAACAACATGTCATGATCAATGATCACAGGGATCGAGTTGTCATTTAATTTTAACTTGAAGTATTTAATATATCTTGTAGAACTTCGAAATTAAATTTGGAAAATTCTACTGCTAAACTTAAACTTGAGTTGAAATTAAAAGTGCTAGTTGATTGTGACGAGAGAGAGAGAGAGTAATGAAGTATTTTGATAAATTTACTAACTATCTTATCCCACTTCTCGACTAACAAAGAGCCCATATAATATATTATATTTGCAGAACATGGATATGCATCACCATACTCACACGAAGCTAATAATAAGAGGAAACACCGTGTGAAGAGGCTGAATTCCAATAGGTAGGATGTGAATTTGAAATGATATTTGCTAACACTGACTAGACTATGCACTAACACTAACAAGTAATATAATTTACAACTTTAATACAAGTTACAAATAGGCCTAGGCCTAGAGACTCTACAGTTTTACAGAATATTAACTCAGTATAGGTAGATCTAAGACTGGTTAAGGTTGAATGGGCTTCACTTCAGTCTCTGACATGTCTCTTCATGTCCTGTTTGTTGATAGATCTGTTCTTACAACATGTCTCTAATCTAGCACTACTTTGAACCATCTGAATTCCGATCATGATATTTCAGCTCAGTCAAGTCAATGACAATCGAAAATTAGTCCTCGCCCAGGCCTCAGTAGAGTCAGTTACAGGAATACAGTCAGTAGACTGTAGATGCCGTCATGTCCGACGGTTTGGGTCTTCGCCCGAAAAGGCGCGACAGATCGACTTTGGTTTAATAAAATGTACTTGACTGATCTTGTATTTAAAAAAAGAATATTTATATTAAATTCGAGCTATCATAAGTAATCATAGACCATTCCAAATATATTGGAATCACATCGTTAATGGCATAAATGGTTTCACTTTCAGCAGCCATAAACAGTTACAGTTACGTTGCCATTTCTCTGGCGCCCATTTGATCAGCTGTTGTCCGCGCGCTGGTATAATTTTGTAGATCAACGGGCACGGGCACGTCACATCACAAAATCAGCTGTTCTCTCCAATATTCCATTTTAAAACATAGTTTTTACTGTACTTATTGTAAAATATAAAGCATCCCTAGTTATCAGTGAAATTATTAATGTTTCATTTCTGTGGTTACTCTTACAGTAGTCGATCAACGCACAACGAATTGGAGAAAAATAGGTAAGATATTTGTTGTTTACAAACGGCCCTGCCCACCACACGTACTCTGTGACCTCTCGCCATTCGTCCTCTATTTGTGTGTACACGTGTGCAAGGGTGTGTACGGCTCCGTGGATTGTGTGTATGAGTGCACTGAGTTTGTGTGTGTGTGGATTGTGTATACTACTACTGCACAGCCGGTGTCGGTGTGTAGTAGGATTTGGCCCTGCCTTGCCCTGCATGCACGGCTGGTTGTGTGTATTGTATGTAGATTACCGGGTACCGGGTGTGTTTGTTGACTGATGTCCGTTATAGTTGTTGTGGGCTTCCCTCCAATTTTGTGATTGTAGGTTTTGTGACGTGTACGCCCTGTTCGTGTGGAATGGAGGGATGTTGATTACATGGCAGCAGTCAATCAATACAGGACAGTGAAATCAACCACTCTTTTGTTCATGAAGGAAAATAGGACAAGGAAAGAAAGATTAATCATTTATCAAGCCAAGTATATAGTCAGATCACATTGAAGTAAAAGTAAAACATAAAATTTTCCGTAAAAATATATAGACTCTAGGTCTAGATTCTATATCTATATAGATCTAGGGATCATCTATATTATATTGGAAATAAAAGTGTACATTGTACTGTAGATCTAGATCTAGTGGATTTTGTAACATTGAACATTCAAAACCCATCTAGAATATAGTTTATTAAATGAATGCAGTAAACTTTTTTTTATTTTTTATTTTCCTCTTGTCAGAGGTACTTTATTCATTTACAAAAATAACCAACACACAAATCATTACATCATAACAAAATTTTACATTCACTTTAAGTATTTTCTTAAACTATTGAGAGAAAATCTTCAGTGATATAAAATATCCCCGAAGATTTTCCTTAGTTCCCAGATGCTATTTCAAAAGCTCTCAAAAACTCTCCAAAAAAAAATACTATGTCCCGAGAGCCCCTGAAACAACATCCGAGATGTTATCCAAGAGTAACTCGTATTTAAAAACATGCCATATGAAAAAGCTGTTGTATGGTTTACCTTGAAAATAATTTAACATATACATCAAATAGATTGCGTATTGAGCATATGCAACGATTGTATTTATATCTGCTCCATTTGCATGTTTGAAATCAAAACCAGCAATTAATAATTCTTCGTTTAATATAATTTTTTCTTTAAAGTTCAATTCAATCAATTCCACAATACGTTTCCAGAAAAGCTTTACGCTCGGGCACTCTAAAAGAACATGAACGAAAGATTCTGCTGTTTTACAAAAAATGCAAAGGTTTTCATTTACAATTTTCCATTTGCACAGATTGTATCTAAAGGGTAAAATCCTATGAAATGTCTTAAAGTTGAGTTGTTTTATTTTATTGTTTTTCAATGTCTTAAACTTAAATTTTAATGTATCTCTCCATTCTCCAATCAAAATCAATGACAAGGTTCAGTTTACCTTCCCAAAATGTTAATACAGCTGGTTCTCTTTTCTTAAAGCAGTAAACTTATAATTATCTGTATTGAGTTGGTTTTTAAATTCCCAATTTTGTCTATCCATTGAGCCTTCTAATGTATAAAAATATGGATTTTATTTTTAATGTCAGAAATTTTAGACAAAGGGGGGCTGGATAAGTCCTATTATTTATTATATTTTTACTCTATTATACATCTGAAGATTCTTGACTGGAAGTACATGTATACTAACACATTACATTTCATTTAAAATGTATGATATTTTTTTTCTCTTGTTGGAAGTTTAATCCAAATGTTTTTGACCAGTTTCACACCAGTACAAGCTATCTAGATCTTGTGGCAAAAAATAAACTTATGATTTTATTTGAGCATGTTATAGCAATAGTTGTGTGAGATGGGATTCTGCTGGGTGGAACAGTTGTCTTAAATTTATCTAATGCCTGTAACATGTAGGTGTACTTCATAGATTTCTTATGAATAGAAGGCCTGTGCTTGTAGACTATTATGCAAATGACAGCAATGGCTCACTTGTTGCACACAATAGATGGTCACAGCTGAGGCACCCAGGCACTAGAGTTCAGCCATCAACAACCAATACACTATTCATGGTGCACTTGGCAGCTATCCAAGCTAGCTCCAGTGAAACCATTCTTTGAGTTTCTTTCTCATTCTCGGTTGTTTTCATTTTACTATAGTATATGCAGTTATTTGCCAGGCACTCTCTCTCTCTTTAGTGCTAAGATAAACAAAGTGATGAAATATTTTCAAGGCCTGTTAAAAAAGTGTGTTATGAAGCGGCACCTTCATCATTGGCACCTGACATGATTGACATTCTGGTATAGCTTCCAAAGATCTGCCATTGGGATTAATGCAGCAATTTACAAGTAACAAGAAAGATTGTAAAGACAAAAGAAAAAGAAGTTAAAATCCCCAAATGCCCCCTAAGGATATTTGCAAACAATTTTGACTCATGTATGTTAAAGGATTAAAGATGTAATATTCACCCCCCCTCAAGTTTTTCAAGATTAAAAAGAAGAAAAATAAGCAACAAAACAGGGTGTGTCATTTTCCCCTACCCGTTCAACAGTGGCATTGTCAGGGAAAATTAGAATCACCTTTTCATATATTCCAAATTGCCTGATTTTATTTTGGAGGGGGTACATGATTCATATTTCACAATAATGAGAATGATTTTACTGGCAAGGAATGAACAGGAAGCTTTGGTCATGGGATCAAGAGCTAGATACAGCCTAGCTACCTTTGTACACAATGATCATGTGAGTGTGAACGACTGCCTGTCTGCGTGTACGTGACTGGTGCAAACATGAAGTGTGTGTGTAATATAGAGGTGCTTGCATGTATAGTGATTAGTGAAGGAAGTGCATTGTATTGATTGTATGTAAAATGTTGGCAAGTGAGAGTATGAAGAGTACCATTGTATTAAAACTGAATTTACCACCTACATGCACATGTAATAGTACTATTAGACTAACCTTTCATTCTCTAAAATGGCACAGGAAATCTCATTTTTAATTTAAAGGGACAGTTGTGTTGAGTTCTTATTTTAGACCGCAATTAAATGCCTTCAGAGTGCATGAATATTGCTTTCATTTCAGGACCTAAAATTGCTTTAAAGGTAATTTTAGACTCCAAAATATAAGAAATTTAGATTAAAACTGATCTTAGCAATTAAGCTCCACTTTCAAAAAACATGGTGACCATTAATTTAATAATTTAATTATAATATAATCATAATAATAACAATACACGGGCTGGCTGGTATAACCAACACAAAGAGCCAACATTGGTACTGGCTGGAAAAAGCGTATAAGGCGCTATCTTGTTTTTTTCAACAGCTGGTTTAAAATTATGGAATATTTGTGGTGCCCCACAAATATTAGAAATGGTTATATTTATGGATCATATTTCAGCCATCTCTGAACCGATTTTGATCAAACAAAGATGATTTTGTCATTTAAATTGTATACTCTTTCAAATTTGACTCTCCGTTTTCATTTCCGGTATCTCAAATCAAAATTATTTTGTGTAGTGCACTGTATAGATACCAAAACTCAACTATCCCTTTAAAGTGCTACGTGTATGTATGTAATCTATCATTCTGATTGTTCTGAAGCCGTTATATTTAATAATTTTTCTTTGGGCAGTTTACTGCATATGTGAACAAGGCAGTCTAAGTCTTAATCGTCTCATAATCTAATTAAAATCAATTTCCTGTGTAGAATGATTTTGGAATGATATAACCTACTGATTCAATGGTCAGCCAAAGCTAGGAAGCAAATTAATGAATCGTTCTCTCTCTCTCTGAATGAATTTTTCTTTGTCTAAGACTTAAAACACAAGATGACACATATATTGATAAATACTAATTGGCTTTTACATTTACTTTCAAAGATGCACCTAAAATGCAGCACACATTGTGATATTAACATGCTTTTAAATCATTCTTGTCATCGTAAGCACTGATTTTTGTTAACATGTTGAAGTACCACATGTAAATTATGATTTGTCATTTTTTGTGGTGCGTGTTGAAGTCTCCAATATCTGTGAATTTGATTGCACTTCAAAGGTCATTAACATGTACAGTTGTTCATTAAATTCAATTGTCTTGTTTTCTTATATTTTAACAGGCGTGCACATTTAAGAACATGCTTGGAAAGACTGAAAGAAATGGTACCACTCGATGGAGATATGCCTCGCCACACAACACTTGGTCTCCTTACTAATGCAAAAGATTTTATAGTGGTAAGATAACTTATCAATCAAACATAACAAAAGAGATCCTGTGTTATACAGTACAGACATAGATGTGTGCATGCATGTATACACAGTGACAGGACTCTAACGGCTTGACGATGATTCACATGTAATGTTATATAGACCTACATGTACAGTATGTGTGCTCAATGTTGGTCATTGATGACTTGATAAGGTTACTGCGCTTTAAATTGCAAGGCATAAACCATGAAAATAAAGTACATGTATTGTTCTGTATATAGTTTTGAAATTGCTTTATGCACAAACTCACCACATCGCCCAATATCCTTATGATTGAGGCAGTGGAGAAAGGGGTTAGATTCACTATATTATGATTTATTATAAGCTCTGAAGTCACCATGCAAAGTAAAGTTATTGGGACATGTTCATATATTTGGCACACTTATTTGGAGATTATAACAACCGATAAGTTTTATAGTTAAATACTTTTGGCATAGTGATGTACTGATATAGTTAATGCTCAGATAGATTTAGCTGGAAGTGTGAGATTAGTGGCATTTTATAATCTAATCTTAGCCTATGACTCTAATCTACTGCTGACCTCATAGAATCATTGATACTCTAATGTAGGTCATTAGAAGAACTGGAAATATTGAGTGGAAAGCATGAGTCTACAATTTTAGATTTACATGTACTGCATGTGGCCATAGCAATTACAAGCCTGCATGAGCTAATGTAGAGTTCTGGAAATATGAAGAAATTGAATAATATGAAAGTCCACGATTACAATTCCCCAAGGGCTAGAATAAGATAGTGATAGTAAACATTCAAAAGGAGTATGATGGCCAGTTAATATCGCCATGTCTCGCCATCTTGTTCATGGCATGCATTCTAAATATTCTTTTTTTCTTTGTATGTGACAGGATCTTGAAGAGAAATCTGAAGGTTTTACCTCGCACAAAGACCAGCTATGCAGAGAACAGCGCTTCCTCAGAAGGAGATTGGATTACTTACAGTCTACCTTGCACAGACAACGTCAGGATAGTACAGGAAGTTCCTTGGCCTCAGATGATTCAGAGAAAGGTATACCTACACCACAACCAACGCACAATCTATTCTTAAAAAAAACAAAATCAAGAGCACATGATAAATATATTTATTTTGTTCTTTAAAAAATGTTCTGTGTTCTAGAAGAGAACAATTTGGATTGGAATTGATCTCTTATCAGAAAATAGAAGGAATTCAATTGAAGCTCAGGATGTTTCTACACATTTTTTTTGTAAAGTGGGGATTTGAAACTATGCTCTGGCGACTTTATTTTTGGCTATGTTATATTCAAAGATTTAGTTAAGGGGTTATGGTTACAGTTGGGTTTAAGGTTAGGGTTAGTTGAAGGGTTGGTGCAGAGTTGCAGTAAGGTATTTGGAAAGTGTTACAATCTTGTATTTAAACCTATTTTAATTGTGGGTCTAAGTTTTTATTTCACCTTTTAGAGAAATTAAAATGCTCAATGAAATATGGAACAGTTTCTTGATCATTTCACTGAGTGAAAATAAATTGTGAATTTGTTGAAACCCTATACTGCTTGTCACAAGTAGAGTAATTAATTCATTTCAATTATTTTTCTTCTCTTTTCAGATGATGTGGATGTTATTGGGTACGATAGTGACAACCGCAGCATTGAATCAGATATGAATAGCAGTGACGGAGATCTTGCAGTTGCAACCAAAGAGATTATCATCACTGACTTATAGCTTTAAAAAAAGAAGTTTATATTAAAAGTTATCAATCTTCTTTACTTGCTGCTGTGTTTAAGGAGTTAAAGAAAGACTTTCTATGTACACCTGATAGAGAAAACCTTGGCCACATTCGCTGGCTGGTCTGCTGATATCAATTGAGAAGTACCAGTAAAGAAAATTTGAAATATTCAAGTGCCAATAAATATATCACATTCAGGAAATGGAGAAATTTTCAGATTTAAGAATAGAAGAAAAGTTAGGTCATTTTGAATGACGACTATTTATGGAATAGTATTTGGGTAAGATTTTATGTCACTAGTAAATGTATGGACAGAACTTGTTGACCAGTGAGTATAAGGAGAGAATAATTGTGAATTCCAATCAGTACCTCGATCGACTATAATATTTCTTTCTCTTGTTGAGGAATATCTGTCATTCATACTATGTAGAGCTTTCACTCTTGGAATATTTTCCCATCATGCATCATGCATACATGTACATTGATAGAAGTCTGTTTATAACAAAACAAAAAGTGGTATTGCATTCATGGAATTTTGAATTTTTCAAGTGCACGAAACACCCACAAATTTGAAATTACATGTGTTTTACGTTATTATTATCTCATGTTGTTTTAAACACTTGAGTTCAACCTTCCGGGCATATTGAAGTCCTTGTGTATTAATGTCCATAGCAGTTAAACTAGAAATGTTTTCCTGTGGATCGAGCCAAGGTCTGTCTGTCTGTCATACACTGAATGTTTACTAATTATGATGTGTGTGAGAAATGTTTCAGTATTAACTTATTGGGAGGGTTGGATACCTCTCATTCATTGATTCTTATGTAGTACCTTCTGTTGACATCCTCAATTGCTGCAATGTAAAAGAGCCAAGTTTCTACCACCACTCTATGCTGCAGTCAGTCAGTCTAACTGCCTTCATGCATACGTACATACACTCATGTACACCTCAACCACCCTCTACCCCTAACATGGTGCTTCATCTCTGCATTGGGAGAGCAAAACTTAATGTAAGTCAGTTTAAAGTGGGAACAAATACATCATGCAGGTTCAACTCCTCAAGAGGACAGGTGAATGGATGACAATGTTGGCCTACTGGAAGAATGATGTAACTTTACATGTGTCTCTTTCAGCATACTAGCCTAGACCTGTGCATCCTATGTGTATTTCAATTGTGGAATCCCTGTTTCTGCATGTACTCATTTGATACACAGCTTAGGACCATCTTTAAAAGTAAAATTTTAGATCACTAGCTAATCTAGTGGGTTCAGTTCAGGATTGCCCGACATAATGATAAGGTCTAGTTCAGAGGAAGTTTCATTTTGGTTTCATTACTGAGCCACTGATCTGGAGCATTAGTGTGATAAATTGACATCTTAGATCCGTTAAACATGGAATCTGGAGTGATGATAGTAACATGTATGGTCCAAGATAACTGACTCTGCACATCACAAACTTTTGCAACACCATCTTTGAAATCATAAATAATGAAAGTATAATATTTTAAATCTTACTTCCATTGATACATTGGAAACTCAACTGTTCATGCCTAATGTCAATGGATTCAATCATCAGAAATTATTTTTCTCTGTATGTTAGGGTTAAATATGTACCATGTTTTTATATTGCATGTACTTCTTCAGAGACATGCAAATGAAGAGCACATATAAAGTGCATTGCAAAAAGTTAAGTTAACATTTAAGCAGGAATTGATATGAAATAAGTTCCCTGCGTAATGCTCTGTAATGTTAAGGTTTTGAAATATCTTGTGAAATACAGGTGATCGTGAGAAGAGGGGTAAATAGCAATTAAAGAGGGGATAAAACTCTAATTTTAAATCGGGTGTATGTTATGTAGGAGGTAGAGTTGGTGAAAGAAAGGGAAACATGACTTAAGATCCTCAACAAATAACATGTAAGCATCAAGTTTAACATTCCTCTGAGTAGAGAGGTTGAGAAGTAATAGAGGTAGGTATATAGCATGGTTGTGCTTCAGTTTTAAATGTGAACTAGGTTGTGTAAGTTTTGCAGCTACATGCCAATGTATGCTGCATTCTGCTGTTGAGGAATTTGTAGTGGGTGTTTCTTGCATATTCTTTGTTTGTTTGTTTGTCTGTCTTGTACGTGTATTGGTTTATATCTGACAGCATTTCTGCTGATTTTATCTACATGTATTGTGTAAAATATGGAGTGTATTCTACGGAGAATGAGAACTGCTTTTTGTTGTCAAATTGAAGTAACTTTTATATGGTTAATATATAACTTTCTTGCTACTTTGCTAAAAGCAATTTTTTAAAAATAGCATGTAAACACTATTTAAAGTAGAACATTTCATGTAAATACAGGGTGCTCTGCAACTTCTGAAATTTTAATAAAATACAATAGCAATCCGTATGTGATGCAGTTTGCATATTTGCAAGCAATCTGCTATTTTCCCTCATAATTTCAGGTTATTTGATGGGAATGTTGTGAATTGATAGTAAAGGTTCAATATTGATCTGAGGAGTTTCAGGCAAGAATCAAAGGCACAATGAAGGTTCCTCGATGTAGACAATATGGGAGATATTTTTCTCTTAAATGAGTGCACTCTACATGACATGTATAATGATGAATGTGACTCCATAGAAGACCGAATGAGATGGGGGACAATGCATACATGCTCTCATGTTCACAAGTCAGCTTCCTTCCTTCGTACTCTCTGATGCCTGCAGGAATGTCACATAGTACTTTGAACATAGCCCCATTGCTATCCAATAGATTCTTATTCAATACATGAGTTTCTTCCATTCCTCAAAAATAAATGGATATCATTTACGTGAATTGATTTTTTTTTAAAGTGGGCCTTTCATATTTTGAAGAATAATACCAATATGGATTCATCAACCATGTGTAATATGGATGATACGGCAACCAAGTCTTGTTTTCTTATGAGAGAGCATGATAGAAGGTCTGTGTCAGATTTCACTAGTATATGTCTCAAAGGCCCACAATCACCTACGGTCCCCTAACATGTAAATATTACATACACATTGTGTAGCACATGATACACATGTACAAGGGACACTATAATAAATAATTCTTTTTAGGAGTCAATTTCTGTGCATTCATATGCAAATTAAGTTTATTTCCTCTTGATAATTATTCTTGTATTTCATTTTCTCTTCCTTAGTGTTATCTTCATGATTGGTAGGAATCAAGTAAATGATGTCCAAGAGAAAACGTATTACATGTATGAAGTTCAACTGAATGAAATCTCGACTCCTCGCTTGCACTAGCTGTTTTCACTTGTTAATTAAAGAATGTATTTGCTGTACATACGTACAGCCTTCTTGCCTTTGAAAGATTGGCTTGTTGCTAGCCTATCCACTCTATACTAATACTCTGGTTTATCTTCCTCCATGATAATGGAAATCAAACTCAAGAAGCAGCCACCATCAACACAATATTTATTTCACTTTTTTTTTTTTTTTTTCCTTTCTGAAACTGTACAAAGTGTGAGCTTAAATTATAAACAGATTTTTCCCTTTTAAAGTCTGAGATGTTTTCAGTGTTAACTCATTACAATGATTATTATTCTTTTTTTAAAGTTTTGTAAATACTGCCTTTTTCTGTATGTTGAAAATAATTATCAAAATTGTATATGTCTACAATATATATAACTGTAGAAACTATTTGTAGATCTCTGCTTGTATTGTGTGTAAACTACGATAAATGAAATAAAAAGTTCTATTTCCAAATAAGAGAATAAATTGTGTGAACGTATATGCTTTCTACTAGATTGATGTGTATGCTATATCTCTCCTGCTTGTGCACGATGTAATGAGCCTTATCATGAGCATGGCAATTACGATGACATTTTAAATGGTTGCTCTTCAATAATATATCCATCTGTAAAGATTAAATTTTGTCAATTTTCAACTCCTATGAATACATTTCGCAATGAAACAAAACGACCTTTTTCCAATTTAGGATTTCTTTACAGTCGCCATCTTTAAAATTTATCAAATGATTTTGTCCTGAAGCAAATTATGGCAAATACGGGGAGTGGCCCTGTTTCTATTAACATGTATCTGAAAATCCCCTCCCCCCTTTAAGGACGAAGTTAAATTTTGTTCTTTTTATTTCAGAGGGATAAGGTTGGCTCAGATTCCGAGCATTGTAGTGTATTTTGCCTTGTCTTCTTTTTTTTTAATACAAACTATGAAAGCACCAATTTTTCGTCATATTCCATAGACTAGTGGCTTGGCTATAGGGGTCATAGGGCATGTGCCCCCATCAAAAGGTGGAAATAAATAAGGGTAGAGAAAAGGAGAGAGAGAGAGGGAGAGAGAGAGAGAGAGAAAGGGGGGGGGGGAGGGGCTTGAAAAAGGAACAGAAAAGAGATACTCCTACATTTTCCCATATTAGGTTACAGTGTCAAAATCACACTTTACAATACAATCCAGCTAAGACCGGTGCCCCTAATGATGAAAAAAAAACTTGGTTCATATGCAACGTGTAGTGAATAAAGTGCATAGAGGAACTTTTGTTTATTATTTTCTCTGTAAATATTGTATTATTATTATTAAAACCTTCACCGTACAGAAAGAAAAAAAAGAAGGGATAGACCCACAGACTAGCTTGTTATTCAAGAAATAAAAAATGGTTTTTGTTTGTTTACAAAGGTGTTTGGGGGGGGGGGGGGTATCCTAATAAATTATTTTGGGCACAAAAGGCTAATCGGGTGTAAGTTCATCGATGTCAATGTACATAGAGATCAGTGACTGGTGATCTTTACAGATTTGCATCTAAATTGGCAATCACGATGTGACGATTTGTTGGGCTATGTTCATTACATTTGCCGGCTGATTTAGGAACTTTAAAAATGGCAAATCCCGTCTTCTTTCCAGATTTGGAAACACTGAAACAAGGAATAGAGGAACTGGAGGAATCCTCTCGCGTGAAATTCGTAGTATTAAACAAGGACAAAGCATTTGGAAAGGGTAAGCATGGACTATTTCGATCTGGTTTCTAAGTTAATTATCGCGATCGCCTCTGCTCTGCTGTCAGGCCAAGCCGAGCTCCAGCACTAATGTAATGTGGCCCAGTGGGCCAGGCCAGGCGAGCAATATTGTGTGCTTGTTGTACTTGTGTGTAATTGGGTTTTTACAGACTAGCTAGACGACGTACATGCAGGCAGGTACATCTGGGGACCGACCTTCAAAGTCTAACGTCACCATATCAGGGCCCATCTTATAAACAGTTGCGATTGATCCAAATCAATTGCAAGTTCTCCAATCAATCGCAAGTTTGTGGTCTCCGCAAGGCCAATGGCAATGGGTGACCAAAGTTCGCGGATATTCGACACAAATATTATTTATTTCAATTATTACCAAATGGACGGCTAAGTAATTTTACTACAAATTGATTCCACTAGACAGTGACTAGAAAATTTATCATCAAAGTCAAAGGATTCTGGAGATATCGTGATCTAAAAATTGCGCTGCAACTAAAAAACTCATTCTAAAAACGAGACAACACTTTGCGCACAGGGGTTTCCAGCCAATTTATGCAATCCATTAAAACTAAGGTAATGTCATTATTTGCAAGGCAAGCTAGATCCATACAATCGCAAATACATGATGTAAGTTGCGATTAGTTGTGATGTTTGTTGACAGTTTGCGATGCCACGGAAATCTGGACGTATATACCAATTGGTCCTGTCCAGTACCACCTTAGATGTAGATGTAGATTAATATGAGCTGTTTATAAGACAGGGCCCAGAGGATAAAATACAGAATACCACAAACGTTAGGTCTACATGTCAGCACCTTTACCCTCTTTTGAAGTTTGACATGTAGCTGAAAAACCTGAATCCAAACCTCAAGGAGAAGTCCAACTCCAATTTCCAAATCCAATCTAGGAAAAATGAAAATGATATTGCTGTGCCAGTGTGCCTGCTGTTACTAAGTTGATGTTAGAAATGGGAGATCCAGCCCTCATAATGAGTTGATTTCTATGAATGTAGAAACATAAGATAAACAAGATGCCCAAAGGTTGAATTAAATTGGACCAATAATTAGAAAGTTATGAATGTTTTAAATATGAGATCTAAGCTAGTCTATGAAAATTTCAAATTGGCAGTTTGGTCAGTGAATATGGATTGTTGCTTATTATGTCTATGCCCCTAGCAAGATATTGATTGGCAAAGACAAGATTGTTCTTGTTAAATTGTAATAGGCATCAAAGATCCCGGGTTCGACTCCCACCCAAGCGGATGACTGAAACCCCCAGTATAGTACGATAATACTCTATAAAGAGGTCTGTACTCAAAAGGAAGAAAAAAAAAAGAAAAAAAAAAGAAGAAGAAAGAAAGAGAGTAGGTCTATGTTATGATCTTCAAGATGGTCCATGATGCTAAGGTGTATTTTGTTCTTCAAAACTTTACACCCATACCGGTAATGTCAGTGAAGTTTGACTTGTTAATCTGTCAAAACTGGCTGTTTACAGTTTTGCTGAAATTTGTACTACTCCTTTTGGACTGATATGTGACTTAATCAACCATAGGCACATGTTGGAAGGTAAGGGCTGAGTGGGCAACAGCTCCACTTTTATGTGACAGAAATCTTGACAACCTTACATACCGGTATGCATGAAACGTTTTGAAGAAATAACATCTTTGACAAACTGGTATGGGATATCTCACTTTGATGGTTCTTTTGACAGGTTATAACTTTGCAGAAAAATCTTCTTTCCGGCTTCGTTGGGAGTATGATGAAGACCAGCACCCGTGCAAGATTCCATTTACAGGTGTTCCCTTCATTGCGGTGGGCCGTAAGACTATGGAATGTCATCAAGGAAAGGACAGGAATATCAGACAGAAAGAAAAATATGCCATTCAAGCAGAAAAGTCAAGGGTAAGACAGGAATATCAGACACTTCAGACAGAAATTGAAAGAGATATAATGTACCTTCCTTTACATGTAGCCAGAAAGGGTAATTAGAGGGAAAGAAGAGGGGCTATAACACAAAGTCATTGATTTATATAGTTTCCATTTTACTGTTTTAGAACAAAATTATTTACAGTAGGGTAACTTTTCTGAGCTGTGATGATAATACTTGTTACACTGTAATTCCTGTCATTTTCTATTCTATCGCAACTCTTTTTTCTCTGTTTTAAAGGTTCAATGCTAGGCTATTCCATGCACATTGAAGATTTCCAAGTTGAAAGTTAAGAAAATCAAGATGTATTTTATTTTTAAGCCATGTGATGAATTGGTGAAAACTAAATGATTTTGATTGATTTCTGTGACTGTCACTTATTCAGGATTCAAACTCTAAGAAAAGAAAGAAGCAAATGGTTTCACAACGGACAAAGAAAGTCAGCTGTCCAGCAGCTATCATCATTATACAGATTACAAGACTGCAAGACATCAAGGTATGTACAGTGCTTCAGTTGATTTCAGCCTCAAGCTTATGTTATTTGCCTATGGCATAACCTTTCAAAGCAAAAAAAAAAAAAAGAGAAAAAAAAAGTAATTTTCAAAATGAAAACCGTACAATTCTTCTAAGAGGTAAATTTATTGATATTTGCATTTAAGTGGTCGAAAGAATATTTTTTTTAAATACAAATTCAAGACTGTTGAAGAGACTTCACATACTTTTGTAAGCGTTGTCATCATAAAGGGCTATCTATGAATGTTAAGGTTTTGTTTTCCTCCTCAGGTGAAAGAAAACAAGGAATGGACCAAAAGGATGGCTGCTGCAGAATTTAGAAAAATGTTATCTAAGGGCCACAAACCTCAGCAGAGATCAGAGTTTTATGCTTTATTTCCAAAGGATCAAGATCATAAAGGACATCCCATCAGAAATGAGGTACAGTAGGTCTATTAATTATACTTATGAAAATCTTATATCAGTTATATGTATATACCGGTATACATGTATATTCATAGATATTCATGCTCCGCAGTTCAGAAGTACAAAATATATTACTAAAAATTCTCTTTTGAAGAAGAATAAATTTGTTATTCACATTAAAGGTATTTTCCGTGCTCCTTCTTACTTATCCCACTTAATTACATTCATGCTGTTGCCTCCGTGTCAAGTTTTCAGAGCTATCAAAATTCCAAAAATTGGGGACTTGGAAGGAAAGTGGATGCACATGCTGCTCAAAAATTCACATCCAAATTATTTAAAACAATAAAATATATAAGAAATTATTAAAGCAATAAAATACAAAAAATGTGAAAAAGGCATCAACTTTGCATGAATTTTATTAAAGGAGAAGTCCACCCAGATATCAAGTTGGTTTTAATTAAAGCAGAAAAATGAGAGAAACAAATAAATGAAAGTTTGAGCAATATATCCGATTAAAAATAGGAAAGTTGTGAATTTTGAATTTGACATCAGTGAAACACAAATTGGCAACTGCAGTATCTTGCGAGCTCCTCCCCAATTTGCTCTGTACTGAAAATTCCATAATCTTTCATCTTCTTGGTTATTGATGATGAGAATAGAGTTGCTTCATACAGGGGTTTTATAAAACATATTTGCAATAATTATATTTAAGGTGAATGTATGATTGTAATTTTTTAAAGGAAAAATATAATTATTTTAAAGTCTTTAGTACAGGGCAAATAAAGGGAGCCTCGCAAGGACGTAGATTTGCTAATTTGTGTTTGATTGATGAAAACTTTAAAATTCGATAACTTTCTTATTTTCAATCATTTTTTAAAACTCAAACCTTCACTGACCTGCTTCTCTCAATTTTCTATTTTTATTAAACCAACTGAATATCAAGGTGGACTTGCCCTTTAAAACTAAAAAGTATGGAATTTTCCAGTTGGTAATAATAATGATATTCTGTTCAATTTTCCATGAATTTTTGCATTGAACACATGCTTTTCTGATGAATTGTTTTCATTCAGCTCTATCAACACATAGTATGCTTTAACTTGATTTATACAGGCTGCTGGTCTCCGAGAACCAACCATTCCAGAAGTAGTAGAGAGGGTGAGATCATTAACTCGAGGAGGGATTGTTAAAGTCAGTGAGATGAAGCAACACATTGTGAACTTCCTTCACAAAGAGTTACATGTAACAGACACGCTTCGTCGTAGATACATGCCAACAAACACTGACATCAGTAATATCATGGCTTCTGTGAAACGTAAAGCTAATCAGGATCCAGACAGTATGACTGAGTTCATTAATATGATGAGGAAAAGATATCCTAGTGATCTTCTTCTCTATAGACCAAATTCTTCTAAACATCCACTACTCTTCTGCTACCAGTCTACATGGCAGAGCAGACTCTTGAATCGTTATGGCAACCAATTCTGTCTCCTTGATGCCACTCATCGTGTAGTTGGAGGGTCAAAGTATCTTTTTCTTCTATATGTGAGAACTAATGTTGCATACGTCGCAGTTGGTGCCTTTATTATAGAAGCAGAAGAATCTGCTAAGATCCAAGAGGCTTTGGATATATTTGCAAAGTGGAACCCTAACTGGATACCATCTAACTTTGCAGTGGATGTAGCAGACGTCCAAGCTGTACAATCATGCTTTCAAGGTTAGTATATCTTACACATAAAAAGAGAAATATGTTTAATGGTTTTTATAAAAGAATGATAAATTTAAAAAAATGTACTTTATTTTCATTTTTATAAAGACGATATTTATTATTTGTTTACTCACCAAGTTTGACAAAGTTTGGAAATTGATTTTCAAGGAATTAGCAAGGGGTCCGAGGATTCTTATCTCATCGCTTGTTGCCAACAGTATTTCCATTACTGATATTACTATTGATAGAATAGTCAATAATTCTAAGTTAAAATCTATCTTTCAGTATTGTGAGAACAGTAGCGTTACATACCTAAGATTGAATGTATAAACGTAAATTTTACAGACCACATTGTGCTCATAGTTTGCATTCACTTTTATTTATCTTTTAGATTGTACTGTGAGTCTTTCCCATGTTCATTGTGAGAGGGCATGGGGAGAACTTATCTCTAAAAATCCACAGCTGAAGAAGGAGATCGTTCTACCATTGCTTCGCCGCATAGCACATGCAGAGACTATTGGAAAGTATGAAGAATTGATGAGCCAACTACTTAACAATACTGACATGAAGGAAAGCTCTGTCTTATCAAGTTATTGGCAGCCTCAAGCTAAGGTATGGAAACAATACCAATTTATTATCTCTCATAATTTATTATCTCTCACAATGAATCTATAGAAATCAAGGCAGTTGTAGTAGCCATACTAAAGTTAAACGGAAATCATTTCAGTCAGAGGTTATACCTCATTAGTTGGGCCTTATTTTAGTCAGAAAAATAAGTAGAAGTGAATTTCCACTTTGAATGGCAGAAATCAAATCAAATCAAATCAAACTTGGTAAAAGATGTTTCAAACTTCATACTCATGCAACAGGTAGCTGACTTGAATAGACTTGCGATAACTTGTTCATACATTGTATGTGACTACTAATTTTTGAACGATGAATTTATTAAAAAAAGTAATGTTATCTAAATTTGTGTAAATATAGGAAGAGGTACAATGTTGATGTTATCATATTTGAGTTAATCATGGGTTATAAACGTTAGTTCTTGTAATCCTGATTAAATTGATGTGATTATGTTCTTGTTTTGTTTAGAGATGGGTTCGATGCTTCCAAGAGGAGAGTTTTTATCTGACTGTCCATGCTGCAGGAGGATTTGATAAACAGAATGAAGTTCTCAAGTATGATATCATCAAGCCCTACTCCAATGGTTCAATCAAAGACTTGGTAGCAGGACTTATTAATAATTTCTTCCCAGAATCTTACCGAAAGTAAGTATTTTTTGTCTGCTTGTATTCATAATATATATCTGTTTGTATGTTTTAGTTTGGTTATGATTAAACAAGATAAATTAAAAAAAGATGTTATCAAAGTGTCATTCTGCAGTCTAGGACTGCATTATTTTCTTTAAAAGAAGAGCCTAGACCAGTTTTTTTCCAATAGCCTACTCTGTTTGGTTCATAGTAGCACTGGAAAACTACATTCTTATGTTGAATGTCCATCACAGTCCTTTTCATTACTCTGTAATGTATCTTATTCTTGTAACAGTGTCCTGTTTATGTGATTTAATCAACTGACAGACTAAATGAGACTATAATGTATATTCAGTTAGAGGGCGCACTCATGCCTTTTAATAAACACTTCCTCACATGTTAAACACCTGTGCAAGCTCTCTGCTGCTCGAGTCAAGAATATCACTTAAATGAACCTCTTAAACATAATATAACAATTCTAGCAATGAATTACTTGAGCTAGGGGTACTCAACAAGACCTTGTAAGAAGAAAATTTGTGATAAATTGTAGCTGTTTGAGATATCAGTAATATCGTCATCACCAGCAGACAAATATCAGCCTCCTCGTTAATTGAACTGAGAAATGTTCTGTTGTAAAAGGCCTGGAAAAGATTGACATTTAATGTTTTATAAGAGAAAACAACTGTTGATTTCAATGGTCACTTGTGCCTCTTACTATGAAAACATGATGTTCACTTTTATTTGAGCCAAGCTTGTTTGCTACTACAATATTCCTGGTATTTATTTCATTTCTAATTTCAGTATGCATAACAACAGTTATTGGTTATTAGTCAAAATCAAAGAGTTACACAAAGGTCATATATATGTTATGGACACACAAGGCATTCCTTCCTAAATATTTGAGTTTGAGTTTGAGTTTATTAACAACAAAAATAATAACAAGTAAAACATAATGTATCAAGCATGATTACATAAAATATAACAATATAACACAAGATCGATAACATTACACATGAATAATATAAATATTGTTTTACAAGTATGTCGTATACAAATGGAATAACAAATATTATGTGTACACTTTTGTTGTTAAAGGGGGTACCAGAAGTTAGCAGAAGTGCTAGTCAAGTCTGGTTCCCTGTCTTTGGCAAGAATTTTAAAACTATTTTTTTTTTTACTAACTACATTATATACATGTAACATAAACTATATAAGTAAACAAAGAAATAGAATAGTCCTTTAGAAATATTCCTTACTTAATATATATGGAAGTCAAATGTGTGTCGACTTCCGTATCAATACCAAACATACAGTAAATAAAAAATATATCATTATCTAGTGGTCTTTTTATAAATTCTCTAATCTGAGATTTCCTTTTGCCATTTTAAGAAGTTTTAACTTTTGTTTAACTCAAAGTATTTAGATGTTTTGTTAACCCCTTTCGAAAAGCATATGGTATACTATTCCACTATTCCATATTTTCACGCCCATAAATGATATTGAAAATTGACCTTGTGTGGTTTTGTATTTAGGCAGATATAGTTGTCCTTGTTCTTTGCCCCTTGTGCCATATCTGTGTTCTATTACCTGACAGTATTCAATTAAGGAATGAGGAAGATTGCCATTTAATAAGTCATAGATGAAGGTTGAGACAGATAGGAAATGAAGGTTGTAAATATTTTTATTTAAAATGTTTATCTTTTGGAACAAGGGTTCCGAATGGGTACCTCTTGGGCTAAAAGTTATCGCTCTGACGCTCTCATTGCCATTTTCTGGGTAAGGAAAATACAAGTCAAGTTGGTTTTGTATGTGGTTCCCCATACTTCAATTCCATACAAAATATGTGGCTGGATTAACGCTTTGTATAATAGCACTAAAATGTTCTGTGGGACATAATGCCTTATTCTAAACAAAATTCCGACTTTTGAACGAATATTTTGATTCACCATTTTTATGCCTCCGCCACCGAAGGTGGTGCCGGAGGCATCATGTTTTCGGGTTGTCCGTCCGTACGTCCGTCCGTACCTCCATCCCGTTTGACCGTTATCACAATATCTCAAGAACCATTTAAGATTTAAACTTAAGACTCGGGAATAGTGTTTATCACCATAGGAAGACGATCTGATTAGATTTTGGAGTACGTAGGTCAAAGGTCACAGGTCACAGAGGTCAACTTATGAAATTCCTTGTATTGAGTTTGTTACCGCGATATCTCAAGAACCATTTGAGATTTAAACTTCAAACTTAAGGATAGTATGTATCACCATAGGAAGACGATCTGATTAGATTTTGGAGCACGTATGTCAAAGGTCAAGGGTCACAGAGGTCAACTTATGAAATTCCATACATTGAGATTGTTATCATGATATCTCAAGAACCACTGGAGATTTAAACTTCAAACTTAGTGATAGTGTGTATCACTATAGGAAACAATCTGATTACATTTTGGAGCACGTAGGTCAAAGGTCAAGGGTCATAGAGGTCAACTTATGAAATTCCATACATTGAGATTGTTATCATGATATCTCAAGAACCACTGGAGATGTAAAAACTTCAAACTTAAGGATAGTATGTATCACCTTAGGAAGACGATCTGATTAGATTTTGGAGCACGTAGGTCAAAGGTCAAGGGTCACAGAGGTCAACTTATGAAATTCCATACATTGAGATTGTTATCATAATATCTCAAGAACCACTGGAGATTTAAACTTCAAACTTAATGATAGTGTGTATCACCATAGGAAGACAATCTGATTAGATTTTGGAGCACGTAGGTCAAAGGTCAAGGGTCACAGAGGTCAACTTATGAAATTCCATACATTGAGATCGTTATCGCGATATCTCAAGAACCACTGGAGAATTTTCACTTCAAACTTAATGATAGTATGTATCACCATATCATAATATCTCAAGAACCACTGGAGATTTAAACTTCAAACTTAATGATAGTGTGTATCACCATAGGAAGACAATCTGATTAGATTTTGGAGCACGTAGGTCAAAGGTCAAGGGTCACAGAGGTCAACTTATGAAATTCCATACATTGAGATTGTTATCATGATATCTCAAGAACCACTGGAGATTTAAACTCCAAACTTGTTTAAATTGCTCTATGGCGGAGGCATCATTTTCGACTGCGCGCAGTCAAAATTCCATCTAGTTATATGTTCGATCCATGTGAGATGCTTATCAATTTGTAGTCCTACTTCAAGTAATTTAGATCCAGATATTTCAAGAGCACCTTTTACTTGGACAGATCTCCTTTTGCCCTTTATTATCATATAATTTGATTTGCTTAGATTAATTGTGACTTTGTTGGCATAACACCACTGCTGGACCTTATTCAAATCTGTATTCACCTCATTCATATCAATATCTTTCTGACCAGTCTTAAAGGTATGGAACAAGTTTGAATCATCAGCAAATAACCTGAAGTTGAAAAATTTTGTAGAGTTTGGCAAATCATTTATATAAATGAGAAAAAGAGTTGGGCCAAGAACAGGTCCCTGTGGAACACCGCATGATGTTTTAAAATATTGAGACATTGTTTCCCGGTATTTCACAAACTGAAATCTATTGCTGAGGTAATCTGCGAACCACTGGAGCGCAATGCCACGTTTTCCGTAAAGAGATAATTTACTAATTAGAATGTCATGGTTTATAGTATCAAATGCCTTCTGAAAATCAATGAACACACCAGTAGTTAGTTTTCCCTCATTTATTGATTTCAATAATGCATTTGACAAATTAACAACAGATAACTTTACGGAAGCCATACTGATGTTGCTGCAACACATTGTTCACATCTAAGAAATCCATCAACGACTATTTACTATTTTTTCAAAGATTTTTCCAAGTATTGGTAATACAGAAATTGGCCTGTAGTTTCCTGGGATGTCTTTTGGCCCTTTCTTGTAAATTGGTGTTACTTTTGCTATTTTTAAGGCATCAGGAAATTTACCTTCCTGTAAAGACAAATTAAATATGTGAGATAATGGTAAACTAAGCAGTCGCGCTGATATGTTATCATACCCACATGACTTGTTAACATCAAAGGCAGAAATGTGATTCTCAATTTCTTTTTCAGTCACTGGTTTCCAAAAGAGAGTTTTACTCAGCTTAGGTCCTAACTATGCAGTGTAATCTGCATCATTCTGTGGTATTTTATCTGTCAGGTTTTTTCCAATATCAACAAAGAACTTATTAAATTCAGAAGCAATCTCATGATAATCTGTTATCACCCTACTCCCTCCGTTTTTATGAATAGTAAATTTTTCAATGTCGGTACCCTTTCCTGACACTTTTTTACCACACAATAACTGATTTATAGTCTGCCATGTTTTTCTGGTGTCCTGCCGGTTTTGTTTTAAAATATCACTATAATAATTACGCTTTGCATTTTTTATAACTAAAGTAAGAATATTCCTAAATTTTTTATATCTATCTCCAGATAGTGAATTAAAATTTGATCTTTGATACTTACAATACAAATTCTGTTTTTTGCGTATTGACTTCAGTATACCTTTAGTTATCCATGGATTTTTGGCAGTGTTTTTATTTCTGGTTGGTCCTAGTGTTACGATTGGTGCATTTTTATCACATATCTCTTGATATAACTTGTAAAACATGTCATATGCTTTATTCATGTCTTCTTGTCTGAATGCTTTATCATATTTTCATTCATTTTGTTTCTCCTGACATGGCTACATGCAGATTAGAATTTTGTCCAATGGTCAGGGGTCAGTTGTTTCATATTTTACCAGTTTGGAATCATCACTATTTTCTGTTTGGCTGATCGTTGGTACGCACTTAATAAGCTGATATTCAGGCAATGCATTTCATTTGACTTCCATTAAATTACCCTTGTTATTTTTATTGTCTATTACACATAGATACCTCGAACGCAATGCCAGATCATCTGCAGGCTACAGCCATAGCAATGCTCAAATACCAAAGTTCTTGCTAAATCGACCAAGACCAATAGTACGTCACATCGAAGATCGCATGCAGAATGATATTTCTAAAGAGAGCATCATGGATCATGGGAATGGAATATTTGTGATACAACAAGCCAATGCATGCAACACTCTACGATTTGGTGAGGAAAATATCATGCCACACTGTACATGTCGTGACTGGCAAATCCATCTTCTTCCTTGTAAGCATTTCTGTGCAGTTTTTATCCACTTTCCATCATGGCAGTGGGAGAATCTGAGCGCTGTGTATCACAACAATCCTATCTTTGCCCTGGATGATGCATTCATTGTTACCATGGATACCCATCCACTTGAGGAGTCAGGAGGAGGAGCTAAGGATACAAGGAGGAAGCAAGCATTACAGGAATGTATGGATACTACTAAGGCTATCAATGCAGCTGTAAAGAGATTACAGGATACATCTCATATTATGAGTGTTAATAAGAAGCTTAGGAGTCTATTAGAAGACATTCAATCATCGAGTCTTGATCAATCCAGTGATGTGGACCATGCAGGAAATTGAATCATGTTGGATCATCTCTTCACTACACTCTAAACAAGAGAGCTCTTGTAAGAATAATGATGATAATAATAGTGGGTTCTTGTATAGTGCTTGTGTCTGTCAAGCTTGTCAAACTTGACACTCCCGGCGCTCCATAATTATTACCTTGGCATTAGCATGGCTGCCATTATTGTGCTCCACCCTTTCAAGGAATTAATTCCTGCCAGGTACCTATTCACCTCGCCTGGGTCGAGTGTGGCGAATGTAGATAAATGTCTTGCCAAAGAACATTAGTGCCCTGGCAGGACTCGAGCTGCGTACCTTGTGATCCACAGTCCAGCGATGTATCTGCTAGACCACAACACATCTCAATATATTCTATTATTAACCGTATCAGACATCTGAGCAGGGCAATTTTTAAATGTTATTGCCCTCAAGGTTTGATGGATAAGTCAACAAAATTACAATAAGTTAGTCCGCTCAGCAAAGTCAATGGGATTTTGTGTGTGATTTGGCGGGCAATATAGGTTATACAGTAAACCAATGAACAAATATTTTAGCCCGCTCAGAACAGTCAATGGGATTTGTGTGTAATTTGGCGGGCAATATAGGTTATACAGTAAACCAATGGACAAATATTTTAGCCCGCTCAGAAAAGTCAATGGCAAAATGTGTGTTAAACTAGTGAGCATTAATGTAGATTCAGCCCGGCCCCCCACTCAGGTTTCGAAATGACCGCATGCGTGTTGCCAAAAAGTCCTTTTCGTAACAAAAGAAAAAGGTCGACCCGTATTGACTTTACACACCGGACTTTTGCTGAAAAGGCTCGTATACAAAAGAAAAAGGTCGAGCCGTATTGACTTTACACACCGGACTTTTGCTGAAAAGGGGGGGTCGGTTGGAACACGCATATGCGTACCCTAAATAACACTGAGTGGGGGGGCCGGGAGATTCAGTTGTAATTTACATCGCACATCAGCTAATGTAATTTACATCGCGCAACGCGTATAAGAAAATGCGCACTTTGCGCAAACTCCATTGTGACGTAACAATCGCACCCTAGGCAAACTGTTTGCAGTGTATCGAAAATCTGTCAAACACTGGATGAACAGTGCTGGTTTGACAATGTTTTTGCAACTTCTAATGCTAGGAAACCCTGTGTAGCCTACATAATCTATATAAGTAATACGCTAAGGCTCCGCGGGGGGCGCGACGTCTCGGCGAGCCTTTGTATTCTATTGTTTTTTAATGAGATCGCCGACCCAAGTTGGTGCGGCTATCTCCTCCTGAACCCTCCCCTCGGGGTACCCGTGCCCGGTGCCATCGTCCGCGGGAGAGTCTACTCTGTGGAATTGGCTATACTCCGCCCGAGGTCCTCCTCCGTGTCGACGTCCAGGGCGAAAACAGACGCGACATGCATTATGCAGGATATGCGTGACGACAGAGATACCTCATGGATATTCAACATTACATCCGTAGACACACGACCGATGACTATCCACTCACATTAAGTTGCGTATTAAATGCACGATGGACAGGGTCGGGATTACCCAGAGTAAAGCGTCTTGCTATAGGATGTGCTTTGTTGCAGCTAGGATGTGCTTTGTAGTAGCTGTATCAAACAGACACACAACAGATGACCATCAACTCACATTATGTTACGTATTAAATGCTCTATGCAAAGGGCGGGATAACCCCCGAGTAAGACATCTTACCATAGGGTGTGCTTTGTACTCGCTGCACAAGCCAGAGAGATACACGGGGCTAATTCCCGTCGACGTCCAAACTTAGAGACCTATTTCCATCAGGATTGCCGCGATTTTTATATAGTTTTCGTGAATGGAGGTATGAAATCAAAGCTTATTTTGTGATTATTACGGCCATTTATACTGAATTTTGATTATCATTTTCTAAAGGAAAGTTTTCACAAGAAAACCATTGGACTGACAGTTCAGTCGCAAGCTAACTTCAGTCAACACATACAGTATACACGGTGCTGCGGCTGGGGCGCTTTGACCAAGATTGAGCTGCGCTAGAGTCGAAGAGTTTGGGGGGCCAAGCAGGCCAATATTCGTACAACTATATAACTACACATACGTCTATCCATCCATCGAAGAACCCGTCAACACAACAGCGTGCGGGCCGAAGTGCCAAAAATTTGTTTCTTATCTTTACAGTAAATTACAAGAAAGCATTGAATAAGGTTATGAATTGTACATTTGCATATTAATAGTTCAATATCAACCAGACAGAAGCATGTGACTTCATGCATTGCAAAACAATCAGTTGCGTAATGAGTAAAATTGTTTTTTTTGGGGGGGGGGGGGGGGGGGTGCAGAAAAAAAATCGACATCACCATGCACCATTCTTGCATGTTACATGAAGGCTTCAAGAAACATTTTTCAAAGTGGGGGGGGGGGGGGGGGGGGGGGTCAGTTAGATCGCAGCGGGTTGAGAGTATATAGGCGTGGGGTCCACGGGTTTCAAGGGGCCATAAACCCCCGAAAGCTCAGGGGTTTTAGGCGTTTAATTAGGGTCAGATGAGCATATTTTTAATACTTTATTTGTGACACTTGCGGGTTACTAATTGGCGTGGGGTCAATACGTAGAGTTGAGTAGTGTTGCGTACCAACTACGCCGGCCTACGTTACTATATACTGAGGGACGGAAAGGGGTACGCAAGATGAACGAAAAAAATTCAACATGTTTAATTTTTTTCGCGTACATTCGGCGTAGAAACTCGACGCAGAAAGTACGCCTTTTTACGCAACACTACGCTACATGCCTACGCAACAGTACGCTACCCTACGCCAGATCGACAAAGCAGTAAAAGCTTTCCACACAGTAAGCAACCATAAGCAAACCTGTACGCCAGCCTACGCATAACCTACGCAGGGACTATTTTCCCATTAATACGCAGCCTAATTTCTGCATAGTCGGTACGCCACACTACGGAACTCTACGCAGTTCCAGTGGCTTAAAGAATAACTACCGGTACAGTTGGATCGTTTTTTTTATTTTTTTATATAAGGCCAAATTTTAAAAAAAAACATGTTTAGCGTCCTGTTTTTTTGAAAAATGGGAAGGAGGAGACCCTTTTTTTTTTTTTTTCTTTCAAAATGGCCGCTCCGTACATTTTCCCTGACATTCGGGCTATTTTTCAAGATGGCGGCTGACATTTTTTTTTTTTTTTTTTTTTAAATCGGAAATAAATTTTAGCAGTGCTTTTGATGTTTTTTTTTTCTTTTCAAAAAATAAAAAAAAATTCAAAAAAATAAAAAAAATAGGGGGCGGCCCCCAAAAAGGAAGCGGATGGGGACGCCGTTTTATTTTCTTTAAAAATTTTTTTTTTTAAAATAAAAAAAAAAATCAAAAAAAATTCAAAAAATAAATAAATAGGAGGCGGCCCCCAAAAAGGAAGCGGGCGGGGACGCTAAACATGTATATTTTTTTAATGGCCTGAATGGCAAATAAAGTTCTTGGTGGTTTTAATTTAGACAGTCTCTATATATCTATTTACACCCCCCGCCCCCCTCTAGAATCCCGCGGATTTCCGCGGGTCCTGCTAGTTTAAGAGTATAAGACAGTAAGAGTTTCTTGTTTGCTCTAGATGTCTGATGTGGTTAATAATAGTAATATTGACTGCCTAATTCAGGGCAATACGACTTGTCATATATCACCCTCACCTACGGTTCTGGCGATATATGTCGTATTGCCCAGAAGGCAGTCAATATTACTTAAATACGGGTAATGATACTCATAACAGATTATGATTCTGTATGGTTGGTTCACTATCTGCTTCCATCAATGATAAAATGAGTGATGTGTATATATTCTCAAATCAGCTGAGTGATGCAGAATATCTATACTGACTTGCTGTCATCATGAAAGTATTGGAAGTTTCAATTTCTAAATCTTTCCCAAATCACATTTTATAAACTGCTCTCTTAAACATTTTTCTTCCAAATCCACCTTTGATATACCATCCTTTCTGACAAATCTTTCTCTTTCTCAATTCACATTTCATATACTATCCTCTCTGGTTGGTTTTTCTGTCACAAAATATATACATTTGCATGTACATGTTGATGATCTTAGTCTGTAAATGTAACAAATATTCTCTGTATACACAAGTGCTTCAAATGATATTGATATATCTTGTCTTTCAGTACAATTAAGAAACAAGAGCTAGTTTCTATTTACATTACTTAACCGATTTTTTCAAGAGATGTATAATCTTACATACCATACTCTTACAAAGAGTAGATATGTTCTTTGTAGAGGTGAATGTAATAATTACAAGTCATATATTAATATTATGGTAAACAATGTGTCACCGTGTGTCAACCATTTAGGTTACTTGTCTTTAAGTCTTTTGATTACATGTTGTCTTTGACAGCTGTTTCATCTATGCAATCATTTCTGAAATCCAAATTTTACTTGTGTATGGTTGCAATAAATATTAAATGGATATACAGATATCAACACAAAAATACAAGAAATAATGATGCTCCGTAGACGAAGAAATATTTTCACCAATTTTCTCCCTTAGGGCTTTGTCAAGTAATGAGTTTATTTGACTTTGAAAATATAATTGTTATGCATCAAAATATTTTTACTTTCTTCTATATAAATCTATATATATATATAAATAACAATGATTAAAACAATTGAAATAAAATCCTTGAGAGTTCTTTTCTTCACTATGACTGTTTCAATTTGATTTCTTCAGAAACCGGTCAAGGATTTTTATTTCAATTGTTTTAATTATTATTTGTACATCACCGTGACGGAGGATTATCAAAAATAAATTACTGGATATATATACATACTTTTCATCTGAGGGTGTTATTTATCATTGACTGAGGAATATTTAATAATTTAAAGAAATATTTGTATATGTAATGTTTCACAGGTTCATGGTTTCAGTTAAATCAGTAGTGGATCACTAAGAGTATTGCGTTTATAGAACAGAACTTTGTGACTCAGTGAATTATGTGTTTCGCATGATAGATGTACATTTACAAGATAAAACATCCTACCATAGAAATATTAAAAACAAACAAAGAACATAAATATGAAGAAGAAAAAAGAAAAAGTACAAATCAAGATACTACCACCCCCCTCCCCCCGCCCCCTCAGCAATCATTCTTTCCAATATATCTCAGAACAATGCAAGATACTTGGGGAATAGGATTCTGTATCCATACCAATATCAAGGTGCCTGGAATGTACATTTTGAGTGTACAACTTTTTTCAAACTTTGCTTTAAGAGTGCAAACTTACTACATGTAAATCTACCATTATTGGTAATTCAAAATACATATTTAGGGCCAGTGTTATAATCTTGGTGAGCAGGGCTCGTTTGAAATATTTTTAGGTCGAAATTTAGTTAATTTGCTGAGGAGAAATCTGCCAACAGAAAGTATGAATAGGATGTCACCATCTCTGTTACGATGCTCCTGGTGAATGTCCTTAAACACTGGTTGTTAAATTCTGTGGGCCATGTTTATGACGTCTTCCTCTCTGTTTAGTGCATGATCGTTCATTATCTGATGGACCTGTTGATGATTCAGTACTCCTCTTGTTTGCCACTCCTGTGTGCTCCATCCGAGGAGTATTATACTTCCCAGCCTTCTCACTTCCTCGTAAGAGAAGGATCTTATTGCCATCAAAGTCGATTGTTTGCCATCTCTTCTCACTGATTGGACTGCATACATGAGGTAGAAGAGGAACAAGACTCCCCATATCAGCAATCTTGAACTGTAAGATGACGTCCTCCATAGGAAGGGGAGTGTACTGGGTCGGTAGCCGCTTCAAGGACAGCTGTATCTCTAGATTCCGAGTCGGATCGGAGTAGATGTTGAAGAAGCAGAAATCTTCTTTCTGATACTGCACACCATGTCCTAGAATTGTAGAGTATAGTTGGATGGAGCTAGACCAATGCTCATCAGATACAAAGAGCTGACAACGTAGTCTATCTGATCCGCAGTGGACCTGACGAACAGCCCATAATGGTGTGTTGTTAGCATGAGCATAATAGTCCTGATTGTTCATTGGATAGGGCACTGCATTGGGTCCTAACTCTGATCGGTGGTGGAGGGCCCAGGGTTCTTTCTTTAAGAATCCTTGTGCATTTTCCAATCGTTCTGCTCCTAATTCTTCTTGTATGAACACAACGATAGCTAGAGCTGGAATCTTAGTATGATCGTCATCTTCAAGTTCAGGCAGATGAACATTGGCACTTCGTTCAGCATAGTTGAAGATTGCAAACTGAGGTACAATAGCTGATGTGATTGGCCGTAAGAAGTTCCGTAGCCCATCTGCTTGGCCTGGGTCTGTGATGAAATGCACTGTTACATGGTATGGATCACGTGAGGCAGGTGTTCCCCATTGGCTCTCTATAGAAAGAAAAATGAAATGGAACAAAATGAATTGAGAATAGTAAATGCACTGGACTCAGATTTGGGTTTACGAGATTTTACAAACCTGTGGCAACAAGCTTGATCCTAAGACTCACATTTAAATAAGAGCATTTTAAGAATATTTCTTTTTCATATACTGCTATGATCTCTTACTTATGGGACTAAGAGAATGAAAGGGAAAAAAGATCATAAATTGTTGATTACCTCAGTACCCTACACCCACACCCTATAACATGCACAATAACTGTCGCTAAGTAATTTATATATGATGTATTGTTAACATAAAAATAAGCAAAGTTAAAATCTAGTGGGAAAAAATCAAATAAAAAAGGAAAAAATGATTATGAATTAAAGGATAATTGGTGTTAGAAGAGTTGGTCTCGAGAGAGATAGAGAGAGAGAGTGAGAGAGAGAGAGAAGAACACATGATTGAAAATGACATTTACCCCTCCCTGATCTGACTAAACCAACGCATTATGAAAGAGTTCATTAATCCATTTATTGAGGAGTGAATGTTACTCTATTAAATTAAGAATCGAACAATTCCAAGAGATTTAAGAGCTTAGATCGCGACCTTGGTGTGTCATCTTTACATATTAACGGCATCGATTTCTCCTACAATATGCTTGGCGATAAATCGTGGGTTTCAATCTTTCTTTCAACAACTTAATCCATAGTTGTTCAGATCGATGTTACGACTTCAGTCGATAACAGTTGATGAATCCGAACAACATATGTCAGAAGTATATTGATCGAAAAGGTAACGACTGACTTGTTGAACTGCTAATGGACTGGAAAGATGGCAGGAATGACCATCGATTCTACTAGCCTAGGTGTTGCAAACCCTTTCGTCCTTTGACCAGTGTCAATTTCTTGTATACAAGTCAAATAAAGCGAGTGGGACATAGGATCATATACTGTTTTGGGGAATAATATCACTGCTCTTATAAATCTACTGAACTATTCTTTGCAGTCAACTGTCGCCATTTATTGAGCGCATTATGCAGATGGAACAGTTTGACTCAGGTCTCAAGTGAGAGACTATACTGTCAGTAGTACCATCGCAATAAATGTCTTTTTAGAAAGTGATCAAAGCGTTAGTAATTTTTATTATCAGCTATCCACACAATAGCCTACCGCTTTGGCTAGACTCAAATCCATTTTCTAACAATAGTCTATTTGGAAGTAAAATTAAAGGATGGAAACGGTGCTATACATAATTATAGGCTTCTATCCCCTGTTTATATAAATCACACACAGTCACGTAGATTATTCCCGGTGGGGGGGGGGGGGGGGGGGGGCTCAGATTTGGTTTGGCCGGGGGTGTGCCGCTCAAACCTCGAAACCCCCATCTACTATTAGTGGTAATTTGGGGGCATTTTTCTCGAAAAAGAACCTAAACATTTTTGAAATTTTGAAAAAAACTAGCCCATTTTTTATAGTAATTTTGTTAAAAGTGGGATCCATGTTTAGGGATTTTTTGTTAAAAAAAGTGGCCTTTAAGAGCGGCACACCCCCGTATGCCCTGGGAGAATTCCAGACAAACTTCAAGCGAAAGGACAAAGACACAAACAAGAAGACCCTGCAGACTGTATTGACTGCTTTCTTATTTCATTTTTTATATTCTAGACAAAATTTGCTCCAACCTGGAAATCTCTATAGAGACAAATTTTGGAAACGTTACATTTACCTTTGCGATCTATTTTTATGTTTTCTGAATTTCTTTCAGGGCTAAAGCCTAGTCTTATTCTTTCTTTTATACTGCAATAGCTATGACTGTACATGTTTTGCAACCATGATAACAGTCATAATTCTTTGGTCAGTATAGGTATGACTCAATATAAACCTGGTACTGCTTGGGCCTAAGTTTTATTGAACAAAAGCAGAACGTTGACCATGGTCTATCTTGTAAAACTTAGCTTTAGACCAGGCTTAACCCAGCAGCAATTTAAATTTTTTATCCTAACTAGAATACGGACATTATCCTTATGTAGTGGATAGTTCACAGGATTTTGAAGCCTTGTAATTTATTACACATTGCTAAATAAAGAAACTTTTTTGTTGCTCTTTATGTTAGCTCACATGTTTTACTTTTTGAAGTCAAATCATGTTTACGATATATTTTCCTAATTGGGATTCCCTTTTACTGGTTCAGAATCTTATCGCGTAAGAATAAGTTAAATTGTGTGGATTTTTGCCAGCCTTATGTACTGGTGTTCTAAAAACAAATAAATCGGAATGATCTCATGAAGGCAGCATGTTCAACAGTGTGCGAACATGTGACATCAAATCATAGGCTTCTATAGCCACGATACTCACTAATATGTCTTTATTGGAAGAAAGTGCATTTGCCAAAATATTAAGAACTCGGGTTTTAGGATTACTGTACTTTAGTTTAGATTATCACAAGAAGTCTGTTTTATTTTTCATCGCGATCATTGGTTGTTTAGTTTAAAAATCCTAACTAACATTAAAACCTCGGGTGCAACATTTTGTGGAACCCCCTTTCGGCAAAATTTAAAAGTGTGCCCGCCAATTTTCGTCCTTGTCTAAATGTTGGAACCTTTTCCCTAATTACTTGGTGGAATGGCTCAAATTTCGCTCATCCTTATTCTCACTTGACCCCGCCCTCAGGCGCGGATCCAGGATTTCTTAGGGGAGGGGGCCCAACTTTTTTTTTTTTTGCTCCCGAAAATTTGAAAAACGCGCCGGCCAAAAATTCGCTCAGTGGGGGGGGGGGGGGGGGGGGGGGGGGGGGGGGGGTAGTGAGCACATTTTTTTTTTTGATCCTCAAAAAAAAATCAATTTGCACCCCCCCCCCCCCCCTTGAGCGCCAGGGGGGGGGGCCCAACCCCCCAAAAAGGTAAAAATCACGTGATTTTACATGATTTTTTCTCAAGGGGGGGGGGGGGCCCGGGCCCCCCGGGCCCCCCCCCCTGGATCCGCCACTGCCCGCCCTCGCCCATATCATGGCTCCTAGTCGACCCATCCTCCCCTCAGTCCGATTCTCAATCGACTTCCTCCTATACTACCATCTACTCCAATCATCACCACTCTCATTCTGTTTCTTACCCCTTCCTCTTAACCCTCCTTTTGCGACACTTATTTCTTACCGATTCCCTTCTCCTCCATTCTCATTCCCAAACGACTCCTCGATCCCATTCCCGATCTACTCCCTCTCCCTTAACTCTCTTCTCCTATCTATTCTGCAAAGATCGAGGAAGGTTAATGTTAATATTACCTTGATGTGTGTTACTCTGTCTCAGAAGATCCATGGTGGAGATGGGTTTGATGTTGGTATGAGTCCCAGTACAAGCCCAGGATGATCGTCTCTTGTTCCGCCTGTAAACATGCAGTCCCTCTGTGTTTTCAGTTTCAAGCAATTTCAAGTCATCTTTTGCCTCAGATATTGATGAGGAAACTTCCTTGTCATGTTCTTCATCATTGTTTGCGATATCAGGTTCTGATGTGGATGCTGGAGTATAAACAACACTGCTCCTAGGAGAACGAGGGAGATGAAGACTTGGTAGAATAGGTGCAATGGTTCCATGTGAAGCTCGTCTTCGTTGAAGATACCTGGCTCGTTCGAGAGGAGATGTTAGATCTACTGATGATGACGTTTTTATTTTGTCACCATCGTGACTGTCATCACTGACTTCATTATTTGCTTCGATGATAGGACCCCCAATGTTCCTATTCCGTAAAGAAATCTGATGCTGACGAATCTCTCGGGAAAAGGATTTATCTTCATGTACACTTAAACTCATGTTGCTTACATTTGCTAACGAGTAACGGCGTGGTCGGCGAGATTTGCCAGTTGAAGGGCATGGTGGAGCCAATTGACGAGGTGTGTTAGGAAGAGAAAATGCCGTAGTTTTCGGTTCTCTAGAATGAGTCGACATCAAATCTAAGAGAACATCCTGGTTGTTGTTTTTCTCAACACTGTGACTGTTATTCTCTTTGGGTTTAAAAGTATGTAATTCATCATCTGCCGAATAATCTTTATTTGATTTAATATCAAATGAATCTTCGGTCTTGACGATTTTCATTGAATGCCTTCTTCCTTTAAATTCCATTTGTTGCTTCAATCCAATTGTTTCCTCATCTAATCCGTCCTCATCTAATGAAGTGACACTGTTGGTTGTAGGTGTTTCACTTTTATAAAGATCAACGATTTTAACAAGATGTGAATCCGATGTGGACTTAGTCTCAGTAGTTCCTTTGTCTCTCATCGTATGATCCAGCCTCACGTCTTGTTGAACGTCTTGCTTTGTGGACGTGTCTTCAACTATTACTGTGATAGCGGGTTTGTAACCAGAGGTAGACTTTATCCACGATGGCACATAGCTTGATACGCATGTGTTTACTAGATTATAGTTGGGATCGTGTAAATCCTTTTCTTCTAGGAGATTATCTTCAAGGTCTTTACCGACATCATTGCTATTGTCAATTACACAGTCGAATGGCTTTCCATCAGATGCAAAGTCATAATCGTTGTTCGCTAAGTCACAATCATCACCAGTTAATAATACATTGTATCCAGCGAAAATATTGATGGATTCTTCGAGGGTAGGTATGGTGTCAGCACGGTGATCCAGAATATTATCTGATGAGATGACATCGTTTGTTTCAGTCAAGTCAGCCATTCTTAAGTTTGATTACCAACCTGCCAAACGCTGCCATATGAGATGTACAACCTCTTTTCAATCTGCCATTTTTCATAAGAGAGCAAACCTTCAAACATCAACTGCTAAACTGAATAGCGGTCTCAAAATAGAGAATCCTTGTCTTCTAAATCCTTTGAATAGCGCTTGGTGGCGGAGTCGTCCAATCCATTGATTTTATAGTCTGGATAAGACTCCTTTAAGAGCCTTTGACACGCTGGACAATCATAATAGAAAGTAGGAATTAACAATAGGATGGGTAACGCAGTGGCCTTTACCAATACAATCCTGATTAACCAGCAATACTTTCATTTTAAAAACTTTAAAAACAGCTTTCTAACAGAGTAATTGTGAAGAAAGCGTGGCGACAGTCGGTTTTATAGGCGGTAGTTTAGAGTCTTGCATGACCTGTTTTGACTGAAAAACTACATCTAGATATTTGAACAAATGCAAAAAAAAATCGGTACTGTTGTTCAGATATAATTATTTGAATGGATACACATATTGTTGATTATAATTACATTCGGATTAAGTTTATGTTAAATTTGTGAGATTAATGGTTTCTGGCAATCTCTCCCCACGTGATTTGGTGTACAAAACTATAGAATTCTATATGAATAGGTTTTGAGTCGTTTATTGATACCATTCTAATTTTACAACCTTGTCTATTATTTGCTTTCTGGGAGACATGCATTGATCTTACTGTAGTTTGTTTGTTTGTTAGTTCGAGGGAGGCTTTTTGGCAAGTGTCTTATAGGGATGAGTTGGTCTGAAGACCCAATAATGCAGTTGAGCGGGGAGGGGATGTGCTGAAGGTTACAAGTCGATTTTTCAAAGGTTTATAATTCCGAAATGTCAACAATCCGAACAGGGGCGGTCGAGCGACTTCCAAAGGAAGGGGGGGGGGGGGCACCAACGAAAAAGGGAACTTTTTTCGGGAGCAAAGAAAAACTAGTGTTCACTAATTGTCTTAATTTAGTCCCCCCCCCCCGCGCGAAGCAGACCACAGCAGACGATTCGTTGTACTGTTCTCGACTCTTAATACTGAATTCAGTTCTCCCCTCCCCCGCGAAGCGCGGAAGCTTAGCCGTAATTCCAAAATGTCAACAATCCAAACGGGCGGTCGAGCGACTTCCAAGGGGGGGGGGGGGGGGGGGCACCAACGAAAAAGGGAAAAATTTTCGGGAGCAAATAAATAAATTAGTGTTCACTAATATTATTGTCTGAATATAGTCCCCCCCCCCCCCGCGCGAAGCAGACGATTTGCTGTATTGTTCTCGACTCTTAATACTTATCTGAATTCAGTCCCCCCTCCCCCGCGTAGCGCGGAAGCTTAGACGTTTCATTAAATCATTAGAGAAAGCAGACGATTCGTACAAATTACTGTTCTCAACTCTTAATCCTTGTCTAAATGAAATTTTCCCCCTCCCGCGCGAAGCGCGAAAGCTTAGACGTTTCCTTAAATTTTTTAGAGAAAGAAGACGATTTGTTGTACCTTTCTCGACTCTAAATCCTTGTCTGTATGAAGTTTCCTCCCTCCAGCGCGAAGCGCGGAAGTATAGCAACGGGGGGGGGGGGGGCGGTGGGGGCGGTCGCCCCCCCAAAAAAAAACGCCGGCCAAAAAAAAAGAGAGAGAGAAAGAGAAAAAAAAAAGTAAGAGGACGTAGGAAGAAAAAGGGAAAGGAGTCGAGAAAGGTACAACGAATCGTTTTCTTTCTCTACTAATTTAATGAAACGTCAAAGCTTCCGCGCTATGCGCAGGAGGGGCGGACTGAATTCAGACAAGGATTATGAGTCAAGAAAGGCACAACGAATCGTCTTCTTTCAAATTCCCCCCTCCCTGCACCCACCCCCCTAGGGAGCGCGCTACGCGCGCTCTTTAAGTGATTCGCACGCTTTGCGTGCTCACTACCGCCCCCCTAAAATGAAATCCTGGCTACGCGCTTGTATAGACGTTTTCGTAAATTATGAGAGAAAAAAAACGATTAGTACAAATTACTGTTCTCAACTCTTCATCTTTGTCTGAATGAAATTTTCTCCCTTCCGCGTGAAGCGCGAAATCTTAGACGTTTCCTTAAATTATTAGAGAAAAAAGACTATTCGTTGTAACGTTCTTGACTCTTAATCCTTATTGAATTTAGTTTCCCCAACAATTTTAAACCTCTGATTTCTTTAGCTGATATTATAGGAAAGTGAATCTTCGAGAAAATACAAGTATTATAATAAGCAGTGGCGTACGCAGGATTTTTTCAAGGGGGGGGGGGGGGGTTTAATATTTTTAAATCGGGCCGAAAATTTCGCAACGACTCAGCCAGCCGCTGAATAAGCAGGGTGGGGGGGGGGGGGGGGGGGTAAGAGGACAATTTTCCTGTTTTTTTTGGTCCCAAAAATCGCAACGACTCAGCCAGCCGGTGAATAAGCGGGGGGGGGGGGGGGGGGGGGGGGGGTAAGAGGACACTTTTTTTTTTTTTTGGTCCCCCCAAAAAATCGCAACGACTCAGCCAGCCGGTGAATAAGCGGGGGTGGGGGGGGGGGGGGGTAAGAAGAAAAAAATACCAAAGGGGGGGGGGTTTCATCAAAAATACACACATAAAAAATACCATGCCTGATAATAAGTCTCTCTTGAAGTCGTCACAGCGGATAAAAGGTCACAGTTCGTAGAAAAAAAAACTTGTCGGCCTACCTACATTACATCTCATCGACTTCAAACTTCTGCATTGATATAGTTCACGGGGTTCTAGCAAGAATACCTTTACAGTTGACCCAAAACAGCAACATATTTGTGCCTTTCCCTTTTGCTCCCTCGACGAGACGACTCCACCCAGCAGCACCCCTATCTTTTTTACTCTCATCCCTCCTGTTTCGGGCTCCTACCCCTCTCCTTTTCTCCCTTTTCTCCTCTTTTTTCCTTTTCTCCTTTTCTTTTTTTGTCTTTCCCTTTCTTTCCTCTCCTCCCTCTTTTCTTTTTTCTCTTTCTTTCTGCTCTCTTCTTTCCTTTCTTTCTTTCCTTTCCTTTCTTTTTTTTCTTTTCTTTCCCTTTCCCTCTTTCCCCCTTTTCTCCCTTTTTCCCGACGGCAGCGCAATTTCAGCGACAATATCCTGACAGGTGTGGGGGGTGTCGCACCCCACACCCCCCTCACTTTTGGAGACGCCCCTGGTTGCAGTCACTGAATTGTTGGGCTCTTCATATTATATTGGTTGAATCGGTAATGTGTCTGTGATGTATAGTGGCTGACAACTTTCCCATTTGTTTTAACACAGAAAATTACTAAAATATAAAAAATGTATGACTCGGGATGGTCTCTTTATTTTAAAAGACCTCTACTCTCCATAATATAATTTGAGTAGTGCCCCAAGAGTGAATGCACCTCAGTTGAAAAAACACAGAAATTAGTGATATTTTTTAATACGTGGCAATCCACAGACAAAATAACCAATATGAGATATTCAAATAGCTCTAGTGATATCATATTTTTTACAAGTCATAACTTTTGTATTGGTCCGATCGACTTATTTCAAACTTTCGCCATTCTGTTTCTTATATTTTTCTGCTTTCATTCAAATGAACTTATCACTAGGGTTGGATTGCCCTTTAACCTCATTTTCATTATTTTTCTTTCAGAATTATGAATCTTAAATTGCAAGTATCTCATTTTCGGCATTAGGAACCTTTGGAATATATTTTGTGCAATCTTTGTGGAATATTATGAACTTTCGGAGTAACGCTCCAAATGTTCGGCACTTTGAACGGACATTTTGATTACTCCGGTGACAAATCAGTTTCGTAATGTAACCAAGTTTATAATGCATACAACTTTGTGAAGTGCCTCGATAAAACTTATCTTATTTACATTCTGTTTGATAAATAGTTGTATTCTTAAATAATCACAGTGTGAACTGCATACATTAGTTTTTGCCATATTTTCGAAATTACGAACCTTTACAAAAAGGAAACCGAGGAAATACGAGTGTCCAGTCTTCCTATAGTAGGCCTACAATAATGTCATAAGGAGTATTCAAGATGCAGAAAAAAGATGGGAGTGAAGAAAATGTTGAATGGAAGGACGAGAGAGAGAGAGAGAGGTTATTAGAGAACAGAAAGACAGACATTAGCAACAATGGGGGCGCAGCAAAGGCGGGGAAAGAGGGTATAACGGTGGGAGAGATGGCGAGAGGGGGGGGGGGGCAGGAGCTTCCTAAAACCCATTGTTGTTCTCACCATTGACCCTCGATCTTAGCATTCCTCAGTTCAATGGTGTAGCGTAGGCTCAGTTATGGAGGGGGGGGGGACCAGTGTTTATTCTACTAAATCAGCGTTTTTCACTTATAGTCACTGCACCCCTTTAGGAGTTATACAATAATATTACGCGTCACCTCAATCCAAAACTCATCAACGAGAATTCGTTTCCTATCCCTCGCATACGTAAACATACGGGCACATTTTCGCGTGAGGGCCATGATCGGGCCGTGAGAGCATCTTACCCCAAAATGTACTATCTGGATCACAAATATTCCGAGCGAGCGAAAACAATTGCACTTTTATTGTGGCATAAATGTTATTTAGTCATCAATATATACTAGATAAATGCAAAATTATGTATTCGATCACCTCGTTGCCAGGAATCATCCTACATGTTTTATCGATTTAGCGGCGATTCAACCAGCCGGTGAAACAGCAGGGGGGGGGGGAGCACTTTTTTTAAAAATTGTTGGTCCAATTCGTGAGAATTTTTTTTAAATTTGTTTTTAAAACTTTTTTGTGACAGGGGGGGGGGCGGCGGGCTCGTCGCCCCCCCCCCCCCCCCCCCCCCGTGGATCCGCGCTGCCCCCGTTCCCCTAGCTACGCCACTGCCTCAGTTCCCCATCCCCTGCCTAGGCTTTTGCCTACCCCTTTACACATGGATGCGGCGCATACGTGAGGCCAATGGTAGAGTTACCGATCTCCTCTTCAAATTGACAACTATAATAAATCAGGAAACACTGTCTTACTTCTTTTTCTTGTATGTACAAAATGTACACAACTTAATGCGTGCATAAAGCGCATGCAGATTGCGCACATAATATATGCGGCCAGTTATTGACAAAATGGCGACACGACGAATACCTTTGTCGTCATTTTTGCCTGGTAATAGCAACCAACACGCCCTTAGTGAACCGAATCGTGAGCTGTTTGAGGCGTGTAGAAACGGAGACCTGACAAGAGTAAAAAAGTTTGTGTCGTCAAGTAACATAAATGCAAGAGATACGGCAGGGAGAAAAAGTTCTCCCCTTCATTTTGCAGCAGGTAACTAACGTTTTTTTTTACCCACACAAGAAATGAAGATGCATTCAATAATGCGGGGGGGGGGGGGGGGGGTGGGAGAGGGAGAGGACTAGGACTAGGACTATAACGCACTTTGTTTTCAGCAGCTAATCACGGCTATAGTTTTGGTATAGGCCCTATGCTATATTGGTTTTAAATACTCTTTGGCCCGAATTCACAAAGGAGGTTTGTCGACAAACCCTGGTTTTCGTGCTTCGCATTTTTACAAACGTTTTTAAAAACGTGTCAAAACGCGTCATATGATATGACGCACGAAAATTGTCCAATTGACCAACCTCCTTTGTGAATTTGGGCCTTTTAAGTTTATATCTCATAAAACAAAGTGTCACAAACAAGTAATAAAACTATTTCACGTTATGATTGATAAATCCTCGGGAAGACGGACAACTCCTGAAAGTAGATAGTGAACTGGGGTTACTTCATCAGCATCAGCATCATTGTATTGCAAAAATGCGGACGATTCTTATTTTTTAGGACGCGATTTGTCCGCGTTTACGGAGATATCCTCGTTGATGCGGACGATCCTTATTTTCTCTGACCAGCGTCCCTACTGATCATTATCAATGCATGTGGCTGTGACGTGATCCATGTCAAATTTGAATGTGTTCTTACTTCATGAACTTCAGGCAGCACATCTAAAATGAATGCAAATCTGGATTTGGAATGATAATTAAGAGAACAAAAACTAATTGTTTATCATGCGTGTAAATGCACGGTGCACAACTTACAGATGTACCTCGGCCAACATGTACATTTTTCCTATTTGTTATTGTTTTAGTTTAACTGGGCGTATCATTCAGTTGTGAAAATTTATGCTGTGGCCTTATTATAGTCTTTACCCAGTAGTCTAGTCTTGTGTAAGATGTGACCTCTCATGTAAAAAAAAATATCTGTGTAAGCTCTCTGGTTGATGGTAACTAGCATACATGTACCGGTATGTCATTTGAATTGGCCCATTATATTGTTACAGTAAGGGAAGCAGGCTTCATTGAAATGTATTTGTTGTCTAGAGAATAGGCCTTCATGCATTTGTTCTTTCATTTTTTTGTTATTAGGATAGATTTTATAGTTTATATTTTGCATGTGACCAAAGTTTGCAAATGACTTTAATCTTGTATTCAGCAATATTTCTAAATTCTAAATAAAAGAATATCCTTATCAATTTGAATTTCTATGATTGATTAAAATTCCATTTTAATGGTTAATTTCTTGTTTATTATTAAGTCACAGTAAGCCCTACACTTTCTTGCCAGTATGATTGTAATACTGATTTCTTCTTTGTGTAGGATTTGGACGTAAGGATGTTGTGGAGCACCTATTACAGAATGGTGCTAACGTTCATTCCAGAGATGATGGAGGGTTAATACCTCTTCACAATGCATGCTCTTTTGGACATGCAGAGGTTGTAGTAATCCTCCTAAGAAGCGGTGGAGATGCTAATGCCAGGGATAACTGGAATTATACACCTCTCCATGAAGCTGCCATTAAAGGAAAAATTGATGTGTGCATTGGTTAGTATTCTCATTCCTAAAACAAATGATAATAAACAGATTCAAAGCAAAGATGTTTCATAATACAGCAAGAAAGTACATCACATGATTGCAAGATTTGACGGTAGAAATGTATGATCATAACCATGACTTCAATAATTGCATTATTTTGACTATCAATATCTTTCCTCAACCTTATAGGCCAAGAGGCTGTCCTGAAATTGGAGCCCTGGGAAAGGGCCCCTTATTTTTTTTTTTTAAGTCTCTTCTTCCTCTCGCACCAAACCTTGTAAAAACGAAAATGAACTTGTGAAGAAATCACCAATGTTACTTTGCAAATCTTAGAATCTATTGATATTAGTGTATTTAAGAGCAATTGAAATTCACTCAAAAAACCATTTGCTCAAATGAAATGGACAAACCCTGCTAACTTTTGTTAAATTTGTGTTTGTTTGTGATTGCTTTCATCAGTCTTGCTACAACATGGTGCTGATCCTAATATACGCAACACAGATGGAAAGACACCTTTAGATTTAGCTGATCCACCCGCGAGAGCTGTGTTAACTGGAGACTACAAGAAAGATGAGCTTTTGGAAGGAGCACGAAGTGGAAATGAAGACAAACTGATGTCACTTCTAACACCGTTGAATGTCAATAGTCATGCTTGTGATGGGAGGAGGGTAAGGACTATCATTTGCTCTATATATCCATGCTTCTATTTCAGGATTGAAAATGCACTTGAAAATCTTGAGTAATACACATTCACAGCTGTTCACGAAGCAAGGATATGTAATGATGGAAATGATATGAAATGTCTTTAAAATTACTCTAATCTTTTTGATAACATTCCCTTGTTAAAGGCTTAAATGTGCATGATGGACATTGTGTGATACATTTAAAGACATTGATAAACCTACTATTTCAATGATCATATGAAATGCTTGAATAGTAATTTGATAGTTTTCTTATTATCATGTCTTATAATATGCATTTTACTACTATCTCAGTTTTGGTTTTAATTAATACAGATATGTATTTGCACATGTATATCTTGGTAAAGACGCTTCAAAGAGTGAAACTTTATGAACTTTGAGGTGAAAATTTGATTATTACGTATGAAAAATATCTGGAAAACCAAATGTTATCACTCACGATTATAGCAGAGTTTGTATGTAACAAGTGATATTATGACCATGAAGGTTTGTATTTCAGCAATTTCACATTCCATTCCAACATATTGATATGATGATTCTGTTGTGTTTTAATTGTGGTGAACTAAACTTGAAATAATGTATTTTGTTTTGTTTGTAGTCTACACCTTTACATCTAGCAGCTGGGTATAATAGAATCTCCATTGTTCAGATGTTACTTCAACAGGGTGCTGATGTACATGCCAAAGACAAAGGGTAAGTACATCTTAATAACTATATTTTAGATTCACCTTGGCAAGTAATTTTGAATGCATATTTTGACCTATGCTAGAGAACTATTATTTTCAAACATTGTCACACTGGTTTGTTTGTAAGAAACATTTAAAACAGCTCAAAACAAACAGTCCCAAAGTAAACTTTTAGACCATAAATCACATGAATATGCATGGATGTGAAAATGAAGGAATGTGGATATTTTCTTTTAAGTATCAGCCATCGGCCAACAACGGCTCTTTTCTTGTTTCTCGTTTCTCTGATTAATGAAGGAAAAAGATGTTACTTCTTTTCAAAGTAGGGCGTCACACTGACTGAATTATTTGGTTATTCAGTTAGTGTGCCACACATACTCTAGGTCTGCCCATGTCCATTAAAACAAGCAAGAAAATCACCTTGTCATTACAACTTTTACAGTTTCTGTTTATATATCATGTTTGTAAGCATTAGCTTGAAAGTTATTTCCGTGTCGTATCTCTCTCTTCCTTGCTGATATCAATAATCCATTCACTTTAAATCATGCCTCAAAACTTGTCTTTTTCAACAAATTTGTATATACTGAATACAATGGAGGAGCTTTTGCATGTGGAAGTTTCACCATATAAATGCTGGAATCATCAACATCATCATCATGCATTGTTATTTCCATTCTGTTCTGTTGCAGTGGTTTGGTTCCATTACACAATGCCTGTTCTTATGGACATTTTGAAGTGACCCAGCTGCTGATCAAACATGGTGCCAGTGTGAATGCAGTAGACTTGTGGCAGTTCAGTCCGCTCCATGAAGCAGCATCAAAATCAAGGTGAGTTTCCTTTTTAATCACCATACATGTATTGAAAGTAAAGAACAGTTCTAGTGAAAGTCAGAGGTTTCCAAAGCGGATCTTTCTTAATTTACTCCCCCCTCCTACATGTGTTTATTCATATGATAGACCAAGCGAGTGTTAATCTCATAATGTCTGACCACTTATACTTAGATAATCCATTTCATTCATAGAAAGGATGTCCACCTAACCACAGCCATCATTGTATGATCAATGAATTCTAAATTGAATTAAACCTTCAGTACATGATTCAGACGACATTGTATGGTGTCAGCCTACTGATTTGACCGTTTCTCCGCTGATTGGTTATTACAGGGTTGAGGTTTGTTCCTTCTTGATGAGTAAGGGAGCAGATCCATTCTTAATGAACTGTCATTCAAAGAGTGCTGTAGATGCGGCTCCTACTAGAGAACTCAAGGATACCCTACAATGTAAGTTATATTCATCATCACTATCATATCATATTTCAACTTATATCTTATATTATATTGGTAATAAATAAATCAATAGTATTTGTAGACAAGATTTTGTGAATGGACACATTTTGGGCAAAATTATTGGATGACAGTTTATTATTTAACAGACACTAAAGGTGGTTAGATAATCATATCACGGCTTAATGCCTTGTTCAGTCTCGTACAGCATTTGTATTTCATAGAATAGTGAACGTTTCTGTGCAGGGACTATTAATTATTATCCTTTTAGCAAACCCTCTATCATCAAATGTTATAGTTCATGTACATGTACATGTACTTAGTTGATTTGAGGATACAATGAAAACGAAAGGTAAGGAGAAGAGAGATTCTTGCTAGAAAATTTTAGATTTCTAATGCCTATTTTGTAATGATTGTAGTTCATGTTACCGCCTTACTCTGCATTACATCCTGTATCTGTATCATGTTTTCTATCAGAATTCAATGATTATATTCAAAGTCATTTATTTTCCAATGTTCCTTTATTAATAGTTGGAGATTTCAACATACATGTCGATAGTTCTAGTGGAGACTCACAGTCTTTCCTAAATCTTCTTGAGTCTCTGTGTTGTACACAGCTAGTTGATTTTTGTACCCACATACACGGCCACACTCTTGATCTGTTAATAAGACGGCAATCTGATGATAACATTTTCATTGGAAAACCTCAGGCACATTCATCTTTAATCTCTGATCACATCCCTGTAATGTGTTACCTTAATTCAAGTAAACCTCGCCTTCCTGTTAAAGAGGTTTCATTTCGCAGACTATCTGCAATCAATACTGAGTTACTTAGAAAAGACTTAACTGAAAGTCGTCTTTGTGATGGAACACCCAGTGATGTCACTGAATTAGCGATGTTATATGACACAACTCTCAATGACCTCTTAGACAAGCATGCGCCAAAGGCAACAAAAACTTTTGTTTTGCGACCTAAGGCGCCATGGTTGACTGATATATATTAGAAGAAAAGAGAAAAAAGAGGAAAGCTGAAAAAATTTGGATGAAATCAAAAACAGACAAAGACTGGAAAGCATTTAAGTCAATTCGTAACTCTTACTCCTTTTCATTGTATGAGGCACGGAAGAGTCACCATAAAGATTTAGTGTCTGAACATAAAGAAAACACAAAAGCGTTGTTCAATATTGTAAAGGGTTTGCTAAACATGTCAAATAAACAACCCATTGTACCTTGTAACGTTGATTCAAAATCATTTGTCAACAACTTGGGCAAGTTTTTCTTGGATAAAGTTCAGAAAATTCATAACGATATAGATTTAAAACTTGGCAATGTACACATAGACAAACTGATCAATGATGACGTTCCAGTCGATTCGCAGATAGTGACGCTGACAAGTTTTAAATCACTGTCCGAACAAGACGTCGGAAAATTGATAATGAAGCTCAGTAAGAAGTCCTGTCCATTGGACCCAATGCCCACAAAAATATTGCTGCAATGTCTCGATGAATTGATACCTGTTATTACTTCTATGTTGAACTTATCTCTATCAGCAGGGCAATTCCCTGCATTGTGGAAGGTCGCTCTAGTGAAACCACTATTGAAAAAGCCAGGCCTCGAAACAGAATTGAGTAATTTAAGGCCCATTAGTAATCTTCAGTATATTTCTAAGTTGGTAGAAGGTGCTGCTACCCAACAGATTCTTGAGCACATTGAACATCATTCACTGTTGCCGCTCAATCAATCAGCATACCGAAAATTTCACAGTACTGAAACAGCACTTCTTAGGATAAAAAGTGATCTTCTTATGTCAATGGACAACCAGAAAATAAGTCTGCTGCTTCTCCTTGATATGAGCAGTGCTTTCGAGTTTCGACACAATAGATCACTCATTTTTACTAAAAACTCTAAGAAGCCACTTTAGGGTTGATGGCAAGGTTATCGAATGGATTGAATCTTACTTGTCAGATAGAAAACAGAAAATTGTAATTGATAACGTTGTCTCTGATGTATTCAATGTGCCTTTTGGCGTTCCTCAAGGGTCGCGATTAGGCCCTCTGTTGTTTACCTTGTATACAAGCAGACTCCTTACAAATATCCATACAGAGTTTCCTAGTATTAGTTGTCACTGCTACGCAGACGACACCCAACTATACCTATCTTTCTGTCCTAACACACCGGCTGAAGATCATTGTATTTCTGAATTAGAATCATGTGTTGTTTATATTAAGATTTGGATGTTGCAAAACAAGTTGATGTTAAATGATAACAAAACAGAACTTTTGGTCATTGGTACTCCACGCCAGGTTTCTAAATTTAGGTCGCGTAGTGTATTAGTTGGTGACTCAACCATAACCCCATCTGATACTGTTAGAAACTTGGGTGTGTCTTTTGATACCCACCTGAATATGGATTCACATATCACTAAAATATGCAAATCAGCCTATTTCATGATTTATAATTTGAGACGCATTCGAAAATACTTTGATCAGGACAGCATGAAAACTATCATGCATGCATGTGTTACTGGTAAACTAGATTACTGTAATAGTTTATTGTATGGATTGCCAGACTCACAAATTTCCAAGTTGCAGCGGGTCCAAAATACATGTGCACGACTAATTTGCAGCCTCCCAAAATTCTCTCGAATAACCCCACTTCTAAAGGAACTACATTGGTTGCCAATTCGCCAGAGAATTACATTTAAAATATTAATGATAGTCTACAAAGCTCTAAATGGTCAAACTCCTAGTTACGTTACTGAATTGTTGCACATCAAGTCTCAAACCCATGGTCGTAACCTTCGTAGTACACAAGACACATTTATGTTGCAAATACCCCCATATAAAACCAAAGTAACCCTTGGGGACCGGTCATTTCTCTGTGCTGCCCCTAGATTATGGAATAAATTACCACTAGAAATAAGGAAAGCCCCATCACTAGATAATTTTAAATCAAAATTGAAAACTCACTTGTTCATATAGTGTGTATAGCACAGCATTTACGAGCTCTTGCAGCGCAATAGAATATATCCACATAGTTATTGCGCTTTACAAATGAATATTATTATTATTATATTATTATGTTATGTTAAATTAGTTCATTTTTATTTTGTGTATAATAATTGAAACTATTTTAACTTGTTCATTCAGATGAGTTTCGTGGACATCAAGTGCTTGAAGCATGTAGACAGGCTGATCTTGCCAAGGTTAAGAAACAATTAACTGCTGATGTGGTTAACTTCATGCATCCACATACCATGGATCGACCTCTGGTAAGTTTATCACTTGTGCTTTATATGACTTGGACAGTTTTTTGACAGTTTGTATGTAGGTATTACAGTTGCCATGGTATAATGGACAATCTTTGAATATTTCTTTATCCCACTTATTCATAATTAAGTACTCTTCACGTTTCTTATATGCTACCCTATATGGTCCTTGAATTCTTTAAAATGAAATTTTTGTTATTCTGGCATTCTTTTCCTTGACAGCATTGTGCATCTGGATCAGCGTTTCCTAAACGAAGACAAGTCGTTGATCTTCTCATCAGGAAAGGAGCAAATCTTCTGGATAAGAATAATGAGTGAGTTTATGAACATTTAATGCTACTCTGTTTGCACTCTAATTCAAGAAAGTGTAAATTCTAGTCAGTAAATATTGACTGTACTATTTGTTTGTGTGAGATGCATAGAGTTAAGGTAGTTTCTCTTTTGTTTATCATTTTTGCACTTTTACTAAAACTGTTAAGCAATGTTGGGTCAATTTGGGTGATTATTCTTTTTGTATGCAGTGAAGAATGTACCAGTCAGATGTGAGTTGAAAGGTCAAATGTGTGTGGGTCACAAAAGTGAATAATTTGTGTACAATTTGTTTTTCCATATGTAGTTATTTTACTGGAAATTGTAGAAATTAGGATGGGAAATTAGAAAGATGTGCGTTGTTTAGTAGGTGAACCATGATGATGATTATAGGGTAATAGAGAGATCAAGGTTTCGTTTCCATAATGCAAATAAGTTTTTATTTAGACCAGTAACATATATGAATGTAGCATTAATTTCTTGTCTTTGATTTCCTGTCTGTCCTCAGTGGTTTAGCACCTCTTCACATGGCTACTTCTAAATCACACCTAGATGTGATGGAGATCTTATTAAAGCATGATGCTAAGGTAAGTTCTTCATAGACTAGCTTGTTGTTGACAGCTAAGCTGTGTAAGAATCTAAGAATGTTCACTCTGGTTTCTAATGAAAAATCGTAGCTCGATAGAGTACAAGACAGTTAACAATTTATGATAGTTGATCAAATTTTCTGCCAGTAAAATCTTAAGAACTTAATGACTTACGAATTGTTAGGTCATCTGTGCATTCTCAGTACTTATCTCACTTCCTTGGTAAAATAAATTAACAAGGGAAGTGAAATTGAATGTTTTCCTTTTGTTTCCTGAAGTTACTTTATTGAATAAAAATGTTGTTCATCACTTATATTCAATTTGAATTAAGTTCAGGTGAAGGCCTCAAAAAGAAGACCCAAAGAAACATCAGTGGAAGGATTGAACTTATGTTTTCTATTCATCAGTGTTTTAAGGACTATTGGAGAACTTCTTACTTATAATGTACGGCCATATGTATCTAAGGTTAGAGTATGTTTGAGCAATGATCATCTTGGTCTTGTTGTTTCAGGTGAATTCAACCGATAACCTTGGTCAGACACCTCTTCATCATGCTGCTCGTGATAATCTGATAGAAGCCTGTAAACTACTCCTATCATATGGAGCTGATACTGGTGCAATGTGTAGGCAAGGACTCACACCAAGTCAGCTGGCTTCAGAAAACATCCAAAAAATTCTGCAAGGTAAGTTAAAAATGATGCCTGAAAATCTGTTTTTGATAATGAAAAATTGTGTTGAAATATTGGTTAGTCTATTCCTTTTTTACATTATTTATTTTATTGCAATAATGCATTATCACTATCATTTTTTTTCTTACATGATTGGTTCTCTTGCACCAGACAAATGTACACACACATTGTGATTGCCAAGTAATGTCAATTCCTTTATCATACACCTTTATAACTTACCATGTAGGCCTTGTTTCACAGAACCGTCATAAGTACAAGTTCACCGCGCATCTTTAAAACATGTTTTAGATTTAATACACATGTTTCAATGGGTTGTTGGCAAACTTTTACTTATGACAGATTCATGAAACACTGCCCTGGCATTTGCTAAATAATAGACAAGTAATATTCTAATGAGACAAAAGGTCTTGTAGTACTTAGATAGCAAAATAATAGGGGGGGGGGGAGAGAGAGAAGAGGTAAAAAAAGGAATTAAATAATTTTTGATAAGAAATTATGTTTCTGATTTCTTCTTGGCTAACTGGTAATGTTTCCTACTACTATATAAACAACAATTCTTGTTAGCTTTTACAATGCAGATTTGTAAGTTTCTAAAATATTGGATGGACTATTGGACTTTGAATTGTGTTTGTTTGTTTGTTTTTCAGCGGAGGATCAGAGGATGTCTATGACTGATGAAACTATGCAATTCTTAGAAGCCTCTAAAGCTGGTGATCTAGATAAAATGAAGGTAGGATTCGTCACAATGAGTTAGTAAAATAATAATAATAACAATGATAATGATAATAATGATAAAAGTAGTAATAATAATGATATATCATTGTATAACACATAACATATGTATGTATGTATGTACACACATAAGGCCATTATTTCATTTCATTTTGTTTTGATGTAGGCTATGGTGGAAGGCAGTAAACATCTAGTTAACTGCTGTGATAAAGAAGGCAGGCACTCCACTCCACTTCATTTTGCAGCAGGATATAACAGAGTAGCAGTCGTTGAGTATCTGCTTAGTAATGGTGCTTATGTTCATGCCAAAGACAAAGGGTATGTAGATTATGGTATCTGTAAGAGTGAAATGATGATGAGAAAGTTAATTTGAATTCAAAGTTGAGCTGTTTTTGAAGAGTTTTGTAGATGATTGCCACAAGGTTCGGGTAAATTTGAAAAGTCCTATTTAGAGTGCAGGTGATATGCTCACAGTACCTGTACACAGAAGATATATTATTCTACTATTAAACCAGGGACCCGTTTCAACAAGCCTTTTTTCAATGACAAAAGACAAAGATCAGTGACAAATCTTCTGATAACCAATCAGAAGCAAGGATTTCACTAGCTTTTAACAAAAACTGTCATTTGTCACTGATGACAAGTTTTGTGAAATTGGGCAGGCCTGTCTTGTCCAAACTCAACCACTAATTGAAATACTGGAACCCAGTATACATTATAGCATTGAAGTTACTTACAGGCAGAGTGACATTGCTGTGTATATCATCATACCAGTCTTCATCTCTATCTATCTATGTAATAAATGATGAATGATATGCCTAGGGACACTGATTTTCCGTTTAAAAAAAAAAGCCTTTTCTGTTTCAGAAAATCTGGAATTCCGTTTCAGATGGGCTGAAAAACGGAAATTCCGTTTTGCCAAAGACTTTGTACACATGAAAAAACTAAAATTCCGTTTACATAAGATTTTCATTAAAACATGAACTTGTAGGGTACAAATGTTCTATTAAAGCCGCCACCTTTGACAAGCCACTGATAACCACTCAAAAACATACGGACGGGACTGTATAAACTTGATGCAAAATACTAGTAAAAATATAGACCCCTACGGCGCCTAGGGTCTAGGTTAGACCTACGAAAAAATTATCAAATGTTTAGATTTACCAACTTAAAATTCGAACTTAGACAATCAGACTAAAGTCAGCGGAATGTGTCAGAACATGACATATTCCTGGCGGAAAGGCTGAGTAGTACCGACGTCGACAAAAACATTTCAGTCTTGGCTGTCATGTCCGCGATCGATCGATTTTAGGCGCACATGCCAGCCCCCTTTTCGAACTGTACAACAGCGTGTGTACAATCTCGCCGCACGTAGCACCCGCTGCTGGCGTGTGTGTGCCAAGTATTACGTCTACGTTATACTAGGCCCCTAGCTGACATAATAGGATCGTTTCTCTGCTATTTGTACCGTGTTTTGTGTCACAATCTCTATTGGTCCAGCGAAATTTAATGGCAGCGCCCGGTCTCCTAAGAATCTGACGAATATCGCTAAATATTCGAAATTATTAACCATGATTTGAGGCCTGATATTTTTTCACTGCATAACGAGTCACAAAAATAGTGTAAGTTTTACGATTTTCTTCTTGAAAAATGAAAAGTTTTGAGGTAAAAGGGGTTTTCCGCGATTTTCCGTTCAAAATTACATTTTCCGTTTCAAATGGTCAATTCCGTGAATTCCGTCCGTTTTCCGTGATCACGGAAAATCAGTGTCCCTACATTATGCCATCTTTACATACTCTGCTATCATGCTACAAACATAACAAAGGTGGCAGCACCAATAAAGCCTTTGGCTTTTCTAGCTGTCTCCACATTCATTTATATTTTTGTTGTTGTATTTGTATTGTAAATGTTTCTCTTTAATATGTACGCTATGTTTTGTATTTTATATGTTTGTTATGATGTTTTTATGATGAATGAAATAAAGTTCATTTTAATTCAAGGCTGTATGATGATTTCTTGGTTTGTACAGGGGATTGGTTCCTCTGCATAATGCTTGTTCATTTGGCCATTATGAGGTAACTGAGCTACTACTTAAGAGAGGAGCTCTGGTCAATGCTGCTGATCTTTGGAAGTTTACTCCTCTTCATGAAGCTGCTGCTAAGGGAAAGTATGACATCTGCAAACTTCTCCTTCAGGTAAAACTTTTCTTTTATTTTATTTTATAATATATATATATCGAATATGTTATAAACATGCTAAATCTAAGCCATCTATCTCATAAGTTCTCATAAATGATAAAGAAGATACATTTATAATTACATTTAAAGAAAATTTTACATTTTAAAATCTCTGATATCTCCCATGCTCTTTGTATTACATTCCTTGTAGATAGCTTGATTATTAGACTTTTCCAGTTTTTATGCCTAATACCACTTCTTGTAAAGTGAAACAGAATAAAATCTTGAGATGGAGAGAGAAAAGTAAATGATGTTGGGTTTCCTGATAGCAGAAGAATTCACTAAATTCATTAGCCATTTTCATGTTTTATAGTGTTAGCATAAAGACTTGAAAATATGGATAAATGTTTACTACCCTGGCATTAGATATAAGTGATGCAAAACAATGAAGACAGATTTATACTTGTTTTACAGCATGGAGGCGATGTGAACAAGAAGAATCGTGACGGTCATACCCCACTGAACCTAGTGAAAGATAGTGATCAAGATATACAAGATCTACTCAAGGGTGATGCTGCTCTCTTAGATGCTGCTAAGAAAGGATGTTTAGCAAGAGTTCAGAAGCTGGTGTCAACAGATAATATTAATTGTAGAGATTCACAGGGAAGGAATTCTACACCTCTACACCTGGCTGGTAAGTTCATCTTCGGAGAAGTTCTCTCTCTCTCTCTCTCTCTCTCTCTCTCTCAAACCATTTCATCAGGTTTTAAACTTGGTCTGAAGTTGATTTGCTTTCAAGGATTTTGGCCATTGTCTCCAAAAAGTCAATATTCTTCCTCCATCTCAATCTATATCTATCTTTTGTTTGCATTCTCAATTGTTCACTACCTCTCATTGACATATGCTAGAAGGAGTTTCCATTTTCGTCCATAGAAAGCCATGTAACTTGTTGAAATGGTGACTCAAAGTATTTGTTTCACAAATAAATCTGTAACTAGAACCAAAGACTTGGGCTCTTTGTTTGAGAATTATTCTGTATTAAAGATATCAGAGGCCTTTGTTAGGTTTATAGTGTTACTTTCATTTCTTTCAATCTGAGTTCACATGATTATAAAAGAATGTTTTACAAAGATATCTGTAACCCTTGTTATGTCATCACATAACAACATATAGATGTGTAGCAGTTCTCAAACCTTTGTCATTTTCTTTAAATAGCTGGCTATAACAATGTGGAGGTAGCTGAATATTTGTTGGAGCATGGTGCTGATGTGAATGCCAGAGATAAGGGTGGCCTTATTCCTCTTCACAATGCCTCCTCATATGGGGTAAGTATGCTTTTATAATGCCTCACTTATAAGATAATTAGTTATGTACTTTCTTATAGAAATTATATTGCGACTGACGTTTTCATTTTGCCTTAACATTCTTACTCTATGATTTTCTGACAGGTGGTCACATGTTATGTTTGCATTAGATTCAAATGTTAAGAATCCATTTGTCTGCTGACAATGATTTCTTACATCTTGTTAGTTCCATAGGATTTAGCAATACCATTCGTAGCTTTTGGCTTCAGTTCAGTTCAGTTCAGTTTATTAATTTTTCTCAAGCATAAAAACAATATTATAATATATACAAAAAATAGCAAATATACACAGTAAGAGAAAAAACGGAAACTACAAAAAAGTTTATAAAAACTATAGGAGTAATGGAGTATGGAGTAATTCCCAGTAAAGGGGAAAAAATACATGGTATAAACAATTGCAATAACAAAATACAAGATTATGCAGATTAATCAGTAACACACTACACCAACAAACACCAGCAATCATACAGGGAGGGTGGGGGTGGGGGGGGGGGGGGGGGGTTCATAGTAATTGTACATTTAATGAAGATTTTTTTTGTGTGTGTGTGTGAATAATCATCAATATATACCCTTTTCAACTTTGCTTTAAATGAAGTTATATTTGTTGAACTCTTTATTTCCTATGAGAGATTATTCCACAAGCGTGGACCACTGTGTCTTAACCCTATTTAGCCCGGGCTATTTTGAAACTGCATAGCCCGGGGGGGGGGGGGGGGGGGGGGGGGGGCTTCTAAGGCCCCCCCCCCCCCCTATGATCTCGGCCGTGAAACGACCGATCGCCGCGAAAATTTGCATACATGTCAAGTCAAGTATAGAATACTATGGTAATTTCAATTTTTTGAAAAATTCACGCATTTGCATATTTATGGTAATTTATGCAAATGAGGTCATCAAATTCACATTTTTGCCTATAAATCAGACATTATTCATATTTAAGCATTCTTTCTCACTACATATATTTGTTAGACCATTTGAAATAATAATACAACACAAAAAATTGAAAAACAAGGGTTATTCTTTATGTTATCTATTGTTTTGATAATTTCTTATGTATTTCCCTGTTTTTTTAACTTATGTATTTTATTGTTTTTGTTGTTTTATTTCATTTCCAACTATAATTCAACTATTTTGACCCCAAAATAAACACCTTAACTATAAACAAGACCAAATAACCAATGTTTTATCTCTTTAATTGAAAAAATGAGATTTCCATATGTTTTGTATGCAAATCACAAAAATGAGCGATTTTTGGGCTGACATACAAAGATAAAAGGACACGTGACTTTGTAATGGTAGGTCCGATTTTCGAAAAATTTCTTTCAAAAGATGCGCAAGACTCGAAAGAAAAAAAGTCACAAAATTTCAGTGCAAGATTCTCGTGCGTTAAAAAATTATCGCGAAAAATGTCGAGGGGGGCTTCTAAAGCCCCCCCCCCTCCCGGGCTAAATAGGGTTAATGAGTTGTTTGATGAAGGTTTCCCAATTACGTATGCTCTTTTATAACTTAATTAACCAACTCACAAAGAAAAATAATTTTATTGAAGTAAAATATGGTTCTTTCATTTTGTTCACAGCATCTGGATATAGCAGCCTTGTTGATCAAGCATAAAACCTGTGTAAATGCTGTTGATCGGTGGAACTTTACTCCGCTTCATGAAGCTGCCCAAAAAGGCAGAACTCAGCTTTGTGCACTCCTGGTAAGTGTCTTTCATTCCTTACATTTGAGATTCAAGTGGGTTTATATTGTTTGATATCAGTATGATATTAGGTTAAAATTTTGTTTACTACAAGCCTTTTGTGGGATTAGGAATCAGTCGTGGGCTGAGTAAAAAAAAAGAGAGAAATATTCTGGATCCAAAGAGAGACAGGCCAGGGGCTCCTTACAGTAAAATAGAAAGAATATTTTACTTTGTCCAGTAAAACGATGGGATTTAACCAAACGATGACTATAAAAAATGGCCCAACTTCTCTTACGTTGTTTTGATCAAGTCGGGCTACTCTGGTCATGCAGCATGTTACAGGAAAGTGATACTGGCCTTGTACAAAGAAAGGATGGACTGGCTTTCAATTGCATTACAGGGTTATCTATTAATAAAACCTACCAAATCTTGGTTGATTGATTCTTCAGTTTTTCTTCCCAATTGGCTAATTATAAGATTTATCATGCTAATATAATCTTCACTTTATATCTCTGTTTATTTTAGCTTGCCCATGGAGCTGATCCTACAATGAAGAATCAAGAAGGCCAGACACCTTTAGACCTTTCCACAGCTGATGATGTTAGATCGTTACTCCTAGATGCCCTTCCTCCTACTGCAATTAAATCACCATCAGGTCTGCCTGGTCCTACCACCACCCCCACCACACCTACTCCACAAACAATGAACCCTGGAATCAGAACAGCTGGTATGGGTGTGAGTGCCCCACCGACATCAAACTTTAGGCCTACATCAGCACCGGCTGTAGGGAGTGCTTCCATTGGTGGCCTTCCAGCTCTAACAGGTGGTAGTAGTGCAATGACCGGTGGTACAGGCAGCAAAGTGACAGGTGCAAGCGGTACAATCAGTGGTGTCAAAGGAATTAGTGGTGCTGTAGGTGGTATTACACCCATTGGACAACCGGTACAGGTAGATGGTGCAATACAGTTTGAACGATTAGCAGTAGAAGGCAACAATCCTATGGACATTAGCGTTTGCTCATTCCTCAGCAATCTCCAGTTAGATCACCTTCGAGATATCTTTGAAAAAGAACAAGTAAGTTTTCATGTAATGTTCATGTACTGATGATAATCTGATTATCCTGACTTTTCTTTGCAATTTCCCTTACCACAAAAATAATAAAAAATTAACAAATGTGATGGTTAATCTTCTTATTCCATCATCTATATTGAACCAGCTCACAAAGAAATGTGTTAACAAAGTTATCATTTTACTGTTTATGTTCAATGAGATTGTATGGGGTTTGTTGATTAACCTTTCATGATGTTATCTTGTATCTTACTAGATCACGATGGATGTGTTAGTAGAGATGGGACATGAGGAGCTCAAGGAGATTGGTATTAATGCGTTTGGACATCGTCATAAGATCATCAAAGGATTGGAGAGATTGATCAGTGGTCAGGGGACTCCTAGTCTACATCTCAGTATTCATAATAACCAAGGTTCAAATCTTATTGATATGCTTCCTGAGGCCAAGGAATACCAATCAGTGGCTGATGAGGTAAGGCTTTTTGATATATACAATCACTAGGTTTGCATCGGCATTGCGCATGCAAGATAAAATTGTTCTCGTAAAGGTACACACCTTTCAAATTGTGTGAATATGCAATAATGGATTATTAAAAAAAGTAGGCAAGAAATTGATTATTCCAATGTTCCTGTCATTAATGAAGCTTGGTTTAATCATACAAGTATTACTCTCCTATCAGTATTTAGTTTGGAATTATATTATATGTGATATGATTAAAATGATTCATTTATTTCAGTGTTTGTGAAAATGATTGCGAACATTGTTTGTTTTTGTTGACTAGATGCAGTCAACAATTCGTGAGCATCGTGATAATGGGCAAGCTGGTGGCATCTTCAATCGGTATAACATCATCAAGATTGAGAAAGTGAGAAATAAAAAGCTATGGGAAAGATACGAACATCGCAGAAAAGAAGTTGCAGATGAGAACCATAACCATGATAATGAGAGGATGCTCTTCCATGGTAAGATTGGATAAGTTTAATAGTTAAGCCATGTAGTCCGTCCAAAATTAATTTTTGCTGCTATTGTTCTCACAAAATGGACAACGCTGTGGATTTGCAAGCAGTACCTTCAAATCTGTTTAAAACAATTACCTTAAGTAGTATCCCTGTAGGTGCCCATTTAATCTCTGATGATATAGATGTTTTTTTCTAATCCTGTCAAACAAACATTTGGGTATTCAAAAGTAAGACTATGACTGTTACAATAAGAGAAATCTACCATGACAATGAAAGAATAAATACTACATTTTAAGATTCTAGAGCTCTCATTGGTCAAGACAAAGGACAAACATTTACTATTGAAATAGCAATGTCACAATACAGGGCGGTGGTTACAGATAATGCCTGATCAATCCCTCTTTGTGTGTTTACCAAAGGATAATGCAATAAAGCACATGAAGCACCACTTGTTCAAAGTCAGAAGGGTGTTATCCTCTTGTGTTTAAAAATATGAGCAAAAGTAAGAAATGGGTAGTACAACATTTTCATTTATTAGCTCATCAGTATTTGCATAATTTTGCCTAACTAATATGAATTTGGTTATGTTTCCAGGATCACCTTTCATCAATGCTATTGTGAATAAAGGATTTGATGAACGTCATGCCTACATTGGTGGTATGTTTGGTGCTGGTATCTACTTTGCTGAAGATTCTTCTAAGAGCAATCAGTATGTATATGGGATCGGAGGTGGAACAGGCTGCCCTGCTCACAAAGATAGATCTTGCTACATCTGCCACAGGTGAGTTGATCCATATTGTTTCATACCTATCTGACTTGATGCCATATTATTTCACTGTAATTGAAGCAAGCAACATCATTTAGTGTAATTTTTTTATTAAAACACAAAATATTATTGTTCAATTTAGTTTCATTGCAACCAAGCACTCACTCCATGAAATAGATTCTTTGTCATCTGAAGTATGCAGTCCATCATGTGTATAAAGATGATATCTGATAACATGACTATAAGGTTGCATGCTGGTAGTTGTGGGGGTTACAATGAATGTTATATGGAGCATTAATCTTAACCTTCATATCTAACTATCCTTTCTCTACTGGACTATTTAAACGCCTTCCAGGAAACCATGCCCTCCATAAAAATATTTGTGTATTAACCATATATTCTAAAAATTCCCTTCATGAATACATGTGATTGCAAACAATATGTATGACTTCCTACATGCTTCTCTCTACTGTTATGACATGAAAAGTGAATACGTTGTAGTTCAATCTGTACAGTAGATTCTTAGTTTATTTGCATTAAATGTTTTCATGTCTTCTCTTTTCTTCCCCAGGCAATTGGTATTTTGTAGAGTGACATTAGGGAAGGCTTTTCTTCAATTCTCAGCGATGAAGATGGCTCATGCACCACCTGGTCACCATTCTGTGATTGGTAGACCTAGTGTAGGAGGTCTAGCCTATGCAGAGTATGTCATCTACAGAGGAGAACAGGTATATTAGACTTATCTTTGCCTTTTGATCTCCCTTATAACCCTCATTCTCAATCTAATATAGTGAGGGGGGGGGGGGGGGGGGGGAGGATATCAAAAATCTAATAAGTATTATTTAACCAATGGCGGATATTAAAAAAAGTCACATAATACCTTTGAACAAATGGGTTCTCACCAAAGGAACACCTTGGTGTAAAGTTATGGTACCTACATTTGTGACAATAACTTTTCATAATAATGATAGTAGTCCTAGGTAAATAAAGATATACATGTATTACATGAGGAATCCTTAAAACCTTGATATCTTGAAGATATTTATGTGACTCCATCTAAAAGATTTAGCCCAAGGGCTCAGCAGGTTATAAGCCAACATTAAATGTCTTTGATATTGACCACATCTTTATCTATGTGCATGAGATGTGTATTTTTCTCAAATTGTATGATAATATTGAAGCTGATTGGGTTCCTTTTATGAATACATGCATAACATTGATACCATTCTTTGTGTTTGTGTCATTACAGGCATTTCCAGAGTACCTTATCACATTCCAAATTGTCAAACCAGACAGCACTGAGAAATGATTCTCAAACTACTGATAGAGGACAGCACAGATTCGGCCAAGATGTTCAGCATTTTACATACACCTGATATGATGCATTGCATTGTTTGCTCTATACTGTTGAAGTGTTCACTACCGGCATACTGTGTAGTTTGTACAAGACAAGTTGTACCTACTTGTTCATAGTACGCATGTTAAAAGCCTTTGTATAGTTTAGTAAGCCCAACAAGTTTTCTTAAGATTTCTTTGATATTATTTGATAATAGCAAGATACTAGCAGTTCTAGGATGCTTAGATGTTTTTTCTATTCTTCTTTTAGTTGACTATTAAACAAAGAATAAACAAATACTTGATAGCCTGACCAGATTAGAATTACCAACATGCAATTGATATGATTATAGAAGGTTTATACTCTAAATCGACATAAACCTCTGTGAGATTGCATCAGGTTAGCTATATGGAAGACGGATACAAGCATTGATTGGAATACATTCAGATAGTCACATTTATATTATTGGAAATAATGGACAGAACATCAAAGTCTAGTGTACAGACCTTTGATACACAGAGAACAGTTTGCCATCATATGCAACACATTCATTGCAGTTTTATGTTTTGCTGGCGGTACTGAATATTATCTTTAACTACTACAATAGTCCTGTACATCAGAGATGGATTTAGATGTTTGTGTTCTGGGGAACGAAAGAAGGAAAGAAAAGCTTCATAGGGGTATATGTTTATACCAAGTTATGTATGGCATTCAATGATTATATTGTAATTGTGGCTTTAGTGCCAGTATTCTATAAGAACTAAGATACTTGTTGCAGAATTAAAACTTGCATTTGGGGAAGACACAATACGATCACAATGAATGAATACTTTCTGCATTGTATGTTTTAATGTGCATGGTACATGGTAAGATCATGTGAAATCAAGTAGCTTATCCTCTTCATTACCACAACTCTCTCATTATCATACAATCTGCTACATAAAAAATATATAGGCAAAGAAAAGAAATTATCTGTTTTCATGGTACTCCTAGCTTTCCGGTGTCGATGGAACTACCGGTAGAATATTTAGAATAATTTGAAATGCTATTTTGGTTTGATGTTGATCCTACTGTATCTACTACTTAAGAAATGTTTACAATTTGAGGCTAAATGATGAGAATGAGTTTACAGATACTTAATCATCACAAACCAATCATTTTCACTTTCAATTTTTTTATTGATTGGAAAAAATAGACATTAGATCGTAATCCAATCTTTGGAACAAGTAGGGTTGTGCTAGGGCAGAAAAAACAGAGAAACGGGTGGATGAAATTTGTAAGAAATTGTACAAAGGATAAGAAAAATAAGATATTTTTTATATTTGAGATCACTACATCCATGTGATTTTGGCAATTTTCTTTATTCATGTCTGTGTGTAGGAGCAACTGGGATAGTTTTCCATCAATATATCATTGTGAATTTGCAAACTGTTTAAATTTGAAAGCCCACATGTATAGAAATCCTACTTATAAGAAAACTCACAAGTTTCTCATCGTTTATGAGATTTTGTTCAAGCTTCCACCAATCATGTTATCTGCTCTCCTCCAGCACAACATGCCTTCAATGTTGTGTTTCTTTTTTATGTAAATGTTGAGTACTGTTAAATACATGTAAAGCCCACCGCACACTATACGATCTGACTACGATCTGATTTTGGAAGAATTTGTAATAGAACGTGATATGAACATTCAAAGTTGTAACATCTTAACGATAGAGGATCTGAATAGACATGTAATTCTTAAAATCAGTTTTAAGAGATGTCAAGCTTCCTTGGAAAAGCTCAATCAGCTCAGAATCCAACTAACATCAGACCAGTAGTACAATGTTCTACAATTTGAAGCTGATTCAGCTGTTATTCTGACTGAAAAGAGTATAAAGGCTGCACTGAAAATTCCAGCTGTTAGTATTCTCATCAATATGTATAACGTAACTCAGGTAGATGATGTTTGTTTTGATTTCCATATCTAATATAACCAACCATTCTTTGAAAATCAGATTGCAGGATGATTGTGTAGATTGGGCGGGGCATAAGCCTCTAGATTTCTTGCATTAAAAAAAATATCCTATGTGAAAGAACATTATCTGAATTGTCCTTGAAGATTATGACATACAATGTTCTTATGTAATTCTTGTATTTTACAATTTTGCACTTAATTTATAGGGGAAATGCAATGTTTGGATTTGGCAAGACCTTTTTAATGTGTCTCTTTCTAGAGGTTCTTTGCTCAATCAATGTATTTTGGATGGATGCTTGCACATGTGTGAAAGCATGACATGAAGGCCATTTTCTGGTCTATGGAAACTCTGCACACGTTTGTAACTGTTATTTGCATTTTGATCTGGTAATTCATAGCATACCAAAATTCAGTGACTTCATGTTTCACAAAAAAAATCGGTAGTACAGTATTAGTTTAAGGTTTTACAGAAAGTAATTGAATGTAATTTCTATTCACCTCTTTGAAGCAGTCATACAAATCAAGAATCTTTGAAAGAAAGCAGTGGATTATAATGACAACTCCTATTTGTACATGTGTACTTGTAACCTCATCAGCAAAGTGTCTTGAAATGGTTTACTCAATCCTTGCCATTCTATATTCATCAAGTTGTAAATAAAATCTGTATTTAAAGAGAATGTTAGCAAAGCAAAATTGAGTACATACATGTATAGCACCAAGAAATGATCAAACATGTTTGCTTGGCTGAGCTAACATTTTAATAACACTGATTTTAATGATTTTTATTGTAAAGAAACAATTCATGAATTTATTAATTGTAATGTGGTTTCTCTGCAAGTTCATCTTATATGAATTCACTACCATAAGATGAAAGAAACTTATTGTTACCATATTAAAGGTAATTATTTATATGTATCAGACTACCATCTTGATGTATGGGGTCAGATTTTACAGTATTAAATCAAATGAATTGACTCTACAGCAAGATGATTATGGTTGGTTTGCCTGACCATCTTATTCTATTAAAAGTAAAATCTCATTCAAAATGTATACGGTGGTCCCATGCTCATCAAATTTTTTCAGCTATACACAGTTGTATAATGTGAGAATTATATGATTTTATGAGTAAAAGGGAAATTTAAAGGGCATATATCCAAACTCCACAGTACATAAATAGAGAGAGAGAGAGAGAGAGAGAAAAATAGAGGGAGAGGGAGGAGAGAGAAAGCGAAATAAAGGGAGAGGGAGGAGAGAGAGAGAGGGAGAGAAAGAAATAGAGGGAGAGGGAGGAGAGAGAGAGAGAGAGAGAAATAGAGGGAGAGGAAGGAGAGAGAGAGAGAGAGAAATAGAGGGAGAGGGAGAGGGAGGAGAGAGAGAGAGAGAGAGAAATAGAGGGAGAGGGAGGAGAGAGAGAGAGAGAAATAGAGGGAGAGGGAGGAGAGAGAGAGAGAAATAGAGGGAGAGAGGGAGGAGAGAGAGAGAGAGAGAAATAGAGGGAGAGGGAGGAGAGAGAGAGAGAGAGAGAAATAGAGGGAGAGGGAGGAGAGAGAGAGAGAAAGAAATAGAGGGAGAGGGAGGAGAGAGAGAGAGAGAAAGAAATAGAGGGAGAGGGAGGAGAGAGAGAGAGAGAGAGAGAGAGAGAGAAATAGAGGGAGAGGGAGGAGAGAGAGAGAAATAGAGGGAGAGGGAGGAGAGAGAGAGAGAGAGAGAGAGAGAGAGAGAGAAAGAAATAGAGGGAGAGGGAGGAGAGAGAGAGAGAGAGAAATAGAGGAGAGAGAGAGAAAAATAGAGGAAGAGGGGGGAGAGAGAAAGCGAAATAGAGGGAGGAGAGAGAGAGAGAGAGGAATAGAGGGAGAGGGAAGAGAGAGAGAGAGAGAGAGAGAGAGAGAGAGAGAGAGAGAAATAGAGGGAGAGGGAGGAGAGAGAGAGAGAGAGAGAGGGAGAGGAATATACATGGGGGGGGGGGGGTGGGTGACGAGAGAGACGGACATACAGACAGATTTTCTGAACAAAAGTCACACACGGTTATTAAGTATGCCAACAACATGTTATAAATTTTCCAACAATCCATAAAGAATTACCTAATACAAAAAGTATAATAATAATAATAACGATAAAAACGGTACTTATACAGTGCTTACCACCAAAGTCTTTAAGCGTTAAGTATGGTCAAAAGTTTTATCAAATAGTTTTGATAAGTCATAAAGAGATTTCACAAAACGGCGATAATTTATTGAGAATAGGTTATGAAACCAATTTTTAAAAAAATTGATGAAAAATTGATATTTCAATAAATCAGGTAGGTATTTCACAAAACTTTTCATCAGTGACAAATGACAGGTTTTGTTATTAGCTACTGAAATCCTTGCTTCTGATTGGTTATCAGCAGATTTGTCACTGATTTATGTCACCTGGCATTGAAAAAAGGCTTTGTGAAACGCCCTCCTGGACTATGATAATAAACTTAATTAAATCTAAAATCATAGTAGCGCAGGCTCACGCGGACAGTTAGACTTACTATAAAAAAAAAACATAAAAATTAAAGACATGGAAGCAGGGGCGGCGATCCCGGGGGGACGGGGGGGGGGGGGACACGTCCCCCTCAATTTTTTTTAGGGGGGGATTGTCCCCCCTGGAAATTTGAAAAAGTGCAAAACAAATTGTATAGCATATACTGAATAATGACTGCAACACACTTTTAGGCTCTGGAAGGCCCAAGAGTGCAGCGTTTAGACTAATAAAATTGCAAAAAAAAATCTCGCTCGGTCGCTACGCTCCCTCGCATAACATCCTTGTAAAAAAATTCGCATTTCGTCCCCCCCGGTCATTAACAGAAATCGCCGCCCCTGCATGGAAGTAAACCGATTGGTGAAAGCTTTAAGAAATAATAAAGGATAAGATTGATAATGATTTAAGAGTTTCAATATACAACTCGGGTGGCGATTCCAGCGATGGATGGAGGCGAAGGCATTCCAAAGTTACACAATTTCTCTTCCCCGTCACGAAATTCAGAAAATCGTTTTTCGAAATTGTCCAACAAATGCTGACTTAACTTTGCCTTAACACGCAATGAGGAAATAAAACGTGATTTGCCTGAGTGTGTGACCAAAAAATAAATGTGTTCTGAAATGTTGTCAAAATGCACATCTTTCTCGTTCTTTGGCTTCGCGACCTCATTAATAGTTTGTTGCTATATCGAACAAAAAAGAAGAGAACACAATTTGTATGTAAGCCGGGGCGGGGTTTTGTGGTCAAACTTCCTCGAATGTCCCCCCCCCCCCCGGCCCCACCCGTTCCGTTATACCAATAAATCGCCACCTCGTGATTCTCATAATTTGATCAACAGGTCTATTCACGATCTGTGAAATCATGCAAAACTATCATTTTTTTAAGGTTTATATATACAGTCACACCTGTTTAAAGCGACCGCCCAAGGGAACACAACAAGTGGTCTTTGTAGACAGGTCCCTTAAATGAGAAACCCGTTTTTGAAGGAAACAGAAAAAGTGTTTTTGTAGATAAGTGGTAACAAAGCAGGATTGACTGTATAGGCCAATTTTCTTAAACGACGTATCGTGAAATGTATTTTTTTTCTCGAAAATTCCAAATTTGTCTTCGTTTTCTTTAATCCCCCCTGAAGTTTTCCGTTTAATGAATAATAGGGCCTACTCATCAGAATGCAACTTGTACTTATAATGCTATTTTTTTTTCTTGTCCTCTTACCGAGGTGTTTGATTTCACATGGTGTCTATAATAGTTGTCGATGAGTTACTGATGATATGAGATTAAATATATCTTTCGTATATGACCTTGTTTGTAGATTTTTACAAGTCTTTAAATTTGTTTTGTTTGCAATGTTCTAATTGCCTTTATTATCATCATCATCATCATCATTGTTATTGCTATCATAGTTTGTTAGCTCACCCAGTGTGATGGGGATGTGCGCATCTTCGCGTATACTTGTTGTGGTCATCCATGCTGTCGTCGATGCATCGTTGGGTAGTAGTTTTCTGAGAGTATTTTGTAAATAGTTTTATATATTTCATATTTGTTGTTGTATTCATGAATAAGTTATCTTTGTCACATCACATGAGGGGGTCTTAACATATTAACAAGCTGTGCTTCAACCAAGGTCTCCTTGTCTTTCTTTATTCTACATTGTACTGTTATGATTATACTCTATTATATTTTGTCACATGTGTTTCTGTAAGACAAATAAACTTGATACTTGATACTTGATACTATTATTATTATTATTCTAACTATCAGGGTTGTGACAAAATACATATTTTTGTTTTTAAAACAAACGTGTTTCTATTATTTTAAACGTATTTTATTGTTTAGAATTTAAAAAATGTAAATGGAAACGTGCTTTTACTGTGGTTATTCTCTCAACGTCGTTTACAGAAATAACAGTGGCAACATTACTGTGGTATATCAAGCAATATTATAATGGCACATGGCTAAAACAATGAAATTGCGGTTTATTTAAATTTATTGCCAATTCTTTAACCCAATACAATTCTTATTTCACATTTCTCATGCATTTACCCATATAAAAATTCACATAGGAGCACTACTATCGAAAGTATATTTTCATGGAGGGGGGGGGGGGGGGGGGGCTGAGTATCAACCATCCTGACAAATTGACGAGCGAGCAAGCAAAACAAAATGAAAACAACGTTCATGGAGGGGGGGGGGGGGGGGAGGGGATGGGGGAGGCCTGGTGGCTGAATATTAACCATCTTGATTATAAATGTCATGAGCGAGTGATCAAATAAATTATTACAACATTTATTATGGCAAAAATGGTAGTTAGACATATATAACATTTAAAGACATTTAAAGTTTTTTTTACCTTAACATTTTTTTTTTGAGGCCGCCATCCTAGTCAAGCACCGCTTATGATTGCGGTCTTCTGCACTTTTTCAACAGATATTTCGGATAATACTCTTAAGTTTAAATTTATAATTATGTTATAGAAATAATGAATTTCGTTATCATGTTTAAAAAAACACAACACATTTTGACATGAGGTTATTATTGTTTGTATATTTTGTATCATACCTTACCAGGGGCGGCGATCCCGGGGGGGGGGGGGACGGACACGTCCCCCCTCAATTTTTTAGGGGGGGGGGGATCGTCCCCCTCTGGAAATTTGAAAAAGTGCAAAACAAATTGTATAGCATATACTGAATAATGACTGCAACACACTTTTAGGCTCCGGAAGGCCCAAGAGTGCAGCGTTTAGGCTAATAAAATTGAAAATAAAATCTCGCTCGGTCGCTACGCTCCCTCGCATAACATCCTTGTAAAAAAATTCGCATTTCATCCCCCCAGTCATTAACAGAAATCGCCGCCCCTGTACCTTACGTTTATATGTTCTTTGTTATTCAGATATTATATTTGAAAAAATGCAGGGTAAAATAAAATAAAATCATATTCAATCTGGCCACCTCTATCGCTGCCCCAAAATAGTTAGAACTTTACTAATCCTCGGCTGTTATCCAACAGGCTGGAGAAAGATTTTACTTCATTTTATTTTAATAATTGAGCAACTGTGGAATCTTGTACGTGCCAAAACCAAGTAAGATAATAGTAACACATTAAAAAAAAAATGCATATGAAATTTGTAACACACGTGTCTACAGGGCGATTTAAAACTCGCTTTTAAACGTGTTAACTCTATTACTAATATTACTATTAATATAATTATTATTATCAATATCATCATCATCATCATCATCATCATCATCATTATTATTATTATTCTTCTTCTTATTATTATAATTATTATTATATCCCGTCCCCGCCGCGTCGCGTCGCGCCCCCGCCCCTCCCTTCTGAACACCACCACCACCACCAGATCGGATCTGATAACGCTAGCAATAAGTCAACAATCGGATCGCCTGACGTTTTGAAACAGCTTGTTGTCCTTGTGTTATATTCCCGCTGCGTAAACTTTCATTGATGGATGGTATAATACGCCGCCGGTGTTTGATTCTTTATGAATCATTTGCTCCTTGAGGAATATTCGAATATAACTGAAACATGACGCTTGGTAGTCTTCTCGCCACTTCTTTGGTGATTCTTTGAAAATTACGAATATGGGTGACGAAGCTGCCGGCGAAGCTGAAGAAACGACAGTTCTTCCACTTTCGCTAGCTGAAATCACGGCGTTTCGGAACGGTGAACACCTGCACAATGCAGTGAGTGAGAGAGAGCTTTGGGCTATTTGTAAGGAGTGTTGTTCGGCTCTTCAGTCTATTGTGGAATCAAGGAGTGTAGATGACTTGAGGCTCTGTCCACAATCTCTCATACTCAACCCAGATGGAAATATTACAGTTATCAATTCAGGTACATGTTATTTTTTTTTGTAAATTACATCATGTATACATGATCGTTGGTATAGCTATAGACGTATGATTTACATAATCTGTAGGTCTTGAACTAACAAGTTGACAATGTCTTCATGAAACGTTGTAAATTTCATTTCATTGCTATTTGTAAAGATAACTTTTTAAACTTTTTGACAGATTTCTGCTTAATTCCAAACGAAGCCAATATCAATTATAAGACATGCATATGTTAGAGGAATATGATGAAAGACTAAATCAACTACTTTTGTCTCATACTAATTGGGTGTGAAGTGAAACAATTTAACTCAAAGGGAATAAAACCATTTATTTAGGGTATTTAGAGTACGGTAGGTACCCCAGTTTTGAAAGATGGCGACAGCAATAGAGTGTTTTATTTGTTAGAGGAGGGGGGGGGGGGAACCAATATTTGAATGGCTGCATGATCCCTTTTCCCCTTTACCCCTATCCAACCCTACATATCTCTGTGAACTCCAGTGTATTTCATGGATCAATGCCAAACATTTAACACAAGTGAAGATAAGTTCTGGAATTAAAAACATATATTTTGCAAAGTGAATATTGTTTAACAAGCAGCTGTGTGTTGTTGATTTTCGATACTCATTGGACAAGGAAGGAGGGAGAAGAAGAAGAAGATGATAAATATTTAATAAAAGTGTGCATAATTATTGTGCTAATGAAGTGGTCAGTAGGCAAAGTCATTATTAACCATTCAAATGATGATAAATCAAACTCTTATGCTTAAATTCCAACTCACAGTACATGTATATTCCAATATTTTACTTGATAAAGAATAGAATTAAACCTCAATCTGCTAAGCTTGAACGGAAAAGTATTGATCAGGTGCATTTTCAAATTCATTCACAGTATACTCATATTGATTTAGGTCTCCTCTCTATTCTAAAGACCATGTCTACTCTAAAGATCATGTCTACTCTCTATTCTTTTGTTAGAATTGATTAAAAAACAGTATAGTACTCTTTACCACACTACCATGCTGTTGTCAAGGAAACCAAAATAACAAATCTGTTTTAGATTAAGATTATCTTCAATATGTTTTCCATTGAATGTTTGTTCTGATGGGAAAGAGTTTGACTACATCCTGTGGTCGAGAGACAATCTAGTTTTTAAAATATTTACCCTGTTTATAAGAACTTTCATACCTGTAAAGGTGGTTCATTCACCATTAAATTCCTTGTTTTTGTATTAAACTTTGGAAGGGGAGGGGGGTTAGTTGGATTGAAATCGTATTTTCTACAAATGAGTGGGTACTTTTGCTAAATAGTGAATAGTGTAGCAGAGTGAATGCTTGATGTGTAGACATAGATGGGATTTGAATGGTCTCTTGTGGCCTACTTTGTATAGTTTGTATGTAGAAGATATTAACTGGTGGCTATTCATCAAAGAAGAAAAGGGTCAAATCACAGACTGGTTAGCCATGCATGCGTGTTCTTTCTGCATGATTGGAGTCTTTATAACAAGCTTACTACAGCACACTCTATAGCCAAGGGTTCAATATTGATAGGTACATGTACATGCACAAGGCCCACAGTACAGAACTAATGAGGTGGAAGTATTTCTGGAGTACACTAAATTGGTAGAGTGTTAAGCATTGTTTTGAAGTCAGCTTGTGTATAAAATCCACTACATGAAGATTTGACCTGCAAATACAGTTTACAAGACAAAAAGAAATGAATGCAAAAAAGAAATATCTACATTGAAAACTAATTATTTAACTTACAGCAAGCATACTTTTGAAATGTGTCAAACTTTCAGCAATGTAAGAAGTTCTATAATATATATATCCAATGATATATATTTGGATTTATAAATTTCATATCATGTCAAAGGGAAAAGTATAAGTAACATATTTTCAATCCAGCATAATGGATTTTAAACAAGTTCAATTAATTTAGTGAATGTTGGCTACTTTGTTTCCTGTACTACACACATGACTGGATTAAATATCTTGCATATAGTCCAGAAGTGTCATTCCAGCAAAAATTAATTGAAATTATTCAAAGAGATGCCTATTAAATGAGAAACAAAACATTTGTCTTTTATTGACATGCTTTGATAAGCATGCTTTCAGGTGTTGATAAATGTTCAGAACAATTTCCCCTTCCTTAGAAATATAATGAAGAGAACTATGACCAATATTCAACACATTACATCATAGAGGGTCCTCTTAGACCCCATTCTTACTCACTTCATGGACCGATCTAGGCTAGACCGATCCACTAGATCGCTCCAGTAGTATGGTTCATTTATTTTCACAAGCTAGAATACTCTTGTTGCTATGGTAGCGCAAACAAAATAGACTAGCGTTGCTGTGGAATCAAAGGCAGCAGGTCAAATGTTTTGTGCGAAATTCTCTATTATTTATCATTTTCTCTTTCTGTCTTTCTTTATGTTAATCTTGTTTTTTTATTCTATCATTTTTTCTTTCTATCTTTCCTCATATTATTTTTTGTTTTCCTTCAATCTTTTTCTGTCTGTCTTTCCTTATGTTAGTCTTTGTTTAAATTCCTTCTTTCACTTCTTATGTTATTCTTTGTTTTCCTTCAATCATTTTCTTATTCTGTTTTAATTACCTATGTTATTCTTTGTTTTTCCATCTTTCATCTCCTCTTCTATCTTTTCTTTATTAAATATTTTCTGTCTCTTTCTGTCTTTATTTACGTTATTCTTTGTTGTTTTCTTCTCTAATTTCTTATGTTATTGTTTGTTATTATCATTATATGATTTTTTCTTTTTAACTTTCCTCACGTTATTCTTTGTTTCTTCATTCTATCACCTTTTCTTATGTAATTCTTTGTTTTTATAATTCTATCACACCTCTATGTCATTCCTTATATTCTCCTTTGTTTTTTCTTCTATCACGTTCGGTCTAGCCTGGATCAGTCCATGAAGTGAGTGAGAATGGGGGTCTTATGTTATTTTATGCATAATTATTTTTATGCTGATATTTTTGGATGTGATTGATACAATCAACATAAATATTTGAGCACTAAAAACCACAAACAAACAAAAACACAATATCAAAGACTTTCAAAAATCAACATACATGTACCTGAAAGGCAATTTAAATAGCTTTGTCCATGACTTATTGCAACGTGTGAACATTACAACAATGTATAACAGTATCTGAACATGATTTATATTAATTATATTATTTATATATAATAGGGTATTTAAATGACTGTTGAGTGAGTTGATTTCTCCAAAGTCTTTTTCATGGTCTAATTATAGACAGATTTAAAAAAAGTTTGATGCAGAAAGCATTGATGGTTTGTCAGGAGAGAAGCAGTGTTGAATTGCAGACACTCAAATCACACTGGCAGGAATAATAATCAGCCTTTTCACACACGACTAAAATTCTTTAAAGCTGATTAGTTTAAAGAGCTTTAAACTAATCTGCTCTACGTACAACATCATTCACACACAGAAATTTCGGTGTGATAGTTTCGTAATTAATTGCTCTTAAAATGTGCAGTAGTGCCAATGCGCATTGAAGGTCAAGTCATATCAAACGAAGCCCGCGCTCCATCCAGTTTAAACATGTATAACTGTTCACACACAAAATGTCAAACTCTCTAGATACGGACTTCGTATCTGCAGCCTGCTTTGAACAGCACATGAATCGCGATTTCGTATCTATCCGAACATCGTATAAATGTCGTTCACACATTAAATTTTCTTTAAAGCTGTTTAAAACTGTTGAGTTAAACAGCTTTAAACTAATCAGCTCTAGATACGATGAATTTTAGCTGTGTGTGAAAAGGCTGAATGTTATTCATGCTTTGGTATCCTATAGAGTATAATTAAAGGACAATCCACCCCTAATCAGTTGTATGAAAGCAGAAAAATAACAGAAAGAGAATGGCAAGAGTTTGAAATGAATTGGACCAAAAGTAAGGAAGATATGAATGTTTGAAATGTGAGATCACTAAGTCTATGCAAATCTCAAATTGGTAGTTTGGTCAGTGGATTGTGACGTAGGACGTTCTTTTCCCATTTACCGGGTACAAAAATATCACTAATTTCTGTTTTTCTCGTAAGTTCCTTCTCCCTTGGGCCACTACTCAAAATATATTATAAATATCATATTATTATAGGTCCTCTAAAAAGAATAGACCCTCCTTAGCAATACATTTTAGTAATATTATATGTCAGAACAGACAGGAAAGTAGTCAGGCACTACATCACATTAACATTACCACTTCAGCCAATTTGAAGTGCCCATATACGTATGTGATTACAATTTTCAAAAATTCATAACTTTCTTATATTGAGTTAGATTTAATTGAAACTTTCATCAGTTTGCTGCTCTGATTTTTCTGATTTCTTTTAGGGTAGTTATCTATTTGGGTTGGATTTCCCTTTAAGGTGTTTTGCACAAGAATTGAATCTGCCTTCTGAAGATACACTTTGGTATAGATTCATTTATCACGTTATATTACCATTCATGTGAATAGACCAAATGAGGTATTTAGTTTGTTGATTAACCCCCAGTCATCTATTCAAGTTTAAACGTTTTCATAATACCTGGTCTTGCTTTTGTACTAACTTGTGTACGGTTACTTTTAGACTCTGTAGATAGACTCATCATTGACCCCCCCCCCATTTAAATGAAGTTAGATTATAGAAGTAGGCCTTTGCAATTCAATTTGCATAAATTGCATGTAGTTAAAATAGAAATGAGGATTATGATAAATCATGATAAATTTGCATTATTTGTACATGAAAATAAAACATGAACATTTGTATAAAACATACACTTCCTGTCTTCTCTTTAACCAGAATGTTACTATTGGCATTCTTTCTCTATCCACCAAGAAAAAAAAACTCATTCAATGTTTCTATCATACATTAGACAAATATGGAATTCAAATCATAGATTAATGAATTTTACTGCTTTCAAACTGGCTTCTATCGGAGTCATACCAATGAAAATACAGATTTAATTTTCCTTATGTAAACAAAGATGAAACCGCCGTTTTCCCCCTGTCGCTTTCATACTGCAGGTGAAATTCACTCGCTTTGGCGAGTCCTTGCCAGAAGTGAAGAATTATTGCGTAATTATTAAGCCTGTGCTCCATCTAGCTAGCATGCAGCATGTTCAACCATAAGTCAACAAACACAGCTGGTTACGATAAAGCACGCGTAACTGCGACCTTTGACCATTTTAATCACTGTTTTAATCGCTGTTTTCTCCCGAACGCTTTCACAGTGGCTGTTTCATCGTTGTCACACTGATAGAATGAGAATTTCTCCAGCTCTTGAGCAGGAGAATTTAATCGCCTATTTCTCTTCTTTTCATCGGCTATTTAATCGCCCTTTTCTCCTCGGTAGCATTCATACTGGCCGTTTCATCGGATGCGTCTGGATGCATCCAATGAAAATCAGGCCAGTTAGAAAGGGGTATTAGCTTTGTAAAGAAAATGCTGATATATACATTTGTTTTATTCCATTCATACAGAAGGTCATGTTGGAGCTGAGTTTCAAGCTCCTGAGGTTACAACTTTGGGTGTTTCTGAAAAGGTGAGTATTCAATCATGAAAAATACACACTTAAAGGTAGAAGACTTTTAGAGAAACATAGATGTGGAGGCTCAGTATAATTCAAGATACCGGTACTCATAAAGAAGTTATGAATTCTAGATATTGTGAAATTCATCAAGTAACAGAATCTGTAATTGACACATTGGTCAATTACAGATAATGCTAGGGGATCCTATGTAATATTTATCAAATTTGATTTGTGTCTTGCCTGTGTATCAGGAGCAAGATATGAGCACTGCTTTTCCACTGGTGATGGCATCAGCATTTTAAGAATTACATGTCCAAACTTCCAAAGACCTGGATTGTACCATGGCTTATCGAGTATCCAGTGTCACGTGTAGAAGAAAGTCAAGGTCCAAGGTCTAAGGTAAGGTTGTGTTATATTCAAAATTGATCTCAAACCTAATGTCTTATCTAATCATAAATTTTGCAAATAACCTGAATGAAAAACTATAATTACAGCAGGATAGTTATCACAGCCTCTTTTCTGTTAGATATCAAAGAGAACATGTATGGAACTTTGCTTACTGTTGAGCTAGCAGCCATTGATGGAAGCCAAAAATAAGAAGCAGCTTAAATACATGTTCTATGACATGTTCTACTGGCAACATAAGGTACTGGAGAGAGAAGGTTCATGAAACAGAAGGTAAATTGGACAGAAGGTACATTAGACAGAAATGTCCATTGGATAGTAGGTCCATAAGACAGTATTTACAGGAGACAGAAAGTCCAGGAGACAGGAGGTGCAGGAGACAGAAGGTACATGGGATAGAAGGTCCATAAGACAGTAGGTAGGAGACAGAAGGTACATCGGACAGAATGTCCAGGAGACAAGAGGTCCAGGAGACAGAAGTTGCAGGAGACAGAAAGTGCATGGGACAGAAGGTCCACAAGACAGAAGGTACACAAGATAGAATGGTCCATGAGATTTAAGGCACATGAGACAGTATTCACAGGAGACATTTAAGGTACAGTAGACAGGAGGTCTGTGAGATAGAAAGGTCCCTGAGATTTAAGGTACATGCAGTATGTACAGTAAAGAAAAGCTGCAGGAGACAGAAGGTACAGTAGACAGACCAAATATTATATCTTTCTGACTGATCTTGAAGAGTAATGAGAAACAAATGAGAAACATCTGTTATTATCTTTTCTTTCTTTTCCTCTATCCTCTTTTTATTTTCTCTTTTTTCTCTACCTACCATTCATCAGTTTTCTCTCTTCTCTCTATCTTTCTCTCTCTCTCCCACATTTTTTTCTCCATTGTTCTACCTCCCCCCCCATCTCTGTCAACTTTTCCCCAAATCTCTCTTTTCACCCTCCTCTTCATTCCCAATCTGTTGCTTCTCTTCTGTAACCCCCTTTCTAGTTGTATCTTGCTCCAGATGTTGCTACTACTTGTACTCTTTCAACACTTGCTGTAGGCTTTACGTTGACAAATATATCGGGTTGGGATTTTGGTTGTTTTGGGGTTTCGATTCAAGGTTTAAGCCTTAAGGCAATGTGTATTGTTGAGTCTAGGTTTGAAGTTCGGTATGGGACCAACGTGAAAATTGAAATTGTGGAGCACAGTATTGTGTTGGAAAATTAAAAAAATTGCCAGTCAGTATGGAACACACAGTGATTTTGAATTTGTCATCATGTTGACAAGATAATTTGTTTTGGATGTACACTGTATGGAGAGTGTTGCTCCCTTTTTACTGTATATGAGGTGTAGTTTTCAGGGATTTGAATTGAAAGTTATGGAGCTAAACTATATGCAGGCATTTTCCGTGAATAAGTTAAGCCCTGGGGGTGTTTCACAAAGATTCTAAGTTGAACTTATCTCTAAGTTGGACTTAAAACTTATGGACAGCCATTGGAGTCTTAAAATGAAATATATTCAAAAGCAGAAATTCAAATATTTTAGACTTTTTATAAATTCCACATCCAGAACATGAAATCTCCTTGATGATAGAAAATATGAATGATTTGAATAAACAACTAATGCCTTTCAAAATAACTTTTACAAAATATTTTCAAAGATGCTAATGGCTTTCCATAATTTTTAAGTCCAACTTAGAGTTAAGTTCTACTTAGGATCTTTGTGAAACACCCCCCTGGTCTCTCATATTCAATAATAATGATTACTATTTCTATTATTGAAAGTCCTCAGTATTGTAACTGCATGTGTTGAAATGTTAATCTGAAGTGTTTTGGATGCGAAGATCATGAGTTGGAAACAGTGAGTGATATATTTCTCCTAAAAAATTGTGATGGTGACTTTTTATATGTCCTCTTAGTGCATAACTTACAATACACACTCATCAAATAGAGAGGAAGAAGGAGGAAATCTTTAAAAACAAGTTAAAAGATGAATTTTGGGACCAAACATTTTCAACAAGCATTTATTTTAAAGCAATTAAATGAATCTCACTTTCATTTTTTTAACAAATAAGGTGAATGTCAATATTAGGGCCTACCTTAAACAGTGAGTAGAGTTTTACTGTTTGTGATACCGTGTTCATGATGGGACTATAGGCCTCCTGATATAAATGTATTCACTCCATACCATTGATATATTTTTTTGTTACAGCTGTGTTTTCAGCTTTAAGTAGAGCAAGCAATTAGTTTTAAGAATGATTGTTTGACCTCAAAATGGACACATACAGGAAGCATGTATTAAGCAGAGGTTATGAGTGTCACAGTTATGCAAATGAGACGAGCAAACACACAATGGTATTATTCCCAGCAGGTAAACGCTGCTTCATGCATCAGTAATCCATCTGAGTGTCCCATCTTCATCCTTTCAAATGGATTTTATCACAAGGGAAGAACAGATCAGTACACAAATAGACCACTCTCTGTGGGAGCGTACTACAACCATTGTTACACTTACAAGGCACTTTGATGAAATATGGATTGGTATTGCTGTTACAATTATAGGTGGATTTCTTATCTTTCCAGTTGGTGATTAACTAAACAACATGGGAAAGTTATATGAAGCATTATGTCAGAATACTAGCAATGTGTTTCTTTGATATTTAGCCTAGGAATCATATTACATGTTGCAATGAAGTGCCAGTAAATTTATGTGGATAAATATATCTTGGAAAAGACAGTAGAGTGAGGTGAGTAGCAAGCTTATGGTCATCAATTGTTGTGAGTACATGTAAAACAAACATGTGAAAAGTAGTTATGTTTATCTAAATCTCCAGAAATGATTTACACACTTACTAATACTATTTATTTACTGGATTCTTGACAATAAAATTAGTCTGGCTCATTAGAAAGAAATGATGCAAAATGCTATGTCCACATTTGTATGTGCATGTGTGAATGAGGGTGTGTGGGTGAGGGTTATGTGTATACTTACAGGTACAAGTACCAGTGTGCTCTAGTAAGAGTATGAATATATACTTCAGTTTAGCATTTTATTACATGTTAAGTTGTGAAATTCTCAATGAGATGACCAACTTCTGAACAGTATTCACCATAGAGATCAATGACTTGCCAGTGGAATTTAGTACCATGTCAGAGATCGAACCTGTGACCTTTGCATTTGCAGTAAAGTGCTCGGAACACTATGACCCCTGTTTTATAATGCGACATACTAGCAAATTTGTACATTTAAAATATTATGTCATTAACTTATTTACACATTTGGGAAGTCATGTTGTTATGTATTGTGCATAACCTGACTACATTCATGTAATATGCCAATCAGCCGATTACCGGTAGATCATTGTCATTGTAATCTAGTAGAAATTGAGTCTTTAGCCAATTTAGAATGGTCTAGCAGACTCTAGCTCTTCAACTACTGCTTTAGATAAATATATATTTTCAAAATGTTACACAGATAAAACAGAGACTGATAAATAACTGTGAGGAAAAAATAATTGTCTTGTCAGAAAGTTATAAAACTTATGTGAACATATCCGTTAGACAAAATGGCAACTGAGTCATGTCTTTGGGCTGACTTAACTATTCATAAATTGTTTTGTGCATTTTATACTGGTAAGAATGGATTGCATAATTTGGTGTTTTAGTATGAATAGTAAAAGGTTTTAGAAAATAAACACAACAACTCACGTGACGATACAGACTTTTGACTTATATTTGAAAAAATGGGAATATACTTTTGTGTTGGTTATACTGTATGTGCATCAGTATACTTTAAAAAATTAATACAATTTGATTTTGTTTGAATCTTTTTTTATTTCTTCCAGTCACTTACATATTCTCTTGGAAAGACACTACTGAGTGTGAAGAATGACTGGCCTGTAGACAGTGCCCTACATGATCTGCTTCACAACCTAATATCAACTGATACATGTAATAGACTTACATTGACAGAGGTTGCACAACTCTCTCAACTCTCGCTTCAAAAACTTTCAGGACACTACAAGGAAGGAGGTTTGTACTATGAATTTTGATATTTCTAAAAATTTAAACCTTTGTGCAACATAAAGAAACAATAGATGAGAAAATGAGAGATATATATTACTAGTTATAGACAGTGAATGGCCTGTACATGGTCCAAACATTATGTGAAATGCCTTTTTGCTAATTATTCAGTAATTAAATAATTCAAAAATGCTTAGTCTCGTTATGGCTCTTTTCACAAAATGTAACAGATATTGATTAGTCACAAATATAAATAATACATAATATAATTGAATATTTTCTCATACTATAGGTCTATGTTTGGTTACCATGCAGTCTTATGCTATAAGGCTATGGATTAGTATCAATATTGATAGATCTCATGCATGTATTAGGTTATTGTAAGATTATGAGGCTGGGCTCTCGGCTTCTAAATCTTTCAGCTCTCCAAGATAATTATGGAACTTGAATGATATATATGTCCTACAGATTTATGTGTTAAGTCATCTTTATATCAAAATGATAAAACACACTTCATGAACATCTAAGAGTACTTGGAAGGCTTATTGATATATTGTATAGTAGTACTGTTTAGACAAATTTAATACAATAGATGAGTTTTTTAATTTTGTTTATTTATGCAGATGAACAGAATGGGTGGAGCATTGTACCAAACATCCAGGATGCCAATAGTAACTGTAGCAGAGAAACATCCAAAGAGAAGCCCATAAACCAGTCAACCAAAGATAACATTTCAGACTCATCTGATCTCCAGTCGAATTCCTCCTTGAGCCGGCACTCAAAGCCATCTCAGAGAGTGAGTTCTCTTATCAAACCTGTACTACAAGCTGCATTGAGAGACGTACCATTACCAGACAAGATGGCAGCAGGTGGTCATCTGGGTCCACCAAGCCTAGAAACTTTTGGAAATTTATCTCCAAGGGCTCAAGAAATCCTGAGAAAGATCTACTCATCAGAGAATTCATACAAACCTGAAACTACTGGAACACCCAAAGGAGGATCTGATTCTAATCTCTCCACTCTTAACAATGAAGCCAAGTATTTCACAGCTGATAGTAAAGGAAGGTTGGGTATTTCAAATCCACTTTCAAAACGAAACTCAATAGGGTCAACCACGGATTCTTTCCTACATCCGCAGCGTGTAAGTCCAAAGGATCAAAATCTTTCAAGAAGATACAGTGTAGGGGAAACTAGTTCCAAAACATTGTGTATGAATAATGGAGGTGCATCACCATCACCCAATGCATCACCTGTGCCTATCATCACAGTATCAAGACCTTCTTCTGAAACACCTCCTCCTATCATGGCAGAGAACAGACACAGAGTTGATTCTATGCAATCTGCTGTAACGACTCAGGTGTCTAATGCCTTTACAAAGTTTATCAATTCTAGGAAAATAAGTGGTGGAAATAAACCTCAGGAGAAATCAATAGATGTGCAGGATACACAAAGAGTACAGGAGAGTCACCGTAGAGAAAGTGTGGACAACTCCAGTTCCTATGGAGGAACGGATGATGAACATTCCAGTGGACACCAAACAGATGCTGATTTGTATATGTTGGATGATCCTTTTACGGAAACAGAGTCAGAGGGGGAGAGTGCTTATTCCAATAGGGTGCGTTCTAATAGTATTGCGACTTGCAATACATTCAACTCAAAGTCATCAGCCTTTAGAGTAACCCAGTCTAAAATTATCAGAAAGCAAAGTCTTTCAAATTTAACTGAAATTCAAGAGGAGGAAAGCAAGGCTTCATCAGCTGACATGTCTCATACGGTAGAGAATGCAAGTTCAGCTTATTCAAACATCAAAGATCTTGCAATGCTTCGTAATAAAAGAGCAAGTAACATCCATGCTCCGAAATCAAGTGATCTTTTATCCAGTACTACACATTTCACTCCAATTGTACTAAGTGCTACAAATTCTGAAGGATCTATCGGGTCACCTGTAATGGATAAAGCCAAAGTGAAAGCAAAAAAAGCTATGGAGCTCATCAAATTAGACCTTAAGGCCCCAAGAAGAGATAAGCCACCACCAACAATGCTACAAGACCTTGAAAATGATGCAACTGATTTTGTTCCAGTAGATCAGGGAAACAATGTGCAACATGTCAACAAAATGGCTGAACAGACACAAATGGGTGACAAAAGAATTGAAAAACAAAATTCTGAAAGTTCTGAAGACCAGTCAAAACCAGAACTTACTACTGATCAGAAACTAAAGATATTGTTTGAAAAACACGGCCTGGGATCTCCTAATCCATCTCCAAGATCTTCACCCAATCCAGGAATAGCATCAATACCTTCAGGAACAACACCACACCAAGAAATGAATGAGAAGAACTCCAGTAATGCAGCAGTAACACCAGTACACAATTCTGCAAAAGTCATAGAAGATACCACTGATAAACATGAAATAAAACTAGAAAACAATCCAATAGCAGATCTTACAGTAAAGAGGAAGATATCAGGTAGTGAAAATTGTTCTTCTCCAATCATCAAAATAGAGCCTGTCACTTTGGTTCAGAATTCTCCATTGAATATGGAAATGGGTTTTGCTCCCATATCCAAACCCAATGATAAAACAGATGACTTATTGGGTAGTTTGTCAGAAGACCCATCCCCGGCTAGTAAGAGTCTTTTGAAAACCAAAGATAAATCTACCTTGGAAAATGTTGTGCCACAGAAGACCTCTACAATGTGTGATGGTGTAAGAACTTTTCCTAAACATGGAATAGTAGATGAAAGAAGAGGTGTAGAGGAAGCCAAGCATACAACAACACATCCAGTAATAGATATGGAAGCAGTGAAATCAAACACAGCTACTGCTGAAAGAACAACAGATTTCAAAATGGGAGAAAAAGATTCAGCATCTACAATGAAGATTTCAAAGGTACAGATGGAAATCATATCTAATGAATCAAGTGTTCAAGAGAAACCAAACATACAATTGGTTCAAACAGGATCTGTCTTGTCTGCTTCATCAGCATCATATTTAACTGCAGTGACTTTACATGCATCCAAGGATCAAGATATCCCAAACCAACTTGCCATGAAGAACATTCCAATCCAGGTACATCTACAACAAGATCCAGAGACAGGGCTTTATAGGGTTCTACCCATGGGCAGCCCCTTACAGGGGCTACCAGTACATATTACTTCAACTTCTTCTACTCCAACGTCTCCTGTGCAATTGGTTACCAACAGCAATGCAGCAATGGTTTCTCCAGTTCAGACACATACTTACAGCCCAAATTCTCTGGTATCACCTTCTGTTGACATTAACAAGTCCATTCCAAGAAAGAAAAAGTTTGTGGAAACAAGTAGTGATCCAGACTCTTCTTCTCTTTCTTATCGGCATCACCATAGACATCTGGCAGACCGCAAGAAAGAACACACAAAGAAGAGAACTGAACGTACAAAGTACACTGTGTCTCCTCATAAGAAGTCATTGAATAAACTGCCAATGTCAAATTTGATCACAGACTCTGAGAGCAGTGAGTCGTCTTTCTCCAGTCCTGCGCTTAGTCTGGGTCATGAGAAAGGTCAGATCCATGTCCGTCCACACCGTAGGAAACCCACCAAGTCACCAGCTTCTTCTCATGGTGACTCTGATCATAGAAAGGAGAGGCACAGAGATCAGTGTGAGTTTTTTAATCCTCTACATGTACTTAATATAATAGAGGTAGTTTTAACGGGACTGGGATCAAAGCAGTATATCAGTGATCAATGGCTACAAAATTGATAAATCTTTAGGATGTTGATTCTGTAGATGTGTGTTTTTAATCCTTGATTATTATTACATTTATTTGATACAGCTACTGTTAGAAATTACTTTTAAAGTTCAAACCAGCTTGTTTAGAGCTAAGCCTGAACTTAAGTATTTTGATAGTGGCAATTTTCTCTGTAAATTGCCTATAGTAACAATTTAGCAGTGTTATTTTGTGGGCCAATGGAAAACAAAACCATAAACAAATTGAAATATTTGCATATGACTTTTGGATTTGTAGTGCTTATTGCAGAAAATCAATCTTGTGAAAATTACAGTTGTTACACTAGTATAATGTGCCATTACATACCTTTATCAAAACATAGCTCGAGCTGCATCAGATTACACGAGAGGAGTGTGTTTTGATTTAAAAAAAAGACGAGAAACGATTTTTGCTGATAATGACACTTATATAAATCTGCTGATATATCATTTTCAAGCTCACAGTTCAGTGTCAAGTCCTGCACCTTGATGAATGGAATTGTTCACAATCTCAGCATTTGTTTGAGTTTGACATTTGACATGTTCTGTTAAGCATTTGATTTCAATTTTCATAAAGTGACATTTTCCTCATTTTCTATATATATATGTTTTGAAGCACATTCCTATTTTCTTAATGCAGTGAATGCCTCAAGATCTCCCCAAATTGAGAAGCTATACCAGGAGCATACCCATCGCCCTCAGAGCAAATCAAAAGAGAAGGGTTCTCACACACCACCAACCCCCAGAACTACTCCAACAGGTGATCATAAATCTCATCATATCAAATCATCTCATCTAAACCGTACCCACTCAGCACAAGCCCTTCGTTCAAAAGATGACACAGACGATACAAAACCTGTAGATCATACCTTAATGCCCAGATCACCATTGTCAGTATCAATGTCATCACCTTCACGGGATAGTGGTGTTCATCTACGATATACGACATCAAGTGGTGAAGACCTACCTATGATTCAAGAAGCACATCTAGTAGATGCTCTTCAAAGTAATTCTCATCTGAAGAAAGTCATCAAGCAGATCAGACAAGCCTTTGCCTTTGATGGCTATCTAGAGAATGGTGTAGAGGATCTCCATATGGGTGAGTCTTAGGTCTTCTTATTATAAACCTTTAGGTCAGTCAGGAATCCCATGACTTTTACAAGCCAATCGTCTGTCTAATTATCAAGATATTTATGATTGGAAATAGAGATTACATTTTAAGTGTATTCATGAAAGTACATACAGTGAAGATTAATTCCATTTTCAAAATTGTTTATGAATTGTCATCATATTATCACAATGAGTTGTAGTATAGTTAAGATTGGCCATTATATACAAAGTCCAAATCCTGCTGAAAACCACAATATCTGATGCTCGCCAATACAAGCATATGCAGGGGTGACAGTCGCAAGGAATCAGCTTGCATGTACGTCGCCTATACATAGTCCAAACATTTTGTGGATTGCTTTTTTGCTAATTATTCAGTAACTAATCGGTTAAAATCTTTTGGCAATTGCTCTTTATTTATATATTGTATAAATAGTTTGTGATAATTGTGTTTTATTTTGTTATGATTTATTTGTTATCATTTCCACAACTGAATATTGTTTATATCATCTAGATAATTTTTATTTTATTACGCCCACTATTATATTTTGTTTGTGTTTCAGCTGAATACATCTCTTCCCTAGCCAGCGTTACATTCACAACCTTCTCCGGTGCTGTAACGGAAAAGTTTTGTGATCTTTATTGGGAGGAGGAACTTCTTGAAGGATTGTATGAAGCAGTCAATGGAAAGGAACCTACCAAGCTGACTAACAAGTAATTAATCATCACTATTTTCATTTTCATTGCCATGCTTTATGTGTAGAACTGATTGTAGAAATGTAGTCTGTAATGTAGTGTCGTTTGAGATGGTACCAGGTTCATGCTGTCCTATATCACTTTGACATCTCAAGAATAGAAGTAGGCATACTATCAAAGATCACTACAATCAGTTTATATAGAAATCTTGTATCGATTCAAACTTACTGGTTAGCATCTTTGAGAGAATGACTTCATTTCAATGGGTTATTTAAATATTTACATCAAATGTGAAATCCTACAGGCAGTACATAAATCGCTTGAAAACTGTCTAGACTGGAGGGGTATTTACCAATTCAAGTTTAAAGGAAATTGATAACTTGGATACAAAAATTGTTGATCGAACTGCTCAAATCTCATAACATATGTTATCAATGGATAAGTGCTTGAAGAGTTTGTATTTACATGTATTGTGCCGATAGTAGATTGTTTTGTACATTGTGTAATGCATTTCATTTTTGTATTACTTCACTTTTATGCAGAAGTGTCCCAATGTCTCAGAAATCCAGTGAGGTTCGTAGGCAGTCAAAAGAGACCATTTCCCAAGTGAAGGATATGAAGGCAGGAAGAGAGAATTCAAGAGGAAGGAACGAAGGAAAGCAAATATCTAGTGATGCTGCAAGAAAGATGGATCCCAAATCCCAAGAGAATAAAACAAAACATGGAGAGGGAGAAGATAAAAGTAAGGAAAAGGTAGCCCAAAGAAGATCTACAGCAAGTAAGGATGCCAAGAGCCATAGGGCAGGTGTAAGGATAGAGGGAAGCAGAGAAAAGAAAACATCATCTGCAGAACAACCAAGACCATCTTCATCAAAGAAGCTAATTGGTGAAAGAGACAAGGAGAAGGTTAGTCAGCGAAAACAGAGTAGCGTAGAGGCACCTGGAGAAAGACTTGATAAGTGTACAGATGATGCTAAGGCAGACTCAAGGAGGATCTCAAGGCAGAGACAAGCCAGAGATAAAACATATGATGGAGAACAGAAGGAGACAAGGATTAGCCAGAAAGATGAAACGGAGGGAAGAAAACAAGAAAACATTGGAGGACATATCCACAAAGTCAGTGAGAATGAAAGGGAAAGCAAGATAATTAGGAGTGAAGAGGCTGCAGCGGGAAGGACTTGTAAAGTTAGTGTTGATAGTAAGGATGGAAGAGCGAGTAGAAACAGTAGGGATGGTAGGGAAAGAAGAGGTGGAAAGGGAAGTCAGGAAAGGAGAGAAGATAGAACACAGAGCAGAAACTCTGGAAGTGCAGACAAGGAAAGGAGAGAAGATAGAACACAGAGCAGAAAATCTGGAAGTACAGACAATTTGGTCCATGTGGAAGAAGAGGATATGCACAAGCCTTCATCTTTGAAAAAGACCAATACCAATGTGAACCAGCAAACAAGAAAGTCAGAAGAAAGAAATGATGAGAATGGAAATATGAAATCTCAGGAGTCTCTACTATCATCATCGAAAGACTCTTCTTATGTCGATCACAGCAGCCGTGACTCTTTGATAGATCAGTTCAATGATAGCTTGTATCTCTCTAGTACCAGTGATCTTTCCTCTAGCTTACCCTTGCCAAATCAACAATCAACACCAGTACTTAATAGAACACTTCCTATGACAAAATCTGAAGTGATACAAGCCAGACTGCCACCGGCAGAAAGAAACTCTCCTCATAGTACCCATCGACTCCTGAGTGCTTCTCGTCGTGATAGCATGGTTTCATTTAGTAGCACATCATCAGGGACATCTTCACGTACGCATCAGAGCTTTGCAACCAGCTCCTTATTTGACTCTACGATAGATGGTTCTATTGAGGAGAGCAGACTAGTCATACCTAGTGGGGTCCTGTTTAGTGGAGATAAAGTCGACCCATCTGTTGCAGAGTATGCTCGGAACCTCACTGGATGTGGAGAAACACAGAACTCTATTGAGAGCAAAATATCTGTAAGTTTGTATCTATCATTATTTAGGATAAGAGAACATTGTTTACATTAAAGTAGATAGACTATCTTCCTAATCCTTTTAATTTTGGTGAAACTCGTAGGAGCTTAGGTAGGGTTTAGGGTTAGGGTTATGACATTATGCATTGTTTGTAAGATTTCGGGCTATAAATGATTGTAATAGAAAAAAGTCTTTGTATGTCAGTTTGGAAGACTATTCATGAAATGTACTTAGAGAAGGATTCCTGACTTCTATGACAATGTCATCACACGAACAGTATTCAACTTTATCTTTGATATATTTTGAAGGTTGGTTTCAGGAACTGAAGGGAACTAAAATTTCAGATAACAAAAATGAACTTTTGAATGATAGAGTGATGAAATAGACCTCAAGACTTCACAAGTAATTGTTTACATGTTGCATTTTCTCTTGGATATTTTTTCTCAAAAAATTAAAGTGATAGTCAACATTTTTTGCCATAAGGGGAGATTTTTTCAGTACATTTTGTTTGTGTTTCTTACCTGGCAGGAGGTGGATCAACAGCTAACTCTAGAGAAAAGGTCACAGAAAAAGACAGCGAAGTTCTACCGCAAACTTCAGGAGAAGGTTTCATCCGAAAACAAGGGTATTGCATCCAAGGTTAAGCAGGAGCTTGCAGAAACCAACCAAAAGATTGAGTTCTTAGAATCAGCTAAGAGACATCTAGAGATATTATATGCTGAACAATGGGGCCTTGACTTCAGCTTGCTCTATTCATTTGCTATCATGTGAGTAACATACATGTCATTAATAGTAAAGTTCAACTTGCTTCATTCTTTTGTTACCATGTGAATGATGTATTAAATAAAAGGGAATTCAGCTTTAGTTTTTAGTCTTTTTCTTCTGAGATTATTATACTAGAGATTTAGACTTCATATTGCTATGAAAAACATGTAGACATATATCTAAACAATTTAATATCCATATTTGTATTGTATTACTCTGTTATATTTATTGTTTGGTTACCAAAGTGTTGAAGAATAGTTATGCATAAGATTATTACAATGAGTAATGTATATTTATAAACCTATAAGATACATGGAGATGGGATCACAAACATTCTTTGTATTTGGTCACAGCTCTGGTGATGAAAAACTAGTCAGGCAAGCAGAGAATCCATTACTGACAATGCACACAATGAGGACCATCACTACTCTACAGGCAGGGGAACCAAAGGGGCTCTTCTCGTACCTCTATGCAAGGTAAGAAACATTCTTTGGTAATACCAACCAACAGGCAGGGGAACCAAAGGGGCTCTTCTCGTATCTATATGCAAGGTAATAAACATTCTTAGGTGTACGTAATACCAAGCTCTCTGGAAATGTCTGCGTTCCATTGGAGTGGACAAGTCCTTAGTTGACCTCATAGAGAGCATGTACAAACAAACCAAATGCTCTGTTATGGTGAATGGAAAGATAACTGAATGGTTTGATGTCATAACTGGGGTAAGACAAGGCTGCCTCCTCTCTCCAAGCCTCTTCAACCTATTCCTGGAATATGTGATGAAGGACATCCAACAACTAGATAGTGGAATACAGATGGGTGACATGCGTATCAACAACATCAGATATGCAGATGACACCACCCTTATGGAACTCGTATTTGAAAACCTCGAAATCTCAACAAATGAATTGGAGAAAGCATGTAGAAGATGGGGTATGAAAATCAATGCAACAAAATGCAAAGTCATGACAGAGGATCAACAAGATATTTCACTTAACAACACCAACATTGAGAAAGTGGAAAAATTTGCCTTTCGGCAGCACAGTTCCATCCATAGAAGAGGACGTGAAGAGACGTACAAGACTGGCTGCTTGGGCATTCGGAAGACTGAAAAGGGCCATCTGGTCCAACCAAGATATTTCTAGGAGACTCAAAGTCAGGATCTACAGAGCACTTATCCTCCCTATTGCCACATATGGAGAAGAATCCTGGACTCTCCGAAAGTCTGATAGAAATAAGTTTGAGGTATTTGAAATGAGGTGTCTCCGGACCATCCTTGGAGTTCACCTAATGGACAAAATAAGGAACGATGCGATCAGGCAGAGACTGAATGTCCCAAGCACCATATGCGAGGAAATAACCAAACATGGCTTGAAATGGTTTGGCCATGTTTTACGCATGCCGCATCACCGCCTACCATACCAAGCATTCCAAAATGACTTTAATGGACGCAGACCACGGGGACGCCCTCCAAAGAGATGGAAGGACCAGGTTCAATGCGATGTGGGAGTATCCACACAAGAGGCAGAGCAACGAGCCCAGGACAGATCAGACTGGAGCATGATTTCTCGCAGGGGAGCAAGGGGACACACCGTTCTATGCACCTAAGTCAAGTCAAGTGAAGTCAAAGTCAAGTCATAGCAACTGCATCACTTTGGCAGTGATAATTCTTAAATGCACAAAGTGGGACTTATAAATATTTAGAGGATCAGTGGATATCTGGGGGTCATTTATATGTGATGACATCGATCATTAGATCAATTGATAACAAGAATGCCGTCATGCTAATCCTACTTGACCTGTCGGCTGCTTTTGACACTATTTCATGATGTACTGCTTCAGAGGTTGAAGGATGATTGTGGAGCAGAGGAAATAGCTCTCTAGTAGTTTCGCTCCTATCTCGGTTCATGAAGGCAAGCTGTCAACATCGATGGTACCCTATCTGAAGAAGCCTCCCTACAATATGGTGTTCCTTAGGGATCAGTCCTTGGACCACTACTTTTCATGTTATACACTGCCCCTCTCAGTGCCTTTGTTTGTCGCCAAAGGTTGGGAGCACACTTCCATACTGACGATACACAACTGTATCTGAGCTTTGATCGGAAAAGCAGAGATTGTGAACAGAATTTTGCCATTGTCATAAATTCTGCTATCATTGAAATTAGACTGTGGATGGTGAGAAATTTCATGAAGTTGAATAGCGATAAGACAGAATATCTCATTTTACGCTCTCCTCCAATGAGAAGTAAGATATCTTCCATGGATGTGTCAGTCGGTCAAGGTTTCTGACCCCCTAGTGAAAGTGAATGCAATCTTGGTGTCTGCTTTGACCAGCATATGAACATGGATAGACATATCTCTCATGTTTGTCAAACCGCCTAATTCCAACTTTGTAGGATTGCTGCGATAAGACCACCCCTTACCCATGCTGCAGCAGAGAGCCTTATCCATTCGCTTATAGCATCGAGATTGGAATTCTGCAACAGCCTGCTTGTTGGCCTTCCAGCTTCATGAATCAGTAAACTTCAAGCAGCTGCATGCTTACTCACAGGAAGAATTACACTGGCTACAGGTTGAGTACAGGATAAAGTTTAAGGTCTTACTGTTGAAAGTTAAATGCTGTCAATGATCAGGCCCACGGATAATGATATGTGACTACTTCTTCTCAAAGTTCCATGTACACGACTGCAAATGTATGGGGATTGTGCCTTCTCTTCAGTTGCTCCATGCCTCTGGAACTCCTTCCTGTTTTTCGCAACACCGACAAGCTAGAAAGCTTTAAACCAGGCCTCAAAACCCATCTATTTAAGCAAATGTGTAGTCCATAACTATTGAAGGAGTGGACGCCTTTGAATGTTTGAAACAGATAAATGGCGCCATACAAGTGCTGTGGATCATCATCATCATCATTTGTACAAGTGCTTCTTAAAAGTGGCTTATTAAAAGTGTCAACCAGATGAAATGGCAATCATCTTGTTTACCTGATAAGGAAGTCTCAACAAAGTTTTACTGATTTTAGTGTTAAGACTCAGCAACATTGTGAGTTGTATTTTCACTACTTATGATAACAGGTTTTGTGACATATCTTTTTCTTTAAATTTTCAGACAAGCACTGCTAGATGGCTACTTGCCTCATTTCTTCTACACCTATCACTACTTTGCTACATCCCAACAACTCCTGGACTTCATCACCAGTCGCTTTATGCTTGCTTGCAAGTAAGTTTGAATTAAGTTTGATCATTTATGGCACTAAATCATTTAACAGTACTGTTGTTGTTAGGCATTTTATACTGAATTCATATTAGAGGCATGTGCATTATTTGATATCTGCGTTCCGATATGAACCAAAGCCTTAAAGGAATTAATACAAAACTGCTACTTATTTGAAACTTTGTAGATAGATGCTTTAGATTGATATGCGCATTTGATAAATGTCCTTTCTGCTGTCAGTTGTTAAGGTTTAACTCCCCCCAATGATTATAAACCAACTTATCAAAGTATTTAGAGCCTATACATACCAATGTTATGCAATTCTTACCGCATACGCTGACCAATAACTTTCAAATTATCCCAGTAACCATGCATAGATGAAGTGAAAAAACAATTGTTGAAACTGTCAAATGACAAAGCAATGGGATGTGATATAATACCGATGAAACTGATTAAGCTGGCAATTTCCAGTATTAATGAACCTTTAACACATGTTATAAATACCTCTATTAGTACTGGATGTGTCCCTATTGTATGGAAAAAGGCAAGAGTAAGTGCTCTACATAAAGGTGGAACAAATGAACCCACAAATTTTAGACCGATATCAATATTGCCAATACTTTCGAAAGTACTAGAACGTATAGTGTTTGATCAGTTATATGACTATCTAAACAGTAATAATCTAATCAATGTATATCAATCTGGCTTCCGGCCACTGCACTCAACAGCCACTGCATTGCTGAATTCGACAGATGAATGGCTGAAAAGCTTTGAACAAGGCAAAGTGGTGTGCTCTGTAATGATAGATTTGAAGAAAGCCTTCGACACAGTTGATTTTGATTCACTAATTGAAAAATTAAAATATTATGGTATTGGACAACACACACTTAATTGGTTTACAAGTTATCTGTATGAGAGATACCAAAAAACCACAGTCCATGGTATATCATCTGAGTTTTAACCTATTCAATCTGGAATTCGACAAGGGTCCATCCTTGGACCTCTTCTCTTTATTATGCACATCAACGATTTACCCTTGATACTAAAAAATTGCAAAATAAATATGTATGCTGATGACACTATTTTATATTATGCTAGTGATGACTTTTCTGAACTGGAAAACAAGGTAAACGAAGATTTAGTAAATGTGAAAAAATGGCTTGATGTCAATAAGTTAAGTTTAAATATAAATAAAACAGAATACATTGTACTAGGAACAAAAAATCGTCTAAAACTAGCTAGTATTACAAATTTGAATATTAACATAGATGGAACCCCTCTGAAAAGAGTTACTACCTGCAAGCATTTAGGAGTGATTGTGGATGAAACTCTATCATGGACAGACCATATTAAATCTGTACAAAAGAAATGTAGTAGTGGATTGTTTATGTTAAAATCAATACGTAATATTGTTGGTAAAGATACATTGAAATTAGTATATAATGCATTGATTTTATCCCACCTCTCCTATTGTGATGTAATATGGGGAAACTGTGGAATGTGCCTACAAAATGATCTCCAAAAAATTCAAAATCGGGCAGCTCGAATAATAAATGATACCCCTTGGGATTCATCGGGAAGCTACAACCTTAATAAAGTTGGATGGGATACGCTTGAACAGAAAAGGAAAGAAATAATTGCTTTAATGACTTTCAAAATACTTAATAAAAAAGCCCCTTCTTATCTAATTGATAAATTTTCATTCAGAGAAAGACCATATAATACGAGAAGTGGCAATCTATGTGTTAAGACAATCCAGCCTAAAACGGATAGTACCAAACGCACATTTGTGTACAGAGGCGCTTGCCTATGGAACTCACTACCACACGAATTGCAAGCTGCACAAACCAAGTACAGTTTCACAACAGGACTTAAAAGAATAATCAATTTATAATCATATACAGTATACTATGCTCAAATATGTCTATGAACTTTCGAATGTTTCCTTCTTATTTTTGATGTGTCCATTTGTGTGTTGTTTGAATTTAAATTGTTGTGTATATATCTGCTCGGGTATTTTTTAATTTCCATATGATGTAATATAGTTTCATTTCATTTTATCCGAAAATGATTAAATAATAGAGTTTTATCTGCTGTGCTTGTTATTTCAATTCACTTTCAAGTGTTCTTTTACTGACTTAAATAAAATAAAATTGTAATCATATCCACAATTGTAATAATGCAGTATCTTGGCCAGCCACATTTTACTTTTTTATATTCTGTATATATCATTTCTGGCAGTTTATATGCACTAGTAACAATTCGTATTACCTATTTTAATTTGAAGTATATGTACAGTACTTTTGTTTGGACACTCATGATTATTGTTATTCATATTAATATACGTTTTCGGCAGTACTATTCTATCGTTATCTCTTTAGATATTTATCTTGATTATTTCTTGTTTGTTTTAAATATGTCATTTGATGCACCATTATCATTTCTATGTTCATTCGATGTATTTACATTGTTTCACACGGCCCCAATGGAAATCAGTCTTGTAACTGTTTGGGCTTTTTTAACCGTGTATAAATAAAGATATCAATTCAATTCAATTCAATTCAATATGCTAGCCTCAAAACCATGTTGAAAGGCCAGCTCAGTAGGTAATCTGGTAGACAGTAACTGATATGATACACTACTATTCAGTGATAGCTGTTTAAGATTAATCATAGTTGTATGAGAAAATCTTTTCTACTAATCCACATCCCAAAAAGCTCTGTTCTCTCCTGTATCAAAATCTATTACTCCTTAACGTGTTCATCATGGTGCACAATATAATGGGAGGTGATGAAAATGCACATCATTTTTTTTAAAGCTAAAACTTGTTTTCAATATATGATTTTGGAAGTATTATAATATTAAAAAATATCCCAATGAGATGTTAACAAAAACCTTACCATGCTTGTAACTTTATGCTCAGAGCTGTGTCTAATTTTCAAGTTGTGTTAAAACAAATTATTATTTCAGGCAAAAGCTGCTAAATGGAGAGGATGATGTGACGATGTCAATCATTGCTAGGACTATAGACATTCTACATGTATGGGTAGAAGGGTTCTTTGATGTGGACTTCAAGCCTTATCCACAGTTTCTACAAGAACTGTTAACATTTGTGTCTGATCAGGTATGGACAATTAAATCAACTTCTGATAAATATGAATAGGTGATTTTTTAAGAGCTAAAGAGTGATATATTTTTTTAGATTTATATGTCCAGATAACCTTATAATCTTGTAAAATCTTCCTGCCTCTGGCTGTCAGACTTAATGGAATGTTTTGTTTCAGGAAGGACTCTAATAAATACTGGAAAATAGACTACAAATTGAATACTTCCTAAAAAGAGATCACAAAATTAAAGGTATATTGATCAATGCAATCAGTTATTAGTATATTGTAATGACTTCTGATTTACCCAGTCAGTTCAAGAATATTTAGTTTTAGCTTTCTTCTTAAATAGGTGATATCTGTTACAGTTGTGAGTATAATGAGATTTGTATCCTTCTGTCCAGATGGTTCCTGTTGAATATCAGAGTAGGTTTTTGCTTCATCTACTAGAGCGTAGGCAACAGGACGCAGTGAATGGGCTAACATCAGTTGCTGCGAGAGTTCAGAATTCAAATGATAGCCTTCCTACAATCAGTAAACCTATGGTAAGTTCGTTATCTTGGCGGAAGGTTGGGGGGGGGGGTAATAATAATTTAATAATAATAATTAATTTTTATATAGCGCTTAATACAAATGTCTATAAGCGCTTTACAAATATATTATTACCCCGGTAATTGGATTCAGTGCTTACCCGCACACAATGTGTGCACAATCTCCACTCCCTGGGGAGCATTCCAGCCAGGCGTTACATGATGCTCAAAAACTGTTTGACCAACAATGACGGTCGCATCCTACCGGGTACCCATTTGACACCTGGGTGGAGAGTAGCAAGTGCAGGTTAATATCTTGCCAAAGGATATTAGTGCCGTGTCGGGATTCGAATGAATTACTCAAATCGAGGGGTACCTTGATTTGAGTAATTCATTATAATTTGCCTCCAGTAATTACTTCACAACTTTTAAGAGCCTTCCTGCAAGAAGTGACCAATATAATGGTACCTCGATCTCCACATACCCATTAAACATGAATGATTCTCCCTTCAAGTGAGATGAATTAGAGACATGAAAAGATGGGTTAAGTAGACAAGTCCTTAGAAATATTGGAATACTAGATGATGATGACGACGCAATGACGACAACGATGATTATGATGATAATGATAAGAAAATTAAAAAAAGTTAAAAATAACAGTGAAGTGAATAAATATATAGCATAATACATGTAGTCAGATGACAAAGCTCTTTACAGATAGTTTGGTTATAGGGTGATAGCTTAAGTATGGAAACCTATCAAGATAGAAATGATGATAATGGGTTTACAATGTGCATGATATGTGTTATACAGTCTCAAAAGTGCTTTAGAGTCTAGAGACTATTTGATAGAAAGAGAAAGATTAGTAGGTCTCAGTCCAGAAGCCCTCTGGTTATATCATTCTATGTGCTATGTATATTGAATAAGGTACATGTGCAATGCCTTGGATCCTATGAAAAAGGTGCTATGTAGATCCCATGAATGATGGTGATCATGTTAACAATTATTATTACTATCCCTTTTGACAGCAGCCCTTACCATGGCAGGTACCTAACAGCTCACAAAGTGAGAAGACCAGTGGTTTCAAGGCAAGTCTTATGGGTTGCTTTATACGCAAACCCAGCAAACAACAGGAATCTTCGGCCTACACCCAAGCACCTCATGCACCTAGAGAAGGCTTCCATATGAGTGACTATACCTCACAAACGATAGCTCATATCCTTACTCTCAACCAACAGGTAACATTAGATGCATGGCCATATGTGTTACCAGTGTCTGTGATATGGTATAATATTGAAGCCCTACAAAAATTGCACTTCAAAATGATCATGAAGTGCCTCAAAAAAGTAAAAATCTTTGAGTGACCGATTTTTACCATACTCATTTTCCCCAGTAGACTAGAGTTTTATAAAAACCATTAGGAAAACAAAAAATGAAATTTCAATTTGCTGAAAGCTGGTTGTGTGTTCTTTACTATTCTTACTATCAAGTTGGCCCTGCATGTTTTTTTTTTTTTTTTTTACTAAATAGTGTATGTTAGTAAAGTTTATTGAGCATGCACATAAGTCAATATGATTGCGTGTGATAAATTGACCAACATTTACAGAATTATGCAACATGCTTCAGACAATTTAAAAATTTACAGCATACCCTAATTTGAACTAATGAACTCGACAGTCAGTATAATTTTTCTAAGAGTATTACTGAATTGATGAATGTGTATGTGTGTCCACATTTGACAATATCTTTTTTCTTATTTTTCTGTCCTATGCTGTTTAGGCCTTATTCATTGAAGTGCATCCAATCCACTTTCTGAATTCTCGCTGCTATAGCATAAGCGTCAAGGACACAGCCAAGTCTCCTTACTCTATACAGCTCCAACCATCACCTTCATCAAGGAATGAGGGTGAAGGAAGTGAGACGAAGAGTCTCTTTACTCAGAAGGTGTTTGAAGGGAAGGAGATTCGAGACCTCTTAGACTTAGGTCAGGTTGTTTCTCATTGGGTCTCAGCAGAAGTGGTGACGTCCTCTTCAGCTAAGGTAAGCCACACATCTTATCTTTGGTATCTCCAGCATAATTATAAAGATAACATTCCAATAGGATGGATTCACAATTAACAGTGCCCCCACCGGCAAGCCGTGACAGGTCAATTTTCTGCTTGCGGGTCGACATCTTTTAACCAGTGAGGCACGGCAGCAAAACAATAGCCACTGAAATTACGAAAGTGGTCTGAAATGAGTAAATTAATTCGATGAGATTGGTTGTTTTGATACCACCGCACATTTCACACTGAATTTGGATGTCAAAACCCACCCACCAATTGATTCTGACTGAAAATTTGGCCTGATTTTAGACAAAAATCTATATAAATGGTAATTTTGGGGGTCAAAAGTGGCCAAAATGACCCAAATATTGTGAGTAGGGCCAATAATAAGAGTCATATATGAGGAATTAGCGCAAAACTTTACCCTGCATATAAAAGCTATTCAAACCTTTCCCACCAAAAATCATGATGAAATCCCATTATCTCATAGGGTATACCGGTATAAGGATGCTATAACCAGCTGATATTTTTGTTGACTTTTTCCCGTAATTCATCATGTGAAATCAACTGAACACTGGTAATGCTAGATGGCGCTGTGGATTGTGAACCAATTTGATTGCAAAGGATCACAAGCATGCAGGCATCATATTATAATACTGTTCAAATGTGTACACATTGTAAGCATACGTGCATGAAAATGTAAGGTACGACAGAGAGAATAGGAATGAAAAGTAGAGATTTTTTTTTACATATCATTTACATACCATTCCCCCCTATTCAACCTGTTTTACAGTACATGCTTGTGTTATATCACAGGTTTAAGCATGAATGTCCATCAGCATAGTGGAGGGTTATATTCTCTTGACTCAGGTGACCTAATGGGTTAAATGTAGTGTAGAACACACAGCAGAATTTAGGGCCTACTCATTTAAAGACTTGAGGTACACTGATTATTTTAACAGAAAGCTCAATTACAACAGATCAAAAGATCAAAACACAAGGGACATCATAAATGAGGAACCAATCAGAAATATAAAAATGGAATAGTACATCATAATGAAAGAACTCAAGGGGGGGGGGGGGGAGAACCAATAGAAGTGAATATAAATGAGAACTAAACAATGGAACCGGAAATGGAATGGAAATGGAACAAGGTATGGCAATTAATGCATGCAATGTGGTGTGTGAAGGTAAAATGTAGAATGGAGGTCAGGAGTTCAAATGGTAATAAGATGCAAATAAAATGTACATCATAGAGTATGAAAAGCAAAATACAAAATAGGCCGACCTATAAGGAAAATTAGGATCGTACAGCAGGATGAGATTTATTGAATGCACAGGGGTAGAAATCAAGCTTTAGAGGCATTGTTAAATTTGTTATATGCACTTTACAAGCACTGGATATTTATATACCAATGTTGTAGGATGTGGTATATCATGTTTGTCTATGAAGATTAAAATGAATTCTGACCCTCATATTTGGAGAGGAACATTTATATGGGAGGTATGGTGTGAGTTTCATAAACATTATTATGGCTTAGGGAATTAATTCTATGATTTTTGTTTCATTTTATTTTAAAGACTCAAGTTGCCCTCTTGAGTAAGTTTGTTTCTACTGCCAAGACCTGCCTTGAACTTCGCAACTTTGCATCTTGTGTTCAGATCCTGGATGGTTTAGACAATGTCCTAGTAAGACAAGTACCGGTAAGTATTGTACATAACCAAATATTACCTTATAGTAAAAAGAAAGTATTAATAAGTAATATATTTTGCTTTAGTAATGTAAACAATGTTTAGGTAAAAAATATCATATTTGATAGACAATTAGAAAATTATTAGACAGAAACATTATTTTTCACTAGTAAAAGGGATGAGAAAGGACTGTATCATTTATCTGAAACAAATTAATGTTCTGAAGCTTTTTTAACATTTGCTCCTATTTATCTCTGTATTAATGTTCAGCCTCATATTACGGGTATCTGTTTTTATTTTAATCAATATGAATTAACAAAGTCATAGTAAAATGGGTACTGTGCATATAAGTATTCTAATATAACTGGTTATGGTTTGTATACCTCTGCTTTAAATCATGCCTGTATTGAATTCATGAAAGGGGATATCTGAGATTCTGCTAGCAGTAGCAGCATATGATGCATTCATGCCTAGGCTTGCTGTAGTCATGATTTGAATAAAGAAAGACAATGTCATCTAGCTGTTTGGAGCCAGAAGTACGTTTACACATACACATAGTTAACCCCGTTCCATCTGGCTCTAAACAGAGCATGCCTCCTTTGTTAGAAAGTTTTGTGAAAGACATGTTAAGATAAGAGGCTGTATCAATCAAATACTTTGTTATCATTATACTCCTTTGAAAAATCCTATGAGAAATATGTGTAAGGAATCTATTCAAAGTTTTTCACGTGAAGAACTATTGTTATCTTTAATTTTCATTTTATTTTATTCCTTACATTTGTTTCTTCCCTCCTAATTAAAATATATAAGAAAATTTTGTAAAGGATATTAAATCAGCATTAAATGTTGATAAACAAGTTGATTCAGATTTAGGTCACACCCAATACATCAAATCATATTCTCAAACATTCTCATAATTAGATTTGAGTCGAAATTTGAGTATATTTCTTCTTTTAAAATATGCACCTTTTGCAGGAGTATATTCATAATTATTTTATTTTTCTTCAGAAAGTCTCGTTTTATATATGTGATAATTCTCCACTACATGTCAAGGGAGTCTCACTGTTTAATTTTCATTCTTATTTTAGGCATGGCGAGACCTGCCTTCTAAGGTAGTGGGGATCTATGAGGATCTAAATGCTTGTAGGGTTCTTCTACAAGGTGATAGTGAATATCTGATGAAGGGGGACAAGACCAGTCCTACTCTCCCTGCTACACTTCTCTTCTTGCTTCATGTGCAGCAGCTAGAGATCGGTGGCTTCCAGCTTACTAATGGCATGTTCAAGTGGACCAAACTTAGGTAAGTAATTTTGGTTCTGAGATTCCAATATTTGTTGAACTATGATCTCACATATATGTCATACAATGATGTGATAACAATGAGTATGCCAACGCTTTATAAAAGATTGCCATTAATCAACAACCACAGAAATGAATCATTAATAATTCCTTGCTTTTTTTCTTGAATTTTCTAGATCAATAGCCAAGCTGGTAGATGGGATTCGGATCTTCCAAGAGACTTCCTATTCCTTTGATGTAGATTCAAGCTTACCAGGACAACTCAAACAACGGATAGAAGAGTTCAGTAGTCAGGATATTCATGTCTTAGCTGCACGTCATAGCTCCAATTATCATCAACTCTCATCAGATAAGGGTCGCAAGTTTACCTCCACATTTCAGAAGATGAGAGCTGGTCTTCACTAGGCAAGCAATCAAAAAGACATAACACTCAGCATCTACATCTAGCCTATGATTAATTAAGATAGAACACTTTGGAAATAGCAACACCTGCAGATAGTTGGCTCACCATCTTACTTTATATCCATTATTCTCAAGAATCCTGGACGTGAATGACTTCTCATCAATAAACCATTTGAAGAAATATAAACATGCAGAAGGTCTTAATACAGTGAGTCGGTAACAAGGAAGCCGTTATTAACCTTCCAAAATCATGCAAATAGCATGACCCAGATCCTGAGAGGTGCTTTCATCTAAGTTAATTTGTTTATTGACTGATACGCAGTTGACTTCAAACTTATACAAGCTTCCTGCTTTCTAGTGATCAATTAATTATTGCCCATACTTGTAATTTTCAATGAATGTCGTCTTTTAGATCTTATCAGATAAGTTAGACTGCTGGTCCATTATTTCTGATTTGTATCTGATTATTAAGTGTAAAACACCATGTTGATATTATAATGACTTTAAGATATATGTTTACATTTGGTGTGTAAAGTGTACTCAAGTTTCATAAACACTATTTTTTACAGGACTTTAAATGTTTGAAAAGCAAAGGTCCCCTATTATAGATACTATCAAAGTGTTCCCTAATATTCCGTTCACATACACGCCTTTTTCTTACGAGTCCTTACGGATCGCACAAATTCACGAATCTTTCACAGATCCTTACGATTTGGCCACTTTTGCGATCAATTTAAGAGTTGCAACGAGTTATTAACGGTTTATTACGTATTATTACGAGTTATTACGACCTGTTTACGTGTTGTTGCAAATAGTTACGAGTTAGCTACGAGTATTCACGAATCCTTAAGATTTTTAGCAAAAAAATAACATCTGAAAATGATGTGTTCGAATTTGCAGCTTTCATACCTCCTCCCAACACGTAAAGTATATGTGTCTATTCATAAAGTACTCGTAACTATACGTAAAATGCTTGTAACAACCCACAACAATCTGTAAAGCCATCATAACACGACCCAAATTAAATCGTAAACAACACATAAGCACTCGTAATAATCTGTAAATTCTCTGTAAACAAATCGTAAACTAACCCTAACAAATTGTTTAAAAAAAATGAAGTGCAGTATACAGGGGCGGATCCACTGGATTTCCCAAAGGGGGGGGGGGGGGAAGTGAAATGTACGAAATTGCAAGCGCGAGGCCTGGGCCCACTTAAAGGCCCAGGAAAAAATGGACCTTAAGGTGCTCTATAGTACATTCTGAATGCATAAACTAAACATTTATGTGAATATTTCTAAGGATTTTTCCTACTATTTTTTTTCTCGGAGGAAGAAGGGGGGGGGGGGGGGTGCGCGCGCCCCCTAGATCCGCCCCTAGTATATGCAGGAGGAGAAGTCACATTGTATTTGAATGTAAGATACAGTGTCATATCAAGTAAACAGCACAACAGCCCCAGGACAGGTCTGATGCTAAACCACCAATTGAGGTAGTTTAACTTGCTTTGACAAAAACGTTCCCTACCTCTATTTATATTTAACAGCTTGCTACTTAACAGGTTTATTGGCAGTGTTATAATCAAGTTGTTTCTATTATCCTGTTTACATGATAATTGTTTATGAATTCATTCATATGGACTATGCTATTTGGGAGCTAATCTAAACAGGCTTGCTCGACCACAAGGTAATCATCATCTTATTCTCTGGGCTTCTTTTGAATGACCAATCGACAATTGATGTGGTGTGAGCATGCATGCAAACAAAATGGCAAATAAAATGAAAATGACGCCCGATTGGCAGTAAGCTACCTCAATCTGTGAATGTGTAGTCTGGTTGTAGGATGCTATTTCAAACAAGTATAGAAATTGGAACCATTGTACATTGTTATAAAGTAAATGACATCTTGAGGTCAGTGGTTGATGATCTGTTATATTAATGTGATTGTCGTGTTTTGGGTGATTTACACGGCGCAATGTGTTGATATACACTTGTTCATCTGGAGGTGACATGTAAATTGTGTAAAATGAACTGTGGATGAAATATTTTTAGATTATCCTAGTTAAAAGGTCATATACTGTGTGATTAATACATGGCATAAATTATTATTCTAAGAAAGATGGAGCATCCAAAACTTTGTGGGATGGAAGTATGGTAATGATAATATGCCCCCTTATGTCATGTCGTCATGTGGGGTTGGCAGTTTGCACCCACCAAATCTCTGTGAGTTTCATGATGACTTTGAAACAAATATTTTGAGGGTTTCACTTGATTTGTGCTTTTTAATTCTGATGAATATTGTTACATCAAGTCTATGAAAGTGTTTCTTACTGTGATGGAGTTAATGTTGACATTTAGTAACCTCATGCCAGCCTGAACACAAAGAATGTATAGACTTTATTAACAAAGGTATAGAAAAACCTATTTGACTGTTTTCTTTGTATGAGGTATTATTTCCAAAATCAAGGATGATTCTGTTTTATCTAAATACTGATCTTTTGATTTCTTTGTTCTGACATTAATAACGATTTGTATGCATTATAATGTTTGAAGCAAAGAGTTATTTTCAATGAAATGTATGATGTGGCCTTGTTGATCCTAACATAATAAATCAGGTGTGTGCAAAATTTGTTGTCACTGATGGGGAGGGGGCCATGGAAGTACTCATTGTCATAGTCTGGTAAAGGGGGGGGGGGGGGGGAGGGGGTATGTCAGGACAGGCCCTACCAAAAAGGCACAATGACTCAAGATGTAGAGCTGAATGGGGTTTTTGGCTGTAGATCTATACAAAATAAAAACAAGTCCAATCAAACCCTAACTCTAGTTGGACTGAAACCTCCTCGTTGCTCAGTGGTACATGAAACACTCCTGAATGCTGTGGTCTACAAAGAATATACCAAACGACCCTCATGATGTCCAATACAGTGTACATGATTTTGCTGATACACCGATCTTTTGAGCTTTCTGTCCAATCATCGGAATATAATTAACCAAATTCAATGAGTACAAGGAAAGGATTTATTAATCAAACAAAATCAAACATACTATTCAGTGAATGCATGAAGCTCTGTGCGCCAAGAGAATTACACTTTGTACCCATTATTAGATTTCCCTTCTTGACATTGAAGTCAAATGAGAGTAAAGAATGCAGGACATGGATGTTTCAGTGTGTGATATTATGCACATGTTCATTGAAACATTTATGACATTTATGTGCATAGTTTATCCTTTTTTGTTTTTGATGAGTAAATGATGTTTTATGTGATAATTTATTTGTTTATGTCACCTTGAAGATCTATAACTTATATCCCAGCCCCCCCCCCCCACTCAGTGTTATTTAGGGTACGCATATGCGTGTTCCCTCCTTTTGAAAACACCCCCTAAGTCTGGTGTGTAAAGTCAATTTTGTGTATGTACGAGCCGGACTTTGGTGCGTGAAAACTACCCCTTTACCGGACATTTTGGTAACACGCATGCGGTCATTCCGACCCCGGAGTGGGGGGCCGGGCTTATATCACCTTGAAGATAAATAACTTATATTTTATGTGACAATTACTTTGTTAATATCACCTTGAAAATATGTAACTTGTGTGCATTCCGTTTCTTGTCATTCCATATGCAAAGATTGTCTAAAAGTGTTCTATTTGCTACGATACATTATGCAAACAATCCACTTATTGAAATTTAATATTTAATGTACTTTCTATTCATGAGGTAAATGATGTTCTTCATAAGATTGCTTTGCATAATTCCAACAGTTGGATTATTTGTGCTTTGTAAATATAGTGTGATGTGCATTGTACTTTTGGGTACCTTTGATATATTGTATACTTTATATTGATGTCTGTGTTGTACAATACAGCCCAGAATAATGTTCAATATTAAGTTTTTTACTTGTACATAATTTATGTATTTAATATGGATATATATTTTTTATTAAAAAAATATTCTCTTGATGTGATATGTGTGTTGTCTTATTTTTATGATATATATATTAACTATACAGTAGGCTTGCGGGTGCACCATGTGAGAGAGAGGGAGGATTGGGGAGTCCTGAAAATGACTCTCAGTAGTCTTTCTTAAAGGAGCTACACAAAGAAAAATTCACTACAACTGATAATTAAAACAAATTACATATGGATGGAAAGATTTTCTCTTGAAAAACATGAATAATTTGCTGATAAATCATATAGATATCATGGAAAGGCGTAAAAAGCAATTTTTCAAGACCCTTCTTAGACCCCCGAACCCCTTGAACGTAAACCAAACACACGAGCTTAGCGAGCTCTGAATAGTGACGTCACACATTGGACAAACAGCTCAGTACCGACCGCTTACCGGAGTCGCGCGTGTATTAGTTTGCAGCTAGCCAGCCGTGTCCCGTGCGTGACGTCACAAATATTGACGCTCTACAAAGGACCGCTGAAGGCAGAAAATCTGGATCTCGAAACTAACATTTTGAGAGTTGATTAATTACTGCGGGCCCCAAACATATTTTGAAGAGGAGAGTTGTTGTATTTGATCAGTAAGGCTTCCCCTTCGCAATGATATGAGTTTTGCATCAATTCAGAACACTTTTGATTCTTCGTGTGTCTACTTTAAGGGTGTGTATAGGCCTGAAAAGGACTGTTGTTGTTTTGAAAAAGACTGTTGGTTATTTTTCTTAACTTATAGTTCTAAGGAGAACTATAGCGCTTGGAGAGGATGGGTGGCGGGATATATTCTGTCTTCTCATTGAACACATATGAGGGAAATTCATATCACATACACTCAATTAATAAAAATGTATGCATGCAAAGAAAGTGGGTATTAACCAATTTTGTGCAATTTTTAAAGAAACAACAAGTATATGTTATTTAGAAACAAATTTAATGTAGTTCCACTGTCAAAATCAAAACAAAGTGTACAAGTTTTATATTGAAATCGGCTATTCTGATGAAGGCTTACATTTAATATGGATTGTTAAAGGGAAAGTCCACCCCCCAAATAAGTTAGTTTTAATAGGAGTAGAAAAATGAGAGAAACAAGTCAGTGAAAGTTTGAGCAAATTCCGATTAAAAATAAGGAAGTTAGGATTTTTGAAGTTGTGATCAATCAAACACAAATTGGCAACTCTATGATGTATCATGCGAGCTCAACTTCCATTTGCTCAGTACTAAAAAAATCTAAAATTTTCATTTTCCCTCAAGAAAAATTTCAACCATACATGCACCCTAAATATAATAATTGCAAATATGTTTCTATACTCCCCCTGCAAGGAACAAATATATATTCTGTCATCGATAACGAAGAAAACATGATTTTATGGAATATTATGCACAAAGCAAATGAAGGAGAGCTCGTATGATAAGTCACAGAGTTGCCAATTTGTATTTGATTGATCACAACTTCAATAATTCATAACTTTCTTATTTTCATTCAGAATTTGCTCAAACTTTCACTCACCTGATTTTCTTATTATTCTGCCTCTATCGAAACAAACTGATTTTGGGGGTGGACTTTCCCTTTAATTGTTATCGGTATGATGAAATATGCTAAGGAAATAAAGCATGCGACAGATTAATTCTTTTTTTAATCAAAGGTATAATACAAAAAGTATAAACAGAAATCTCTTGTGTTAAATGTAAAATGTTGTATAGCAGTGTGAAAAGAGATAATTATATAATATAAAAACGAATGATCAACTAAAAACAACGGACACAAAGAAAGAGAAGACAAATTTAATATTTCATACCATATGATGTACTGATTGAGCCCCTCCTAGCTGTGTTCATGCGCGCACCCGTATTGAATTTTTCCATTCTTTCAAAAACATGTTTACTTGTATATATTTATATAATTATTATGTACATATTTTTTTTGCTTGTTAGCTTTCTTGCCCTTTTCTGCCTGGAATCTCGTTTTCTCAAGATTGATTCATGCATATTCATGAGTGCGTAAATTAGTCCGCCATGATATGACGTCAATATGCATATTCATGATCTGTTTTCGTACGCCGTAGATATGACTTTGTGTACACAATCAATGCGGACTGTGAATGGACCATCGACACCGATGATTGAAGAGAAATTACAATTTTTGAAACCTATGGAACATCAGCTAGCCTAAAGCCTTAGGTTTTAGAGTGAGGATGAACATTTCTCCTCGGACAATCACGGGAGGTTTGCATCCTCTCAACAAAGGGGCGTGTGATTGGTAAGTAGACTTTATTTTACCGGTCTGAGCTGACGAGTTCGAGCTGCACTCGGTGCGTAGAGTAGGCGTAGCGTAGCACTGCAGCTGCACTGGCGCTGGTCACTACCATCAGTGGCACAGTCACAGTGGTGCATGTTTTATAATCTAGGAGGCTTCGTGATTTATGAAATACGATCTTGATGAAGATATCACAAAGCCTGGTTATCCTATACTTTAGGGTGTTTTATTATTTTCGGTTCCTAACTTCAGTCAACACTAGTCTACAGGGGCGAGTTCCTAGAAACCGTCGTAAGTCTAACTTCTTGACTATCCCATAATTGAAACATGTGTTATAGTCTAGAATTAACACGGGTTTCAATGGTATAGTCAAGAAGTTAGACTTATGACGGTTTCTAGGAACCCGCCCCAGGCCTCTAGATCTAAATGGAGTCGGGCTAACAAAAATGGTCATTTTTTGTCATTTTACCCTAGCTCTAACCCTAACTCTAACCCTAACCTAACTCCGGGAAGCTCCAACACCGGCGCTGCAGGCGTCGGAGCTTCGGGTGGTTTCGTTGGTTTCTCGTGGGGGCTAGTAAAACAGCCGATTGGGTGATATTATCGTTAAATCTGTTGATTCAAAATAGCGATGAGAAGGTACGCATGCGCGGCAGTGGCGAAGAAAATATGAATATTCATGCTATCGAGCGCCGATTGCTCAAAATCGCTGAATATGCACGACTCGAACAGACAAATCCCTTCTCAACCTCGTGCGTATTCAGCGATTTCGAGCAATCGGCACTCGATAGCATGAATATTCATATTTTCTTCGCCACTGCCGCGCATGCGTACCTTCTCATTGCTATTTTGAATCAACGCTGCGACATGGAAGAATCGTTTGTGTAGTACTTTTATTTATTTTATTTATTTCGGTTTAAAAATACATATAAATATACATGATTCAAAGGTCCAAGGACCAAAACTGTTCATGTTTACAAATTATACAATACGGTTATAAATACAGTAAATATACAATAGTGAGCCAAACGAAAGGTATGACAAGTACAATACGAAATAAAGATGACAACAATAATACAATTCCATCAATACAATACCAAAATAAACTAAGAGAGAGTAGGGTCAAGATCATAAAATTACTAAACTGATATATGGTAATGGTAGCAGATAAACAGACAAAAATAATGTTGAGCAACCAAACAATCAAAGAAAAAAGGGGAGAAAATATTTTGAAGATAGGCAACGATAAAAGCCTTAAAACCTGAATTAACATAATTACGTTTGAGTTGACAAGATAACCACACAGAAATTAGTTATACAATGCCATTATTAAAATATAACGTACACCAAATTGTGAATGTGTCAATTAAAAGATTCTGAGGAATAAGGCAAGAGGGAGAGAGAGATAGAGAGAGAGAGAGAGAGAGAGATAAAGATGATAGAGATAGAGATAGAGAGAGAGAGAGAGAGAGGATCAAGGCTTATTAATTGCACGAACAAGAGAAGGAACAGCAGAATTTTGATATCGGCTAGTCCTGCACCTAGGAATGACCAAACCATGATTATTACGGAGGGGGCGAAAATTGGGCAAGGAATCTTTAGATGGTGGAAGTAAGTCTCTGTGTCGGGACGTCAGTAACGAGTGGGCAAACTTAGCATCAAGCTCTAATCTTCTTGCTTGAAGGGAGGGCAGATTTAGACTCTCTAGCCTTTCATCATAGGTGAGAGGGGTGAAACCGAGAATGATCTTGGTCACACGTCTCTGAACTCTCTCAACTTTCTCAGACTGTTGACAAGTGATTGAAGAAGACCAGACAGGTGAGGCATACTCTAGAATGGGACGGATGTGGGATGCGTAAATGGTAACTAGATCACTACAGGATGCATTGTATTTCTTCAAGATACACAACATAAACAATCGTCTCGAAGCTTTTTGAACGACGAGATCAATTTGTTGACCCCACTTCATATTACATTGCAAGGTAACTCCTAACAGTGACAGGTGTGTGACTTCCTGAAGAACAGAATCGCCGATCTTGATTTCAGGGAAAGGTGGAGGGTTTCGCATGAAGCATATATTAAGGATCTTACATTTTGACGGTTTAGGCGTCATGTGATTTGTGCTGGACCATTGGGTTAGCTGGGAGACCTGATCTTGCAATTGTGATTGCTGAGTATGTTTTCTGAATTCTGCTAGGGTAAGGTCGTCAACATATTTCCATCTATTTGGGGTGAAATCTGCAGCATCATTGATCATGATCAGAAATAGGATTGGGCCAAGCTTGGTGCCCTGTGGGACACCACATGTTATGGATTGAACTTGAGAGGTAATGCCACCAAGGCGGACAGTTTGGGATCTGTTACTCAGGAAGTCACACACAACGGAAATGATAGATTGATTGACACCCATATTTATCATCTTAGTTACTAAAACGGTACCCCGAATTAACCTTTTTTTTCCCATCGAAGACTTCTTCAAATTATACATTCAAGTGATTGGAGTTGAGCCCTGAGGAGTCGTGCACCCTATGATGTAAAAATTGTAAGTACTCCCTTTGCAGATTTAACGATAATATCACCCAATCGGCTGTTTTACTAGCCCCCATGAGAAACCAACGAAACCACCCGAAGCTCCGACGCCTGCGGCGCCGGTGTTGGAGCTTCCCGGAGTTAACCCTAACCCTAACCCTAACCCTAACCCTATCCCTAACCCAACCCTAACCCTAACCCTAAACCTAAACATGCAAAAACTGACTGTTTTTGTACCTGGTCCGAGTTAGCCCGACTCCATGTAGAGCTGTTGACTGAAGTTAGCAACCGAAAATAATAAAACACCCTAAAGTATAGGATAACCCATAGCCTTTACTTGGCATACATTATCCTGTAGCTGTGTGGAGTATAATCGGTGATATATAATTTGTGTGTACCACGACACGTGACAATCCGCGCGTCCGCGGCACAACGGTTTCCTTTGCATGCCCCGTGTACAGTCTAATATAATAGTTCCGCATTGATGCCCCTAGCAGCTACAATATGCATAATTCATGAGGCAGCTACATTCATATTCAGCATAAATCTCTTCTCGCACATACATACCTTGGTCCTTGCACACACTCACACTTGGAAAAACGAGCGAACACTCCTTTTTTTTAATCTTGAGAAAAAAAAGAAAAAACAAACATTTAAAACTTTTTTTCCTGATTTGGCCAGGGGGTGGGGGGCGGGGGAGGCCCATGTTCATTTTTTGTTTAAAAAAGGTAAAATTGACATTACCATCTTTTTTTTACCTGTTTTTTTGGCGGGGGGGGGGGGGGGTGGGACCAGGTCAGGCCCGTCGCCCCCCTTCTGTGGATCCGCTTCTGCTTACTTGTTGCAGTAATCCTAAACAGCAGCTCATTAAAAGCTATACCGGGATGTTAATCATGTCATATGTGCCAATGAAGGTGCCAAGGTGCAACATTTGTGTTGTCTCAATATAGACTACTGGTACATGAATGTAGTGTATGTGTAAGCCATCACTCCCATCTAGATATAACTTAAATTATCATGTTATTTGACCGTCTGTTGTAGTCGTATGTGGTATTTGAAGCATCCAATTGTGTTTTTAATTAGTTTTCTTAGAAGACATTATACTGGTAAATCATGAAAGTAGAGTTCTATAGTATCGTAGAAGGCTAGCAGAAGTTACTGCTACCTTTTCCAGTTGATGGTCGTAGCTTTTGTTAAATTCAACATATCCAAATTAGATCAGTGTATTGCCAAGGATCCATGATGTCACTTCTTTCATTTAAACAACTGATGGTGTATTTCAAGTTAGACAAACTTTCCATAGTCCAATTTCAAAGTAAGAATTTCCACTGTCCTTGAGACCAAGTCTATTTATCTGCATATTCCACCTGTTTCTATGGATGGATGAACATATTTATAAAGTGGAGTCCATCATCAACATTTACTGGTTCATTCAAGTATTATTGACAGAATTAACACACAGTAAAACTACATCAATATGCAATTTTATTTCATTAGAATCTTCACTCTTCCCATTTGATTTTATTTTGCAGGGGATGGCAAAATTTGTTTGCATATGGCTGTCACACTTCAGTGGTTGTCATAGAAACAAAAGGCATTCAGGTACAGTATGTAGTCTTTCTTACAGTAGGGGGACTCACAATGTTTCCAAATTCAGGAGATATTTCTCTTGGCACATCTGACTTGTTATTTTGGTTGCTCTGTTTGCTTAAATATACTGCTCCTTGTTCATGTGTAAAGTGAGTCGAGGAAGTCCTGTAGATTCTGAAAATGAATTTGTGGCATTTGTTAGTTTTTCATTAATTATTTTTTCCCCAGTCTACCAAAGGTTTACAAAAACTCATAGAGGGGTAGTGAGTGATGACTTTAACTTGCTGAATTAAGATAAACATGTATCATTAAACAAAAGAGCAAAACTGGAGCTAGGCAATGCACAATAAAGCAACTAATGCAGGTGTCATTTGTAAGACGCACCTTTTGACCCCCGGGGATGGTGCGTCATGGTTGCGTCATGTTCCCCAAAATCGCGACGCACAGTACCGTCATGGCCGCAAAATGTCCGTCACAATACTGATCCATATGTGCGTCATAGTAAGTCACTTTACCACGTTGCGTCATTTGGTGTGTCAATGGGACCGTCACTTTCTCCAAGCAGAAGTGTTTCTCAAATGTGCGTCATTGGCTAGTCATTTTCATGAAATGGTGTGTCATGTGTTTGACTCAAATGTGCGTCGATGGAATGTAATGGTGTGTCACTTTCTGTGACGGAAGGTGCGTCATGGTATCAAAATGTACGACTCACATCGGTACAATGACGCACCATTCCCGGGGGTCAAGAGGTGCGTCTTACAAATGACAAGTGCATAAGAATGATTTGTTTTGCCCAACCGAGAAGAGATGATTGGGTGATTTTTATCCCTGAAAAGCTGAAAAACAAAAATATTGTCTTGGAGATCACCACATGACTATTTTTTTATTTTAGAGAAGTGATCTTGTGAGATACAAAATCCTGCTGTTTTGAGGAAATCATATATTCATTGCAGGATCCCTTCTCAGATGATCTCTACTTCAGATACATCAATGACACACACATAATACTGATTGTCAAAGTATCCCATTTAACAAAAGTGTTTAATCCCTGACCCACTTCAAATCATTTAGCTTAAAATAAAGCTTTGATTTCTGTTCCTTCCATTATTGATCGTACTAATGAACTTTGCCTCCTGGCAGTCTCATTATTGTAATTGGCAAGCTCTGCAACATTTGAACCTTCATATCTACATATGTATGTACAAAACACATGTACATTGTATCTACTGGGCCAGATGGGGCCTCTCCAAAGTAAACTGTTGTTAAATTTAATAATAAACATGATTAATTAAATTTCACTTCTATCCAGACCATCCAAACGCTTGAAAAGCATCGTAGTCCTGTAGTACAAGTGCAGTGGGCTCGAGAGAATTACCATCATACGATAGATGCACCATATACCCTGAGACTTGCCTCTGCTGATTCTTCAGGTCAGATCATCATCTGGGATGTATGTGCAGCTACAGAGAGAGCAAGCTTCTCAGATGGAACTAAGCCAGTCCAAGGTAATCAAACACTTTCTTTTGTTAGTTAGCCAGTTTGGGCTACCGGGAAAGTGTTCTCACTAAATAAAATGAACCCCAATAAAAATACACAAGAAGAAGACGAGGAAAATGGAATAAATATATTTTGATGGAAGTTATAATTGGGTTTAAGTCATCATTATTGTCATGTTGTTGTCCTTGTCGTCGTCGTTGAATGACTTGTCAGTCTTGATACTCATTCTGATGGTGAATGAGTATCGATCCTTTTTAAGGAAGCTGGGTTCTCCTCACATCACAGAAATCAAGTAGAAATCAATTTTCTACAAACCGGGTTCTCCACCATGTCGTGTTGAGATCGGGGATGAGGCGAGGATCATTAAGGATAAGGCAAGGAGCTTGTTTCATGTTTACAGTTTCAGCAGCATTTATTCAATCTTTTTGCTTAAGTACATATTAACACAATGAATCTCTAGTAGACGACTCTCAAATCCAGGATACACAATATTATCTCTCCCTATCCCTGTAGCTAGTCTATCTCAAAACCCTTGTTCAGCGGGTGATGGCTGAAACCAAAGTCCTATCATTATTCAACTTTACATTCAGGAAAGTTTGGGGAGAGAAACAATGTTGGGATGGGTGATTTAAACATGATTATGATTGGTCAATGGTCAGGGTTGTCATGGTATTATGGGGAGTGGCTATGGAGAGTGCAAGTGACTGGGGTTTGGGCATATGAGTCATAGTTATTGGAATGTGGTTCGATCCTTGAATCTAAATCTTGGGTGGTCATTAATGGTCAATTGTTTATAATAAAAGTAATGGGATAGTGGGTTCTGTTTTGTCATGGAGCAGGTGGGAGAAAGGTGAATGAAAGGTGAATGACTGAAGGGAGTGGGGAGTGATACAACTACTACATAACACTATCTTTAAACACATCATTACTTCCTTTACATGACTGAATGATATGTTGATAGGGGACTCGATGAAATGTAAAATAGATGTCCTAAAGCTGCCTGTTTACTTCCTGCCACATTCATGTTAAATTGATTGAGTTTGAACAAGTTGTTCATTTCATATTGTGTTTTTGTTTCCACCAGATTTACAGTGGCTAGCTACCCAGGATGCATCACATGATTTACTAGTAGCTCTACATCCTCCTTATAGCATTGTGTTATGGAATGCTGACACTGGCACTAAACTATGGAAGAAGACTTTCACAGATGTCCTTCACTGCTTCTCATTTGATCCATTCGACTCTGCAAATCTGACTTGTAATTATATCTAAAATCACACAGAAATTCTAAAAGCTAATGCTTATTCAACCAACTAATAAAATTGATATGATGAGATCACGCCATATTGATAACGATGAATAGATTTTGAATATGTACCTGTTTATAATGCATGCTCTTGTGGGGTTTTCAAAATAGAGTTTATAAGAAATATCTAAAGTACTATGGAAAATAGAATATCAATCCCATCTGATATTTTTGAGCTGCTGCTTTTTTAGACAAATACCTACTTAAGCATTGATTCCTTTGTTGTAGTGAGAGGATGCCAAATCTTGAGAAGGGCTACTATTGGTTTCAATATTTAAGTTACAGTTTTTTCTATAATAATTAACAAATGGTTGTTTGATACTAGACTTGAAACTGTGATAGGCAATATTTAGCTATTAATGCAGAATTGGTTGCAGGCAACTGAGGCAAGACAAAGCATGGTGTTTGCTATGTTATAAGTTACATGTATTTAGAGACATATTACCAGCACTGCATTGAATTCAAAGTTTGCATAAAAGTTCCACACATGTGCATTCATGAACATGGACCATGTATGTTATAATAAGAAGTGAGCATGAAAATATCATTCTGGCATTATGTGTGTGATTAGAATCCTTTTTGTGATTTCAGTACTTGGGAATGATTGCATCTTGTTCATCAATGACTTCAGTGCAGCTAAACCACCTTCTAGTAATGGCAAGAAGTTTTTCATCACCACACCTAGTCCACAAACAACCAATCAGCAGCTGACTGGTGGTATGGCCAGTGATCGTAGAGGGAGTAGCGCAAGTGGAGCAAGAACTGCACTCAAGAGGGTTCGTCTTCTGGTAGGGGATAACAAAACAAGGTGAGTTTCTTGTACCTGGTCGTGGGTTCGAACCCCGGCCGCGTCATACCACAAAAGACGTTTAAGGATGGGAGTTGCTGCCACCTTCGCAGTTTAGAACATTTAGTTTCTTTTCTTTTGTCAGGTATCAGCATATTTTTTTCCATTGTGCTTTTTACAACTATTTATTGGCTTTAGGCTTATAAGGCTTAGTGTTGACAAGAAAAACTGGGTACAGTAAATTAATAAATTTAGAAAGACTGTGCAATAGTTTTGTAGCAATCTGCACAGTCAACCAAGACTACCTCCTGAAGAACTACCCCTATGACACCAACATTTATCCACCTAGGAAATAACCCATAGACAACACCTCCACTTCACAAACTAATGGCCCCAAGGATAACTACCTATTGAGCCTGAGGTCCAACTCCACTTACCTTGAGTTAAAATAGTTGTTTGGTGTAGGTATATTTGGGATGTTAGTTGAGGTTTCTAAATCAATGTTCCTGGTGGGCTAGTTTCTGGGGATAAGGAATATAGGCATTATTTTTATTACAAAGTATATATTATATAGAAAAGTTGGGCACCTTCCTCCAGATAAAAGAACATATGTGTATCAGATACCTTGCTGTCCAAATAAGAGGTATTCAAACTTTGATAAAAGTGGGGAATGAATGAAAACATGATAAACATTTGTTCTGAACGTAAAATCAAATTTAAAATGTACATTTTATGTTTTTCTGTGTAATTAAATTCTTCTCTATTGATTTGTAATTGTGATTTATATGTTATATAAATCAATAACAATTCTGCTTAATGATAAATAGTTACATATATCTTGGTGTAGTGCTAATATAATAATGTATTGTTTTAAAGAACTTAATAAAAGTTACTTTGTGTTTTACTGCTCTTGGAGAAATATTGTATTGGATCTTGCAAGAAACGATGACAAAATAGAAAGAGTGACATCTTTATAAACTATAGAGAATTATTGAATATTTAATGTGTATTTAAATTCTCTGATACATATCTATTAATTAAATTATGTGTTTAATTGATTCCAGACAAAAATCAGTGAATACATCCCTGGATGACCCTGAAAGTCAGGGTGTGAGCGAATGTCTTCAGCTATCTTACATGAGATCTAGACGCAATCACCTACTTCTCCTGTATGCAAGAGAGATTCTGATCCTAGATCTGGCAATCTATCAGACAGTTAGTGTCATTCCCATGGAGAGAAGTGGGTCTCCCTTTCAGCAGGTCTTTCCTTGTAGGTAAGTGGCAGACCTACAAGGTCTTTCCTTGTATGTTTATGTTTTCCCAGTCAGAAAATTATGAATATTATCACCATGTGTATATCATACAGTATACTTACGGTTGCTCCATGTGAGGGGGGGGGGGGGGGAGGATTGGGGAGACCTGGAAAGGACTCTCGGTAATCTTTCTTTCTGCAAAGGACTGTTAGTAGTCTTGAAAAAGTCTGATAGTTATTTATCTAAGCTTATAGTTCTAAGGAGAACTATAGCGCCAGTTGGAGAGGATGGGTAGTAGGAGTGGATCAACGTTTCAAGCAAGTTGAATATCCCTCGTCAGGAATGGGGAATAGCTGGCGTGCGTGAGCCTAAGGTTGCGGACGTGGGGGTACTATACATGACCGCGTGGGCTTGAGTCACCGAGGTGTGGACATGGGTGAGCTACTTGTCCGTCTTGGCTGGAGTCTCCGGGTTGCTGTATGTGTCGCCGACGTAAGTGGCGTTGTTATGTAGGCAAGGTGCTGTGTGCTGTCGTCTGCTATGCATTGCAGATGTGAGGCTGGCGGCTGCTTTGTGGTTTCTGGAGACGGTGATGGAGGCTAGGGTTAGTGTACTTGTTGATGTCGTTGATGATTATCTCTCTCACATGGTGCAACCGCAAGCCTACTGTATATCTACATCACCGTGCAAGCTGATACTTATAAGCAGCATCATGTGTATATTGTTTTGAACATGTTGGGTGTAGTTTGGTTATGAAATTATATGATTTTATTCCATTTTCGCTTGTACTGTGATTTCATTATGACAGGCAAAGAGATGTACTGATGTGTTTACATGACAACGGAAGTATTAGTGTGAGAATACGGAGAAGACTGGTAACCACATCTCCAGGGGCACCTACCACACCATCAGATCAGTATCATGGTACACTATCAGGTTAGTAATACATACATAGGGCACCGATCACACCATCAGATCAGTATCATGGTACGCTATCAGGTTAGTAATACATACATAGGGCACCTACCACACCGTCAGATCAGTATCATGGTACACCGTCAGGTTAGTAATACATACATAGGGCACCTACCACACCATCAGATCAGTATCATGGTACACCATCAGGTTAGTACTACATACATAGGGCACCTACCACACCGTCAGATCAGTATGATGGTATACCATCAGGTTAGTAATACATACATAGGGCACCTACCACACCATCAGATCAGTATCATGGTACACCATCAGGTTAGTACTACATACATAGGGCACCTACCACACCGTCAGATCAGTATCATGGTACACCATCAGGTTAGAAATACATACATAGGGCACCTACCACACCATCAGATCAGTATCATGGTACACCAACAGGTTAGTAATACATACATAGGGCAGCTACCACACCATCAGATCAGTATCATGGTACACCATCAGGTTAGTAATACATACCACTCCATCAAATCAGTATCATGGTACACCATCAGGTTAGTACTAAATACATAGGGCACCTACCACACCGTCAGATCAGTATCATGGTACACCATCAGGTTAGTAATACATACTGATTAGCGCCACACGCAAATTGAACAAGCATACAAAGACACCGGTCTTCGACCTAGCAAATGCCCTATCTTGGTGACTAAGAACCCCCGACATCAAAGAATAAAAACATTTGTTATAGTTAGTTTGCATTTATGAAAGGTACCGGTAGTTTGCATTCATTATAGGTAGTTGGGAATCCTTCTGTTATACCTCATTTGTAACAAATGTACATTATCCCAACATTATGATTGTATCAACTAATAAAAAGTCAATTGATCTAAAAACTTGAAATGCAACTTGCGGTGTACCTTAATACAAATTTCAAAGTTCTTAATCAAAGAGAGGAAATTAATATACTGGTACAGACCTGCCAACCAGTACGATTTAGTTGTATTTCGTACGATTTTTAGAAGAAAATACAATTTTCCTCAATAAAATATTTAAAAAAAAAAAAAATTGTGTGTGTGTGCCATTTTCAATGGTAGAATGCCAATTCTGTCCTGTAAAGTATCCTACAAGCATCTCACATAGGCAATTTGGGGATGTTCATTGGTTTATCGAAACACACCAGTCGTGACGAAGTCATGCATATTCAACCAATGATTCTTTAAATAAAATTCTTCCTGTATGTAAGAACTGTACGAGGTATTGATCCACGTAATAGTCCGTGTTTATTTTTAAGAATACAATTTTTGTCAGTAAAATACAACATTTGGTATTAAAGAAGACAGTTTTTGAACTCCAGAGGTTGGCAGGTCTGCTGGTACCCATAATTCGTTATTTTCCTTAAGGAACCAAACCATGATTATAGATGTCTCAGAGAATTTCATTTATTATCTTTGTGTCACATCAGGTGGAGAAATGGTCTTGGAAGGTCAAGATATGACCTATGACCTCCGATGTCAGTCTGACCCTCTGCGAGTGACCAAACACATGCGTACCTTTGGTTTGGCTTGCAGTCCTGTGAGTGAGAGTCATAGTGCCCTGATGTTGAGTGATGGTCGCATTCTCTTCTGGTCTCTGATGACTGTAGATCATGATGCAGCATCTATGGGTAACAATCACTCTCAGCTTGTACTATCTCCACTTCATTCTCCTGGTCAAGCTTTCCCCCCATCACTCAATGGAGACTTTGAATTCCTGCCGCCTCTTCTTGCCTCTGCTAAACCTACTCAGATACCAGTCCCTAAGACCTCCATTGCTGACTTCCTCTGTCCACCTGATGTCATTGTGGATGGAGACTTCAAACATGGCCGACAGGTGCTACTCAAGTTTGTCATGACAGGTCTCTCAAGTGGAATAGCTGATGTGCCTGTAGTGATCAGAATGTGTCCACCATTAACCACCAAGAATGTTCATTACTACAAGCCTCTCATTACCATAGGTAACATATGTCATCTGCATATGTGTTTTGAAGAGTTTTGGGGTTTTCCGTCCGCCCATCGGTCTGTAGGTCGGTCTCAATTATTTGTTAATGCAATATCTCAAGAACCATTTGAATTATGAACCTTAAACTTGATGATAGTATGTATCACTATAGGAAGACAACTTGATCAGATTTTGGATCCATAGGACAATGGTCACACGGGTCAATTTCTGAAATTACAGGTTTTAGCCTTTGTATTGCAATATCTCAAGAACCACAAAAGATAGGCTTTTTGTTTTCGTTGTGATATGTCACGGATAATTCCATCAATTTTCTACACTGAATTTAGGGCGGAGGCATATAGGAGACGCAGACGTATTTGTCTTGTTATTAGTCAGACACCCAAGACAGGTTAAGATAAACCTTTATCCATTAGAGGTAATTGCTGAGTGTTATGACCTGTTTCCAAGTTACCAAGGAGGGGATATTATTTTAATTTTAAAACACATCTTTCGTAGTTTTAATAATGTTATTTTAAATAGTTATACTAATTTGGCTGTGAGCATTTGAAGAATTTGATATTTTATTCTATTACCAGTGCGTAACGTCAACAGATTTTTGATCTACCATCAGCAAAAATGAAGTGTTTGTAAAAGTAAATGCCAGGGGGTGTTTCACAAAGATCCTTAGTTGAACTTAATTCTAAGTTAGAATTAAACATTATGGAGAGCCATTTGTTGCCTTAAAATGAAATATATTCAAAAGCGAAGATTCAAGTATTTAGACTATTTATAAATTCCACATCAAGAACATGAAATTCCAGTTGGTGATAGAAACTTTTAATGATTTGAATCAACATTTTATGCCTTAAAAAAAAAACTTTTACAAAATATTTTCATAGATGCCAACGGCTTTCCATAATTGTTAAGTCCAACTTAGAGATAAGTTCAACTGAGGATCTTTGTAAATGCCTGGTCTTGTAAGTAGTCTGTGCCTTGTTAAAAAAGTTGTGCAGATCTTTTGATTAGGATGTACTTCATTTTATAATGATTTGTTTTATGTGTTCATTTCTGTCTCTTTCAGGGTTCTTAATAATTTTTGAAAATTATTTTATAAGAAAAAAACCCCACTCTTTTTTCATTGGCAGGTACTTCAACTGGTTTAGTACAGGTCTACAATCTGACAACAGGATCGTTGTACAGAGAATACAACATTCACACAACATCTGTCAGGTATCAATCTTCATTATCTTACATTCCAAATTAACTGGGCTGGTATTTAGATCAGCTCTTATGTCAGAGCATATCCATCACCTTATAATACTAAGCCCAAACCTGTCATTTGGTAATGTTCGCTAGCATTCAAGGAAGGTAATATCCAGTCTGGATTTTTGGCAGTATTTCCAATTCTCGTTATCGCCAATACCCCGAATGCCGGGATGTGTGCCTCTTGGATGTAATTTTGAGCCACTTCATCTATGTTCTAGCCAAGCCAGATGGTATGGGCCATGGTGTCTTCATCTTTGTTCTAAAAGCAAAAATCAGACTACATTCTCCTCTTTCTTACCAAGTTTTAATGTTGGTAAATTGAACTTTGCATTCCAGTCCTCCATTATTGTACTTCTTCATTATATTCACTGCGGGAAAACTGTTTTTTATTTGATTTTCTCGTTTATATAGGTACACAGCTGTTTTTTGTTCTTCTTTCTCCAGATGTAAAGAGTGATTTTCTTGTTTACATAGGTACACAGCTGTTTATGTTTTGTTTTTCTCTTTTCAGATGTATAGAGTGGGTGAGTCTAACAAGCTTCCTATCAGTAAGCTATCCTAACCCATCTAGTAATGGAACAGTGCGTAATGAACTACTGCTTCTAGACATGCAGACAGGACGAACCATTCCTATGAGAGAGCACAAAGGAGATGAACCACCTATTGAGGCTCTCAAAGTTTCACATCTCAAGTAAGATTATACAAACATTTAATGTCTAACTGGCCAAAGGATGCATACACAATTTTTTTCCCATCATACTTGCTATTTCTGTTTTCGCTTATTTCTATTACCCTGTGGGACTTGGTTTAGGCCTATATTGATTTGTCAATAGAAATTCATAAATTTGATTTATTAAATGAATTGCAATGTAATGTAGTTGTAGAATAAATAAATCTGTTAAATGCATTATATTCTTATGTGCTCAGAAACCCCATCCCTGTGATGAAGCAAGGGAGTTAAAAAAAAGAGAAAAAGAAAAAAAAAAGGGGGAAAAAAGAAGAAGAAGAAGAAGAGAAAAAGCCCAATGCAATATTTCAATAATGAACCAATCCCCCTGATTCCCTGTTCCTGAAGCATGCACCTCTGAGTAAGACTGCCTTTGTCTTTGCCAAACGTAGTGGCCTCTCATATAAATGTGCAGACCTTCTGAACTGGATTCCTGTCTTAATTGGGCGCGTGCCCTGCCGCTTTACCCACTAGACTGTCCAGTCATGATCTTTGTTCTAGTCACACCTCCACTCTTTCACACGCTCTTGATCAAGAGCTAGCATGCTTGGAAGGCAAATGTCTGTGAAGTGTTTATAAACTGTAGATAAGTCTATGAGAGCTTTGATACTCTTTCCAGCATACTGTACGCATAGCCAGTGGTCAGGTGTGCCCAACATCGTTCACTGGGCTTGCACAGTTTGTTTTCAATGATCTTGGGGCGAAAGAAGGTCATGCTCCAATGACTTGTACGCAGGAAGAGCAGTGAGATTGCTCGCTGTAAAAGGAATGATTAACAATGTTTTTCTTTGTTTTGGGGGCACTGGATTCAGCTTGAAGTAACCGATCTTGTTATAAGAGGTTCATGCCGCCATAGCATTACATGTAAATTGATTTGGGCCTGTGACAATATCCTTGTTATAACCCTTACCTCTATAACAGACCTTGTTATGCTGAGTTTTACCTGTACTGGACCATGACAACTCTATTAGCACCCATCTGTTTAACAAACAAATATATCTGTTGTGTATATGAGAAATGGTTCTTTGCATGAACAAATAAGCAGCATTATAAATATTGATACAAATTACATCTTTTCTACAGGCAGTACCTGATAGTTCTGTTCAAGGAGAAACCATTTGAGATATGGGATTTGCGCACTCTATGTCTTCTACGAGAAATGCCCAAGCATTTCCCTATCATCACAGCCCTGGTAAGTAATACCTAAGTATTAAAGGTGAACTGATGCACATCTTAAGGCTTGCCTCCAATTGGACTTTGAAAGAAATGACAGTAGGATTAGATATGTAATTTTAAAAGAGTAATTTGTACCTGAATGATATCTTTTAACTTGAGTCAGAGACAATACCTTATTTACAATCAGCTGGTTGGGGGTTATGTAACTGTTGTGATGTATCTACCTGATTGAGACTTTTCTTAATCTTACTATTCTAGATCTGATTAAAGACAGTTTAGGAATACTATGTCCAATCAAGTGTAAATTTAATCTAAAATCCAGTAATAGCCTAGTTTTACAATGGTCCCAATGAGAAGAATTAAACACATCACTTCCTAGTCATCTTAGCCTGATAATACCAAGTTTGTAGTACGGGTGCTCCTTGGATAGGAGAGATTAAAACATAGATGTGGTTAACAGGTTGTGCACTATGAAGAGTGTGCTGACGCCTGAAGCATTAAAGAGAAATCTGGATTGAAATAGAGCTGTGTAATGTCTTTTAATTCTTTGCAGATGTACCATTACATTGGTCATTGAATCAACTTAGTCCCACAAAATGTACATTTCTCCAACCCTAAGGAACCCTTTAGCCAGTCTACATCCTATAAGTTCTCACAATGCTGAGTGAATCTTGATGATGTTTGCATCCTACAACATGCCAATTTATAACCTAGTTGGAGAGGAACAATGTACATGTAGATTGACATATATTCATTTGTTTTTAGGAATGGTCACCATCTCATCACAAGAAGAAAGCTGTCAATCTTGAACAACAAGCTAGCAGCATGAGTTTAGATGGAGTTCTGATGGGGAGCACTATTAATCTAGCTGGTATGTAGACATTTTATCATTCTTACAAGCCACACAGGTAATCATGCTTTGCCATGTTATTTTAGAGGGAAACATTCAAAGAGATCTCTACAGACTAGTGGTTGTATATTGCTAATGTAGACAAATACATGGACTTTCTAATGGTATAAAGAGCAGTATGTATCATATTACAATTTCTATGAAATGAGCATATATATACAACTGGACTTAAAAAACCCTAAAACATTCTTAAGTTCTTAGCGACACATTAAATCACTAGTTAGGCCCGCGGAACATCTGCTGGATTCTAGGGGGTGGGGGGGGGGGGGGGGGGCAGGGGCGGATCAAACGGCAGCGATAGCGGGGGCTCAATTTGTGAGTAAATATTAAGCGGCGACTCAGAATGAAAAATAAAATGTGATACTTAAGAAAAAGAGATCTACTGAGTGTACTGCTTAATAATAACCATTTAGATTGGACTTATTTACCACTAGACCCTGAATTGTAGACAAAAGTTGGTCATGACTAGAAATTACTTAGTTTTACTTATATTAATATTTACCAAATATACTTACCAAATAGGATTTTGTACTATTTTATTGTCTTCCAGAGAGTAGTAGTGAGAACAGACCAGTATCTACAACAATCCGAGAACACTTTGTATTTGCTGAAATTAGTGGTGTACTTCATCATTTCTGGGTTGAGGGTAGTGTGGTGCATGAGGGCGCCAAACTGCCGTCAGAGAGCAGTCTAACGACAATCAGCTGTATTGCTTGGAAGGGAGAGACTCTGGTGATGGCAGATTCGGATGGAAACCTTGGGGTATGGGATCTCAAGGCTAAGATCTCTAGGTTAGTAATTTGTAGGGATATGAATTATGAATAATCTTCTTTCTATATGAACTAATCATACTCTTATTAATTCCTTACCAAGTAATGACTTATCTCCTAGAATAAAAAAAATCATGTGCACATATCATGATATATGTATCTTATGATTCTAAGGTGAAAGTAAATTTTCATTCTATATAAATTTTGTTTACCACTTTTTATTAATAGTAAGTGCTCTCCAGTTTCTCAACATATTAAGCGATATCTTTTCATTACTCTAAGACAGATTGATTACCGTCATGACCTCCATGACTGCACTAAGTTTTATTTAAGGTCTTCAAACTTTTTTCATTTGCCATAATACCTTTTTAAATCAGTACTCTCAATCTGTATTTAAAAAAAATTGTATGGTTTTGTATTATCACATCTCATAAATGACTGTTCAAATGCTTGTATAAATCAGTTCGTTGAAGACTGTATTGTAAAAGTTTAACGTTCATTGCGTGATAGTTGGCTTATACAGGAAATTCATAAAGGTTTAAAAAGTTCATACAGTTTCAACATTGTAGAACCATTAAAAACAATAGCTGTGCTGGGCTGCATTCTATTTAGGAAAGTTGAAGAAAGGTCAATGTTGGTTTAGCAAAGATTTCACGGTGGAAAATGTCTCATTCTGAAGGGATTAAAAAAAATGGAGAACATCTGAATAGTTTGCCCAATGACATGAGGCATATTAGTTTTACATCCTGGACTCAACATATAATCAGATTGATTCAGTTTTTCAATGATAAATCTGTTATAACATATCGCTATGAAGTGTTTGGTATCTGTAGTTATCTTTACCTGGTTGTTTGCTTTCTTTTACATAATGTTATTTATCTTGAGTTTCTATGGGATATATGTATCACAAATCATCTGTTATTCTTTAATGGAACAATACTACCACTTAAGTTAGAGAAAGAAAGAATTTCTTCTCATCTACATATAATTACAGGTTTTTAATGCATCGGCCAGCTTTTTGAACCAGAAATGTATAGCTTTTGATTTGTGATTGCAATATTCTTCATTAGCAATTTAATTGTCATAATATACAAGTAATGCAGTATGTCATTAGCTACATTGAATTGTTCCTTAAGCTCCTATTTCAAAATCCGTTTTGAATGCAATAACAAATAGAATACAAGGTAACCCCTATCCTCATTGTTGTATGTGTATGTGTATGTATGTTTTTATTGTGTGTGAGTGAGTTTGAGTGTTCAAGGTAGTAATTATGCATGTTATAACCCTAGCCCCTAGTACAGGGTATGTAATTGTGAGAAGAAGCACCGCACAGTAGTGAACAATTATATTTTCCTTCATTTTACAACATGTTTAATATTATTTTAGATAGAAAGTTTCATATCTCCTTTCCTAGATTTTCCAGATAACCTTGGAATCAATGGAAAGGATATTTTTATTGTATCGTAATTGACTAGATTACAATCTCATCCAGGGATTTTTTAATACACTTTCCACAATAAACTTTCTTGTAAAGTTGTAATCATGTTTATTTGTGTGAACTATCAGGATTTGTTTATCACGATGTTAAAACACTTATGCATAAAATCAAAAGCTCATCTTATTTAAATGTGTGTATTAGTTTTAAGCACATCATGAGTTCTTGCAGCACAGAAAGTGTTTGTATAGTTTCTGCCCTTTATAAATTTACATTATTTATTTAATATGTAATGTTTTCTTTGTCTCATTTTCAGGAATTATCCAACTCACAAGTCTAACATCAAGAAGCTTAAGTTTGGTCCCGGGAAAGGGAATCTAAAGCTCATGTTTCTCTGGAATGATGGTGTTGACATTTGGGATTGCAGAGAGGTAATTTTATTTATTCATCTTTTTTGAAAAACATTCAACATTTGAATACAAAATAAAAAATGAGAATGAACGTTAAAGTTCCTCAAGTACGGTAACATAACTGGTACATAATAATGCGCAGAAAATAACCAGATACAGACATAGTTTCATTTATACTTAGGAACAATTTAAAAAATGTCAAATAGTTAACAGTATGGCTCAGAAATTAAGGAGATCAAGAATGATGAAATTATATGGTAAATTGATATAAAGATATGTAAGATTGGAGGCTAAATGTTATGATGATAAGTCATTGAGTATTTGGGTAAGTGACATAATATGTGTCATCCCTTGGTTACTTAAGGCTTTTGAATGAGAAATTAATCAGAAATTATCAGGGATTATTCTAAGAACGGACGAAATATAAACATATAATACAAATATACATTAATACTTTCTTAGTGCTAAAAAAATTATAAATAACATACTCTTTAATCCCTGATATTGTAATTCAGGGAAAAGAAGAAGAAAAAGACAGCTTTGGCTAAGAGGTTATTTTAATTATTTGTAGAGACCGCTGTTTATTCAAAGAAGTAAATCTTTGTCAACTATATTACGTCTGTAGATGCAAGCACTGAGTTCACTAAAGGGTAGCAAGGATGATCGCAAACCAATCGACATGGACTGGGCAGCTTCAGACAAACCTGTTGTGCTGAGTGTAGATGGATGTCTGAGAGTCTATGATGTACATCTAAAGACCTCCTGTTGGTCAATTGCTGATGCCGAGTTTGTTGGTAAGTTGAATTTGTGCTAATGGTCTTGGGGGCAATCATTCTGTTTTGAAAAGGGTTCATGTGTTGCAGTTTTACCCAATAGTCCTATGTATGCTTTCAATTTTTTTTTATTGTGTTTTTCTTTAACTGAATGACACATCTTTCATTTGATGTTGTTTGTTTTGCAGAACCAGTATTCTGTCCTTATCTACTGTCTCCCAAGGCAGCTCTGGCTATGAAGTATACCATGCAGCATCAACCATGGAATAAGAACTATTCCCTTCAACTCACCAGTGAATAGTAAGTTTCTTTATTCAATTTCCTTTTGTGCACTCACAACTTAAACGGGAATACCCCCCCTAAAAATATGCACCCTTTTCAAGCCTATTGCATGAGAAATACACAAGCGTTTAGTTTATCACTTTAGAAGTTTGTGTTAAACCTTGTTTAATCGCAAGTTTAGCGAGAATACTGAGGCCTGATTTTATGACGTCATGGGGTGAAGTAAGTGTAAACCTGGAATTTTCGCTCGTGGGACAGAGCCTATGGCTAATTGTATACCTCTCTTTAGAAATCTAGCCATTTGATTGGTCGAAATTGTATTCGTGATTTTAGCCATTCCTTTAAAGAGACAAACAATGCCAGTAATTGTTCATGAGTGATATTCCAGCAAGATTCTGGGTACCAGGAAAGTAGTTAAATTTTGCTGCGATCCCCATTCATGAGTGATATTCCTGCAAGATTCCGGGTACAAGGGAAATAGTTTTGCTGCAATCCCCATTGGTTTACGGTACGTGTTCAAACTTAGTTTGTGCGCAGCACGGCTACCATACAGTTTTCGTGCGATTAATTTGGTCGCTACATATAGCGCAGACGACCGCGATCTTGATTGTAGGCCTACATGTAATCTCTGATTTTTTAGTTTCTAAACTTTATTTTATGTCCAAAGAAGCCGGGTAGAAATGGCTGAAGGGACTCTTCCTAGATTTGAACCTCTTGATGAGGATCAATTACAAGACTTGATTAATTCTGCGGACAGCAAGAACACCAAAAATTCTGTGAAATTCTCTGTAAAAATATTCAAAGACTAGTCTAGGTCTACCTGCAAGTTATCAACACAGACCTCGATAGCGTAAACACACTTGATTACCATGATTGATGAGTCGCACATGTATTCTATGTCCCTTTTTTACGGTATATAAAAGATATAATAACTGCTTTGATATTCAAGGAATCGTTGTTTTACGGGCTCGTGGGATGTTGCATGTTGCTATAACCCCTCGGCACACCTCGGGTGATATCAGGATGCAACATTCCCTTGAGCCTATTAAACAACTTTTCCTTGAATATTAAAGCAGTCTTTATATCTGTACTACCTCACAGGAATGATTGTCTTGATGAGAGCAGAAGATGGAGAGAGAAGATGAAAGAAGTTGAAAATGAAGAATAACATAAAGAAAGATCACAAGATAACATGAGAAAAACAAAGAAGTATATAAATAAATATAGATGGAGAAGATTATAGGACGACAACAAAGAAAGATATATGGAAAGATGGAAAGAGAAGATGATAGAAGGATAAAAACAATGAAATACATCAGGAAAGATGGAAAGAGAAATAATTGAAGGATGAAAACAAAGAAATATATAATGGGAGAAAGGAAGAGAACATGTTAGAAGGATGAAAACTAAGAATAACATTAGGAAGGATAGAACGAGAAGATGATAGAATAACAAAAACTAAGTAATACATAAGGAAAGATAGAAAGAAAAGATAATAGAAGAATGAAAACAAAGAATAACATAGGAATTCAAGCTGCAAGCAGTTGAGTATCTTATATTTTGTGTTATTCAGAATAGATGGGTCGTGGGATTAGAGATAAAGCATTCAACATTTTGCTATCATTGAGCTAATTTTGCTGGTCTTCTATTAAATGAATTGATTGACATTGCTAATTAACAGCAAGTCAAATATACATATTACACAGTAAACTTGCATTTACAAAGTTTTTAAAATCTTAATTTTCCTACTTATAGTGAGACTCCTGAAGATGAGAATATCATCAAGTCTGTGAATGAGCAGCTCAAGATCATGCCAAGTGACAATAGAAGATATCTACCAGACTGTCCACATGGTACAGCTCAACGGTGTTTGTTGGCTGCAAGACTCTTTGGTGATGAAGCAGAGTCAGAGTTCTGGAATGTCGCCCTCTACTATCTACGAGCAGAACGTGTCAAGAAGAGTCTTGGAATGGTATATATCACTACATACCTTCTTCCTTATTCATTCTCCATGTTGCTCAGAAGTTATGTAAAGCCAAAGTGTTAATATTGGGTTAATTTTTTATGAAAACAATGCCTGTACCTGTTAGCTTTTCATAGCAAAGATGATTTTATTACAAACAACCTTGTAATTTTATATATTCTGTGTCATTTTGGTCACTGTGTTTGGGTTAGCCAAAGATTAAGCCACCAGGGCTGAAGATAAGTGTTGCATTGTAGATACCTCAGTCATAGGAGCATCTAAATGTAAGGGGTTGTTCTATTACTTTTATGATCTGTATGTATTTATATTTGTAATGGTTTCTAACATTGACTCTTGCCAATAATATTCTTGCGACATGTATCTTTTTTTAATGGTCTCTGATTCTTAATTTTTTGTAGTTTTGAGAGTCAAGCAGTAATTACTAGAAACCCCTTTGATTTCAGCCTTATCCAATTTCATACCATTTAGAGGTCGAGTTTATGAACACAAAATAAAAACAAAAATGATAAATTTACATTGTTCCTGTCTATTAAAGTGATTAATAATGAAATAGAGTTGTTTATGTTTACTTGTTTTCTTGCAGTCCAAAGAAGATACTCTTCAGGATGATCCATTGACTGAGTTTGGATTAGAGCCACCTTATGACCCGACCCACTTCCAGCCAAGTGACTCCACCAAATCAAACCACTTGATGTTGAGGGAGCTACCTTTGGACATGTGTTATGATGTGCTCTGTGATAATGTCACCTTTAGGGTATGTGTATTGTCCAATTCAGACCAATCCAGACCAATCCAATCCAATCCAGACCAATCCAATCTTATCCAATCCAGACCAATCCAGACCAATCCAATCCAATCCAATCCTGACCAATCCAATCCAATCCAGACCAATCCAGACCAATCCAATCTTATCCAATCCAGACCACTCCAATCTTATCCAATCCAGAACAATCCAATCTTATCCAACCCAGACCAATCCAATCCAGACCAACCCAGACAAATCCAGACCAATCCAATCCAGACCAATCTAATCCAGACCAACCAAGACCAATCCAGACCAATCCAATCTTATCCAGATCAATCCAATCCCATCCAATCCAATCCAGACCAATCCAATCCAATCCAATCCAGACCAAGCCAATCCAATCCAGATCAATCCAGACGAATCCAATCCAATCCAGACGAATCCAATCTAATCCAATCCAGACGAATCCAATCCAGACCAATCCAGACCAATCCAGACCAATCCAATCCAATCCACAATTCACCCGCTGAGAGCAAGAAGGGCATTAACTGATATACTTGTATATTAAGTTAACGCCCTTCCTGCGCTCAGCAGACAAATTCACATTGAATTAAGTACATGGCTTTTTTTCTTATAACTTCAAATTTTGCTCTAGTAATCTACTTTAAAAAAAAAATTGTTACAGGGATTTGCTACTGTCTACTTTTCATATTGCATCTCTTTAACAAAAATATACTATTTGTATTTTATTACATAGAAATACCAGCTAGAAAGAATTCTACTGCATGATGGTAAAAGGACAACTTACGAGCACACCATGAAATGTGTGGAGAATTTTATTCTCCTTGGCCAGGTAAGTGAATTCTCTTTTGACAAATTTATCTGATATTTTTTCCAGTTTATTATTTACTGAATAACTGTAATGATTGATGTATTAAATCTGAACTTGCTCTGGCTTTACTGAAAATTAAGAGGCCAGAAATCCAATTACAGGTATATTATTTTGTCATTTTATAAATTTATTTGTATTGGAATCATGCAGCAGTTCTAGTCCAGCTAGCTTTTTGCCTACAAGACTAGTAGCTCATGAGACCAGGTCTTAAGCAGACCCAAATGAGAACTTTTTAAAGGTTTCACTAAACCAGCATGTCAGAAGGATGTACTTGCATGAAGTAGTTATGTTAGGAATTCTGGGCAATTGGAGTAATAGTGAAACAGTTATCAGTATCCTGGAACAACCTCCCAGGAGAGATCCATCACTTGTGGAGTGCCACAGGGAACACGTTTGGGCCCGATACTTTTTTTGGTATTAGCCAACGATGCTGCACAGATGACTGAGAACCGCTGGAAGTACGTAGATGACCTAACTTTGTTGGAGGTCATTAACAAATTTCAACCGTCCCAATTACAGTCTCATGTCGATTGCCTTACTAGTTGGTGTCAGGAAAATGATGTTATCCCGAATGCCGCTAAGTGCAAGGCTATGCAAGTCTCCTTTCTCCGAACTCCACAGCATCCTCCTGATCTGCTCATCGACTCAGCTAGCCTGGAGATAGTTTCTGCGATTAAGTTGCTCGGGGTCATCATCCAATATGACCTCAAGTGGGATCAACAAGTCGATCGCATCATATCAAACGCGTCGAGGAGATTGTTCATCATCAATAAGTTAAGAAGGAATGGGGTCAACACTCAAGATTTGGTGACAATCTATCAGCTCTACATTCGACCGGTACTGGAGTTTGCGGCCCCCGTTTGGACTTCTGGTATAACGAAGGCTCAGGCTGAAACCATCGAACGTATTCAGAAGCGAGCCTTGAGGATAATCGTTTACCCAAATTTACTGCCATATAGTGAACTCCTTAAAACTTTAAAACTAGAATCCCTTAGTAATAGGCGTCTCGAACTAGCAACTAAATTTGCCAAATCAGTTTTAACCTCTCCTGACCATCGCCATCTCTTGCCACAAAGTAGAGAATCAATCACAGGTCGCAATCTTCGGAACTCTACACACATGACATTACCTCGTATACGAACTCAAAGACGCATGCTTTCTCCCATTCCTTACTTTATACAACTTCTGAATTCAACTTCTTAGTTATGCCCTCATATGTTCGCCATTGTGAATTTTTAAATGTTAATTAATTATTGCATAATGATTATCTCAAGCATTAGTATTAATGTGATCTCCCAAAGCTGTTTTAATTTGTTTTTAATTTGAATTCCAAGTCCTTTCACCATAGCAATGATCATATTATATATAATTATTTATGGTAATTGTATGATCTCCCAAAGCTGTTTTAATTTGTTTTTAATTTGAATTCCGAGTCCTTTCACTATAGCAATGATCATATTATATATAATTATTCATGGTAATTGTATGATCTCCCAAAGCTGTTTTAATTTGTTTTTAATTTTCCAAGTCCTTTCACTATAGCAATGATCGTATTATATATAATTATTTATGGTAATTGTATGATCTCCCAAAGCTGTTTTAATTTGTTTCTAATTTGAATTCCAAGTCCTTTCACTGTAGCAATGATCATATTATATATAATTATTTATGGTAATTGTATATACTTATTTATTTACTTATTATTATGTACTTATATACTTATTATATATATATATTTTTTTTTTTTTTACTTATTAATGATTTAATTCATCCATGTGTTTTTTTACCTTGTTATATATTTTTTTTGTTATGCATTTTATATTGTTAACTGACTTGTTTAGTCTTCGGACTTTTTAATCAGTACTTGAATAAAACCAAATATCTATCTATCTATCTATCTATCAGTATTGTTTGATTATTGTTGCTCTTGATATAATTGCTTTTCAAGTAAAACTGCATTTTATGGTTTTTTTAAGTTAGGCTGATCTTTCACAATTATGCTGTACCTGTATTACCGATGACTTCAGAGATTTCTAGAATAGTTTCTATGCACAGTGCAGACTGCTGATCCCGTAATCTTCATAGTTGTATTGCAAATGACTCTAATAGAGTAGACTTTATTAGAGTTGTCGCAATCTTTTGTTTCTCATATAAAATGTTATGTTAACCTTAAAGTCCAATTGTTCTTTATGTTTTGACCTCGCAGACTGACAGAGCAGTACAGCTGCTTTTAGAGACTGAGCCTGAGAATGAGAGTTACTTGTTGGATCTGATGAGGGCATGTCTTTGTGCTACAGCTCAGGAATCAGGATCTTCACAAAGCACTATCAAACTGGTAGCTACTAGCCTAATAGCAAATGGAAAACTTGCTGGTAAGGGTTACATCATTTAGCATTATTAAGATTTTACTAGTCAAGGTTTCAGGTTGTTTGAAATTTAACTTTGATCTCAATACAGAAATCATGTAATACCTCCAAAATGTTCAGTTTTTGAGCTAAACCTTAGAGATGTGAATTGACTTGATGTTAATGGGCTGTAAGAAAGCTATCTACATGTACATTAGGGCCTTGAAACCTTCTCTCAACAAAGCACAGCAATCCCCCAAATGTCTATGACCCAGTTATAGCTCATTGTCAAAAAGATCAAGTCGGGTCACTATTAATTATTTTTTATGCCTCCGCTACAAAGTAGCCGGAGGCTTCATGTTTTCTGGTTGTCCGTCCGTCCGTACGTCCCGTTCTCGTGATCGCATTATATCAAGAACCGATTGATTGATTCCCGCCAATTTTGGGTCATGTATGTATCTTGCAGAGCCCATGAGCTGATTGGATTTTGGGGGTTACGAGGTCAAAGGTCACAGGGCTCATTATATATGCGAAAATAGCTTGTGATCGCATTATCTCAAGAACCGATTGATTGATTCCCGCCAAACTTGGGTCATGTAGGTATCTTGCAGAGCCAATGAATTGAGTAGATTTTGGGGTCACCAGGTTGAAGGTCAAAGGTCACAGGGCTCATTATGTATCCACAAATAGCTTGTGATCGCATTATCATGAGAACCAATAGACAGATTACTATCAAACTCAAGACATGGATATGTATCTTGCAGAGCCAATCAACTGATAAGGTTTAAGGGTCATCTGGTCAAAGGTCATGGGGCTCATTAAGGATGCCTATAAATAGCTTGTGCATGCATTATCATTAACCCTATGCACGCAGTCGAATTCCATCTAGTTTTGCCATGTTGCCAGGAAAGACTTAAGATGTACTTCATTATGAACAGGTCATAATTACATGATACCAGCTCTAGCTCTATGCTTCATTATGAACAGGTCATAATTACATGATACAAGCTCTCCTAAGGATGCAGTTTCAACACCAGAAATCATGATTTGTTTTAAAAGGTTATACTTTGTAGCTATCCTTTATATATTTTGTTTTTGTTACAGAGGGTGTACAGTTGTTGTGCTTGATCAACAAAGGTATTGATGCATGCAGGTATCTACAGACATACAACCAGTGGTATCAAGCTATGTGGGTAGCAAAGGTGAGTTTGCATAGCATAGCTCTCATAATATTTTAGGTGATAAATGGTATCATGAAATGGGTTCAAGAATGTAGGCAATCTCATTGGTCAAATGACACCATGTGACCGTGTATCATTCTCTCCTACTATTGCCTACCGTACAAAATAATTCACATCAAAAAGTAAAACCCTTGGCTAAAAGTGATAATGCTCGGCTGAGATGATTGGCAGCCTCCATGTCTGTGCAATTCTTGGCTTTTTGATTGGGTTTTTTGCTTATTGCTTGAATTTATATGCATATTGTAGACCCATTTCATACAAATAATAACTCAAAATTTAAAGCTTGTGCATAAGTGATATGCACTGCACTCGTTTACGTCACATAAATCCTGATAATGAATTTGACGAGTCTCATTAATTATCTGATTGAGCCTTCATTCAATTTAGTAATGTACTCAAAAACATGATTTATCTATGTATTGATGCATATCAGTATCTAGTGTACACAAAATATTTTAACTTTTGACATGATAACCCTGTCTTTAGCTCTGCAGCTAGTTAATAATGCACACATCATTAATGTCTTGCAAATCATGGGATGAACTATTTCAAAGTGCCCTCTGAAAATCTGGATTCAAACCTTACAGTTTATGTTAAAACCTCTTGTTGGTTTATTTTATCCTTGTTGGTATATAGCAAGACATTAGCAAATCTCAGCTGAAGTCAACTTTTATTTTCTCCTAAAGTGAAATATTAAACTGATGTTTTTGGCCAGGCTGCAAATTTCAAAGTGTGTTTCAGATCAATTTTGACTAAACTTTATGAATTGTTGTGTTGATTAGAGAACAATCGGGAGCACCAGGAGTGTCACGTATGACAGACATGAGCGCTATACAAGAACCCACTATTATTATTATTATGGATTTCTGTTAATTTTTATTTGAGGTGCGTTTAAGTGACTCGGACTGTAATGAGGTGATGAGGAGATGGGTAGAGAACCTGTGCAGTCCTCATGTCAATCAGAAGAGTGTAGCTTTGCTGGGTCTTCTATCCATGGGTAGCTTTATCAAGGTGCTTCAAATGCTACTCAGGTAAGTATTTCAGCTAAGATATCACCCATCTTCCTGGCCTGGAAAAATCAATAACGTTGTCCAACAAATGGATATTGGTGTGCTAGATTAGAAAAAAAGAAAGAATTTTGACACTGATCTTCTCCCTGTGGATCCAAAAGACAATTTAAATGACTGAGGCTTATAACATAGATGTAACAAGAAAATTTCATTCTAGCAAATTTTAATCTAAATCAGCCCAAAGGATATGAGGGTTGTAGTTGATTTTATACTATTATTTTCTATCTATCCTGATAATTGATTAATGTATCAAAGGAGTGGTATCATATATTCATGATATTAATGCTTTTGCACGATCATGTTACATAAAATTGATGAAAAATAGTGATACTATGTGACATATATTTGAAAATAAACCAAAATGTACTCAATTATAATATAATACATAGCGCCATTATCCATTCTAATTAAATTGTCGGCCAGCTGGCAGAAGGGCGTTAGCGCCTCAAAAACTACTTTTCAAATTATTCACATTTAAAGATTTGTTTTTATATTTTAACTGCTTTCCGTCCCAAAAATTGGTTTAAAACATAAAAGACTGATAGAAATATTATTGTAGAAGACGGCCACAAATTATTTTTTTTGATCATGAGTCAGTTTTTATAAAAGTTTAAGGCGATTTAGTGCTACGCCCTTCTGCTTAAGGCTTCATTTTTTACCTGAAATTTGAGCTAACCCCCCCTTCTGCCAGCCAGCCGACGAAATGCTCAAGGCACTAAGTAGTAGTAGTACCGTACTACCTACTAATAAACCTACTTTAGTGTATGTGTGAGTCAGGTTGAATTTGACATGAGTGTAAATGACAGTGTCTACACTTTCCCAAAAATATTGAAATAACATTTACGTGATTGAAAATCATCTCAAGCTCTCTGTCTGGTTAATTGATACACTCTTCCACACATACAATGGAATGTTTCTTCACAACCAGGCGACAATCTAAAACTATTGAATATGAGCATTTTTTTTTATAGTATCTTTTAATAGTTTTATTTGAGTAGCATGACATTATATGTAATTTGTTCAACGTCTGTTTCTCTTTATTCAGTCTGCATTACTATGACCGTGCAGCCATGTTTGCCGAGGCTTGTTTGGAGTTTTCAGTACTCCCTGAGGATGAAGATACCAATATCCTTTACATCTATTTATTGAATTAATTGCATGCTGTTTATTGTTCCTGACTGTTTGTGCTAATCATATCATATTCCCCTATTAACTTTAAAGAAAGTGTGAGCCCCTTCTCTTGTCTATTACACCCATTTCATTCGTCTCATTCCATTCATTCACCAAATGTAAGCCAACCATATTTAATAATACTTTGTAGTTGCAAAGTGACTCATATATTCTCAGCCCAGTTGCATGTTTTTCTATGAAACCAAATTCGGACCAGACATAATGAATATTTTATATTGATACATATGACTAATTTAGCCATCTCAATTTGGGTTTGGAGGCGCATTGTGCCCATTTTTTTACTGATCTCCACAGAGAACTTATTACTGTATATTTTGTAGTTAAAAATAATCAAACCTCAAATTCAGATACATGTTTGGGTTGCTTATGGTGCCTATTTAATGTATTAATATTTACAGGCCTGAACGTGTAATTAGTCTTTTGTATTAAACTTTTGTAAGGTTTTTACTAAATATTGGCAAACATGTGAAGTGTTCTTCTGCATAATTTTATCAATGAAATATTACCTATTTATTAAAGCTTGTTACTTCACTTAACATGTTCTAGCTGATATTTCATCACAAAGCAAATAGTTCGATATGAAGATTAATATTTTTCAAACAGTTGTAAGAAGTATGTGATAGGGTGAGGCTTTTGACATAGTGAGATCTACCAGAATCTCGGTGTGATGTTTTTTTAATTAATGAATAAATTACAGGTGCATAGATGAAGACTGAGGAAAATAGAGTAAGGAAAGGGGGGGGGGGGCGGGTGGGGGGGGTCTGATTTATTCTCCAGTAAAAATAGTAATTAAGCAGTACATTGTTTTATTTTTTGTGATTACATTTATTTCTTAACTGAGTTTATGCACAATCTCTGTTGGAGAAGGTTTTCTTGGAGTATGCTCGCTATCTGCTGGCACTAGGCAACAAGAAAGCATATGGACACTACTGCAACAGGGCTGCAGAAAAAGCCGAGAAAGTCATGCAGGACTTGGAATGGATGGAATAAACATCTATATATACTATCAGGAAGCTAATCAAAATAACCTACAAGTTTACCAGCTCTCTCTACTTTATTTAATATAAACTCTCTCAATTTTTCAAACTCCAATCCTTAATAGTTATTGTAGGCAAGTTTCTGTCAACTTGAACTAGCTTTCATACTATGAAGGACATGTTCCCTCTACTCTAGCCACACTATTGATCATTATTTCTAAACATTCATTTGATCTCTTGTAGGTGATAAGTGAGCACATGTAGATATCCATATTACATGTACATGTACATCTATATATCATTTTGGAAAGTATTTGTTTTATAAACTGCAGTTACTAATGGTACACCAAGCTCATACCAGCACATAGACACGGGTATTGATCCACTTGCCAAAGTTTTTAATCCTCGGAGGAACTTAATATTTTAATGGTCGGAATGAAAGCATTACTTTCTCAAAGTGGCAATTACATGAAACATATAAGCACAAGTACCAAACATGATTTGGATCAAATTTCATGTCAATAGCAGTTATTTGTATGCCTCGGCGAAAGAAGGTCTTTCTGGCAGCAATATGTTTTTGGATAGTTGGGCTCTGTTTGTACTTTCTGCTTTTTGTTATGGTAGGGAATGAGAACCATTAAACAGATTCTAACCAATCTTGGGTCAACTAGTAATTAGCATGTAAGGATAAACTGATTAGATTTTGGGTGCAAGAGGTCTAAGGTCAAAGGTCTTGGGTCACAGGATCATAATAGTTTATAGAAAATATCTTGTTACCGTGACAAGTTGAAAAGCATTAAAGCAATTCAATCCAAACATGGATGAAGTCTTTGTTTGTGTGAGTATCCAAAGATGAATCAGTTAAAATTTGTTTGAGATCAATGGTGATAGATCACAGGGTCATGAAAGATAACAATTCCTAAAAAATATCTTGTTTCTGTGATATCTTAAATTTCTGAACAAAAATTGAATGATTACATTGTCAACCAAATTGGGCTCATATGAGTTTTTGAAAAATATTAAATGAAAAGAGTTTGGGTTTGTGAGGTCAGATGTTATAAGTTACATGATCATTGAATAACGAAGATACATATAGGTGGAGGCATATTGTTTACTTCTAAAAAAATGTATTTTACAAGTGCCCACATTTTGGATTTGAAAATGGCCTCCAGAATACTTCTTTTATTTTTCAATGACTCTGTCTGTGATTATCCTTTTAAACCAAAATAATATATTAGTGTGTTTTATGGATTCAATGTACTAAAAATACAACTTACAAACATAATTCATAGTACCAAGCAAATTATTTTATTAGTAATAACAATAATAATAATAATGTCAAATTATAAAGTGCACAGGGGCTCTGTACAATATCAAAATAATGATATAATATTTCTGTGCAAGCAAATTCAAATTTATAGATACACATTTAATAGTCTATTTCCATGTGCATAGAGTCATATGATCGCCTACACCAGATTTAGGGTAATTACATATTAATGTGCGTAGAAGCCTCCCAGACAGCAAACTTTGATCACTCTTCTGGAATTTACTTGAGCTTACCTTCAAATGTAGCATTCATGTGCATGAATTTATGATTATGAACTTTCCTTACAAGGCGGTTGGGGTATGGCGCTATGTGTAAAGCGCCATGAGCGTCAGAACCTGACAGATACCGGCGCTATATAAATAACCATATTATTATTATTATTTATATGCAGTGTATTACATGAGGCCTACCTGTCAGTTGTAAGAGTGAAATCCTCTCTTGATAATTAGTATTACCCAGTATTGGGTTACTACCATCATGAGGTCATATTCTCCTGGAGAACCCTTGACTATACATGGGTATTTAATGTAAATAAAACAATTTTACAAATGATTTAGCATTTACTTAGATTCTTAGTTATGTAAATTTGCTAGAAACAAAATAATGTGAGTAAATGTGTATATGTATATACAAATTAATCAAAAAGACTTGGATATCCCTATAATAACTATGTCCTTGACAACCTCAGAAGGGTAAGTACAATCGTGTTCAATTTTCTCCAATATGGAAATGATGAATAGTCAAACGTTTTGCAGTACTTCTCAAAAGTTGACTACACTACCAACATACTTATAACCATAAATTTCTATATTTACAACATATGAATCAAAAGCATCGATCGTGGGTTTAGAGTAACCATAGAAAATATACAAATCCAGAGGATGGATCATGGTTCCCGGGACCAGAGGGGTTGTCGCATGTTAATCCACAAGTTTTGAAGTTCACATCTTTTTATACACCCCTCATGAAATCAGTGATGAAACTATACCTTAGTATTTAGAAGATATATCAATTATTAAACTCTTAAATATAATCATGTAACTAGAGTATCCTTAAATACTTTGAAATCTGCGCTTAAAACCAACTTAAAACCAGCACCTTAAGTTGGTGGCCGCACACAACGACACACCTCCAGTTTAAACACCTTTACGGCGTCTTTTGGAGGAATCCTACCAAGTACCAAGTACCAAGTACCAAGTATGTCCTCTACATGTTGATTTCGAATTTTCAACATTCCATGCATGGTTTATATCTTTATGATTGGTGAATAAATGTGTATTGTCTGCAATTGTAACTGAAAAAGAAAATGTTTCTGCTAAGCATATCCAAAGGTTGTGAATAGATAACTTCAGCAACTTATATATTGAGTGTCCAAGTTTTAATTGTAAACATTTGTCTTGTCATTTTGTAAGGTGCGCAATCAACGCATTGTCTTTTTGTAAGGTGCGCAAACAGCACGAACATAGGGGGGAGGAGGAGGGTGGACGGGGGGGGGGGGGGGGGGGGGGGAGGAATGAATGAGGAGTTCCCCACCCACCTGGAAGGGTTGTATGAGCGTTCGTCTGTTCTTTTGTCTGAGGAGGAGCGAGTTAAGCTTTTCTAGTTATTGATCAAGTTAGTGGATGTGTTTGCCCGGGATAAATAGAGCACCCAATAGACGCAGGAACTGCAGCTCCGGTCAAGCTAAAGATGGGGCGAACTCCGCTCAGTTTTGCGAATGAAAAGAAAGCCCATCTTGAAAGAATGTTAGACTCAGGAATAAACCAACCCCTCTATATCGTAGTGGGCATCCGACCCAGTGTTAGTCCAGAAACAAACATAGGGGGTTTTGATCACGTTTATTTTTGCCGAGCATTGCTAGTTTATATATGTCTGTTGCTAAAGATACTTTGTCCCTTTTTATGAAATATGAGATATAATGCACTTGAGAGAGAGAGAGAGAGAGAAAGAGGGGGGAAAACAAAAACACAAGGAAAGTTGAAATTAAGATAATGAGTGAAACCAATATGAGGTAGAGTGGCAGTTGAGATAGAGAATGCAATTGAAGGGAGAAATGACAATAAAAACAAGATAAAGAGGGTTAGGGTTAGGATCAGGGTTAGGGTTAGGGGGTTAGGGTTAGGGTTAGGGTTAGGGTTAGGGTTAGGGTTAGGGTTAGGGTTAGGGTTAGGGGTTAGGGTTAGGGTTAGGGTTAGGGTTAGGGTTAGGGTTAGGGTTAGGGTTAGGGTTAGGGTTAGGGTTAGGGTTAGGGTTAGGGTTAGGGTTAGGGTTAGGGTTAGGGTTAGGGTTAGGGTTAGGGTTAGGGTTAGGGTTAGGGTTAGGGTTAGGGTTAGGGTTAGGGTTAGGGTTAGGGTTAGGGTTAGGGTTAGGGTTAGGGTTAGGGTTAGGGTTAGGGTTAGGGTTAGGGTTAGGGTTAGGGTTAGGGTTAGGGTTAGGGTTAGGGTTAGGGTTAGGGTTAGGGTTAGGGTTAGGGTTAGGGTTAGGGTTAGGGTTAGGGTTAGGGTTAGGGTTAGGGTTAGGGTTAGGGTTAGGGTTAGGGTTAGGGTTAGGGTTAGGGTTAGGGTTAGGGTTAGGGTTAGGGTTAGGGTTAGGGTTAGGGTTAGGGTTAGGGTTAGGGTTAGGGTTAGGGTTAGGGTTAGGGTTAGGGTTAGGGTTAGGGTTAGGGTTAGGGTTAGGGTTAGGGTTAGGGTTAGGGTTAGGGTTAGGGTTAGGGTTAGGGTTAGGGTTAGGGTTAGGGTTAGGGTTAGGGTTAGGGTTAGGGTTAGGGTTAGGGTTAGGGTTAGGGTTAGGGTTAGGGTTAGGGTTAGGGTTAGGGTTAGGGTTAGGGTTAGGGTTAGGGTTAGGGTTAGGGTTAGGGTTAGGGTTAGGGTTAGGGTTAGGGTTAGGGTTAGGGTTAGGGTTAGGGTTAGGGTTAGGGTTAGGGTTAGGGTTAGGGTTAGGGTTAGGGTTAGGGTTAGGGTTAGGGTTAGGGTTAGGGTTAGGGTTAGGGTTAGGGTTAGGGTTAGGGTTAGGGTTAGGGTTAGGGTTAGGGTTAGGGTTAGGGTTAGGGTTAGGGTTAGGGTTAGGGTTAGGGTTAGGGTTAGGGTTAGGGTTAGGGTTAGGGTTAGGGTTAGGGTTAGGGTTAGGGTTAGGGTTAGGGTTAGGGTTAGGGTTAGGGTTAGGGTTAGGGTTAGGGTTAGGGTTAGGGTTAGGGTTAGGGTTAGGGTTAGGGTTAGGGTTAGGGTTAGGGTTAGGGTTAGGGTTAGGGTTAGGGTTAGGGTTAGGGTTAGGGTTAGGGTTAGGGTTAGGGTTAGGGTTAGGGTTAGGGTTAGGGTTAGGGTTAGGGTTAGGGTTAGGGTTAGGGTTAGGGTTAGGGTTAGGGTTAGGGTTAGGGTTAGGGTTAGGGTTAGGGTTAGGGTTAGGGTTAGGGTTAGGGTTAGGGTTAGGGTTAGGGTTAGGGTTAGGGTTAGGGTTAGGGTTAGGGTTAGGGTTAGGGTTAGGGTTAGGGTTAGGGTTAGGGTTAGGGTTAGGGTTAGGGTTAGGGTTAGGGTTAGGGTTAGGGTTAGGGTTAGGGTTAGGGTTAGGGTTAGGGTTAGGGTTAGGGTTAGGGTTAGGGTTAGGGTTAGGGTTAGGGTTAGGGTTAGGGTTAGGGTTAGGGTTAGGGTTAGGGTTAGGGTTAGGGTTAGGGTTAGGGTTAGGGTTAGGGTTAGGGTTAGGGTTAGGGTTAGGGTTAGGGTTAGGGTTAGGGTTAGGGTTAGGGTTAGGGTTAGGGTTAGGGTTAGGGTTAGGGTTAGGGTTAGGGTTAGGGTTAGGGTTAGGGTTAGGGTTAGGGTTAGGGTTAGGGTTAGGGTTAGGGTTAGGGTTAGGGTTAGGGTTAGGGTTAGGGTTAGGGTTAGGGTTAGGGTTAGGGTTAGGGTTAGGGTTAGGGTTAGGGTTAGGGTTAGGGTTAGGGTTAGGGTTAGGGTTAGGGTTAGGGTTAGGGTTAGGGTTAGGGTTAGGGTTAGGGTTAGGGTTAGGGTTAGGGTTAGGGTTAGGGTTAGGGTTAGGGTTAGGGTTAGGGTTAGGGTTAGGGTTAGGGTTAGGGTTAGGGTTAGGGTTAGGGTTAGGGTTAGGGTTAGGGTTAGGGTTAGGGTTAGGGTTAGGGTTAGGGTTAGGGTTAGGGTTAGGGTTAGGGTTAGGGTTAGGGTTAGGGTTAGGGTTAGGGTTAGGGTTAGGGTTAGGGTTAGGGTTAGGGTTAGGGTTAGGGTTAGGGTTAGGGTTAGGGTTAGGGTTAGGGTTAGGGTTAGGGTTAGGGTTAGGGTTAGGGTTAGGGTTAGGGTTAGGGTTAGGGTTAGGGTTAGGGTTAGGGTTAGGGTTAGGGTTAGGGTTAGGGTTAGGGTTAGGGTTAGGGTTAGGGTTAGGGTTAGGGTTAGGGTTAGGGTTAGGGTTAGGGTTAGGGTTAGGGTTAGGGTTAGGGTTAGGGTTAGGGTTAGGGTTAGGGTTAGGGTTAGGGTTAGGGTTAGGGTTAGGGTTAGGGTTAGGGTTAGGGTTAGGGTTAGGGTTAGGGTTAGGGTTAGGGTTAGGGTTAGGGTTAGGGTTAGGGTTAGGGTTAGGGTTAGGGTTAGGGTTAGGGTTAGGGTTAGGGTTAGGGTTAGGGTTAGGGTTAGGGTTAGGGTTAGGGTTAGGGTTAGGGTTAGGGTTAGGGTTAGGGTTAGGGTTAGGGTTAGGGTTAGGGTTAGGGTTAGGGTTAGGGTTAGGGTTAGGGTTAGGGTTAGGGTTAGGGTTAGGGTTAGGGTTAGGGTTAGGGTTAGGGTTAGGGTTAGGGTTAGGGTTAGGGTTAGGTTAGGGTTAGGGTTAGGGTTAGGGTTAGGGTTAGGGTTAGGGTTAGGGTTAGGGTTAGGGTTAGGGTTAGGGTTAGGGTTAGGGTTAGGGTTAGGGTTAGGGTTAGGGTTAGGGTTAGGGTTAGGGTT